AGATGTGAAACAACTAGTAATCAATATGACATTTTATCTACAAGATGTCAAAACATATATAATGCGAGACTGATATTTGTATCTCTTTCCCAATATAACATAAAATGTTTCAAATACTGCATGAATCGGAAATTGAAAACACTCCAGAAAACATATATAATGCGAGAGTAAAAATGATGCCAAGGTTTTGAGTTGTTCAAAACTAGAAAGGGAGTTCAAGTAAACAACTTTGGTTTAAATTGCAATATACTTTAGAGGATAAAGAAAACGTGAAACAATTTAAGAGAAGAAATTGGGTCAACAAAATGAGGTCAAAGGAAGATCGAAAAGGACAGATAATAAATAGAAATGGAGGAAGAAGAAGAAGAAGAAGTGGTCAGTCACGAGAGGCTTATTAAATTGGTTTCACGAGAAATTGATTCTTTGTGTTTATCTATTGAAAATGACAACTTCTTTTTTCATTTTGTCTTTGCCTTAACTTTCCTCGTTTATTTTTCCGTATTTGTTTATAAATAGTAAACATTAATTGCAACGTACTTCTCTACATGCAAGTGTTCCTTTCTACATTTATTAAGTGTTAACATGTACAGAAGTATATAAAAGATTTACTTATATCATATGTACATTCGTAAAATGGTAAAACAATAGTATATTTTCGTACCGGAAATAGACCTGCTCAAATAGTTAATTCGATCTCCATTTGCAGATACATATAAGCTATAAGCCTATAACTATTATATTTGATGGATTGTATTTGTATTCACTAAAATGTTAAGCACCCGTTTGTTCTTTACAAGAATATAGTCAAACGAATATATGAACCTTAGAAATCTTCTGAACTAGAAAATATAAGAGACGAGAGTTTTGGCTCGTTCAAAAGAGGATGAAGCTCAATTAGGTGCCGACTTCACATTGAAGGACCTGGACATTGACGACAGAAACATATATAATTCAGATGAACTTCAAAGATTGTAATTAAGATATATGAGTCATTCAATAAAGACAAGTACTGTTAAGGGAGATGTCTTGAGAAGAAACCAAATATAAGACGTTAATGAATTTAATTTCTAGTTATATGACATATTAAACGATGTGAAGAGTAAATTATAGTGAAAGTGTAAAGCAAATGGATATTCAATTATATATTGAAGTGGATAATTTAGTTAAATCATGTCAACCTCTAATCAGATCATCCATCTTATGCTGATGAAGAAAGTCGTTTATCAATCATCTATCTTTTTATCAAGAATTTCTATGTAGCTACCTCATTGCTTATTTGTATGGACGGTGGATATTTTTCTTTTAGTTTTTGGATAATGAAAATGTCATAAGACGGACGAACGATAATACACGGACATGGTTAGGAACTTAGGATGTTACATAAACCAATGGCAATAAAACTATGAAAGAATTTTCGAAAAGCAAAACAAATATTGCTTTAAAAAGACGATGGCTAGGTCTTTAAAAAGAAAGATGGGCCATTCTGTAAAAAATAAAGATGAAAAAGGATTAGATTATGTTGAATTGGGTCAGATAAGTTGAAGGAATCTATTAGTGGATTTGTTTTTGAAAATGGAATGTCACTTTCCATGCAAAATAATGAGAAAAGGCTCTCTTTTATTCCTTCTTACAAAAAAGGTCATACGATAATCCAATTGTTTACTTTGGTCTTTTCAAATATTCTTTTCATTCTAAATTATTACAGCCTCTTATTTTTTTCGTAGGCCCATGCATAAATTTATCATACACCATATAATTATGTACTTATGTAAATCCTCAAACCTTAGAAAGAAGTGAGAACTATACATTTCGATTAGACTGATCGGTTCAAAGTATATTATTCTCAACGAATTTTTAAAGCTTCGGATACTAATATATTTCATGTCAATACTCAAAGTGTTTTGTAAGTAAGTTGTAGATATGAGAGGACCTTCCATACATATGGTTGATGAGTGTTCGGTTTTGATCATATCAAAGAGCACAGCTCAATAAAAGTCTACTTCATAAGTTTTGTAAGCATATGAAAAATCATACAGACTTTTAGATGGAATATACTATGGTAACTAAATGTTAATATGAAGGTAGATGAGTCGGTATGGATCACATTACAATTTATTGGATTGGTCTCCACAAGTTAGATATTTACCTTCGATTTTGAACTATCACATTCCATCAGCGCTAACTAATTCATCAAAACTAATGTTTCTATTACAATAAAAACGGTAAAAAAGAGAAACTATGGTCATGAAAACAAAAACTAAAATGAGAAATTAGGGTCATGAGGAAAAAAATAGCCTACAAATAAAAATATGCGTTTTAGATTTTTTTCACAAAATGAATAAATTTACGGGTTTAAAAATAAACAATCTACCAAAACAACACTTTTCAAGTGAAGTTGATCAAAATTTTCATATATTGTTTTTGTATGATTTTATTACTAAATTGAAAAAGAAGATAAAAAGCAGAGTAAAATATATTTTTGTTATCTAAAAAAAAAGGAATCGAAGAGGAAGAGCAGCTTTACAAAAGTAGAATATGCAAAAGAATGATTGAAGTGCAAATGAGAAAGCTGTCTTCAATATTAAGCTATGATTCAACTCATCTACTTTTTTCTTTTTTCTTCATGTGATTATTCATTATTGGAAGGCAAATTATGACTAACTTTAGGATGATCAGATACCGTAGCTAGGAGAGTATTTGAATCTAAAGCATCTTTGATTCGACGACAAGCATGACAAATAAGTATTCGTCTTTAGACAAGTCCTATAGATTTTCCAAAAGTTATATTAAAAACATGAAAATAATATCCAGAACATATTCATTTTCTGAAGTTTCTTCTACACTAAAAACAACTAAAACAATCGATAGACTATATGTTAGGTCTGAATGATTTATGAAATATTTGGAATGCTACGGAAAAATGACACATTCTCTTGGGTGATGGTTGACTCTTTAATTATTCCCAAATTTGAATCTATGCTACGCTTAAAAAAATATTGGTCATGGGTGGACCGAAGCCCACAATTTCCTCGTTAGCAGCAAACACCTAAATTTCAAGATATTGAGTAATATGGGGGAAAACGGCCATTTCATACCCAAACTTAAGACATATGTTCGATTCATACCTCAACTATACCACTTTCAAAATCCATACCCAAACTTATATAAAATTTAAATTTCATACACAAACTTTCATTTTTCTGAATTTTCATACACTTTCCGTGATCTGACATTTTCTCCGTTAAAAAATGATTATGTGGCTAGACTGTCCGTTAAAGGCCCGTTAAAAGTTGTCGACCTGGATTAGGAGAATCTCCAAAATTAATGATGGAGATGAAACGACGTCGTTTTATTCTATGCTAAATGAGACGATTGTTCATCTTCTCCAACCCATCAAAAGCTACGAAATCAACAATCGATGGTTTTTGGAAACTCATAGTTCATTAATCTGCATTAGTATGGCAATGGAGGATTGAGGAAAATAATTATTAATGATCTGCATCGATCTCCTATGAGTAACAGAAGGATTGAGTTTCGCAAGAAGAAACCAATGGCTATCGTGCTGGTCACAGATCTGCGGAGCTGATCTACATCGATCTCATGTGATTCCAAAAGATTCTGGAAAGTCTTAAGCTTCGCGTCGTTGTGGTATTCGAGTTTCCGCCGTTGTGGAATCGACGGTCTGTCGAATGAATATCGGAGAAGCTTCGCTTGAATCATGATGATTGAGTTAAACACTCCTTCTCGGTTTAACAATAATCGGAAGAAACCGGCCTCGTCCGGAGAATTGTTGAATACATTAAAGATGGAACATGAACTGAGGATGAAGAGAGAAGTTTGAAATCATCCCGAAAAAGATGGATCTTTTTGGATGTAATCTCTGAACCGGATTAAACCGTCATCTAACCATCAAATTCTTGGAAACTCACGACATAAAACACAATGACGTCGTTTTACTTATCTTTCTAATTTCGTTTAAACTCAAAACGACGTCGTATATTACGTGGCATCCACATCATCACGACTTAACGGATTAGTTAAAAGATGACGTAAAATGTATGAAAATTCAGAAAAATTAAAGTTTGTGTATGAAATTTAAATTTTATATAAGTTTGGGTATGGATTTTGACAGTGGTATAATTGAGTATGAATCGAACATATATCTTAAGTTTGGGTATGAAATGGCCGTTTAATTGAGGTATGGATTAGTTTCTTATGTTTCTAAAGAAAAAGCAAACTTCTCTTTTCTAATTGTCGTCACTGTGTAAGGCATGATTAGCTTAAACTTCAACAATAATCATCTCAACACTTTACCTTTTGTGAAACTTTACATATATACAAAGACAAGATCACAATAGAAATTGATATTTAGGATTTACCATACTATGGGATCCAATAAGAACAACTTCGGAACCCAAATGTTGAAAATACGCAGTCGAACCTGCGCGAATGCACGGACGATTGTATATATTTTGTGTTTTATTTAACACTAGATTAGGCCTATCTTATGATCAGTTAAGAAAAACAAGCGAGAACCTATGTCTGATTCGTTGAAAGTAGGGATGTGTGGTATTTGAGTTTGACCTAAGGTGTTTCATTGCCTTCAGTAGTCTTGATCTTCAACAAAATTCAAAGTAACTATTAGATTTTTCTTTTTTCCTTTACTTTTTTATTCCTAAGGTATTTGAGTTTGACCTAAGGTGTTTCATTGCAAAAAGCATATTTTTTTATATATAATACTAACAAGATTATGTTCAAAGATATTGTAAGAGATTTGATTGGATTTCAATTCTATTAAAATTCATATTTGAATAAACAATCCCTAACAGAATTGCAATCTAAGAAAACAAATCTCCTAAAATAAGTAAGGAAACAACCGACTACTACTAGAATTTGGAATCAGCCTGTGATAATATTGTTTTAGCTCTTTAGAATTTTTCTTAATTAGATCGAACGAAAGAAAAGAGAAATACGCATACAGTTAGCTTAGCTCCATCACAATGTCTCGCGATCACTCCTTCGTGTCAAAGTCAACTATCGAAGAAGCTATAAATAACCAAAACGACGCAGCTTTGTTTCTTTCCAAGCTTCTCTTCTCCGCCAAAGCCAAATACTCCAACTCCGTTTTCTCGCCGGCGTCGGTAACCGCCGCGCTCACTTTGGTGGCCTCTGGTCCCGGCGATTCCGATTCCTCAGTCTCCAAAGAGATCCTCTCATTCCTGAGCTCATCTTCAATCGACGAGCTCAACGCCGTCTTCAGCGAGATCGCTTCCGTCGTCCTCGCGGACCGTAGCGCCAACGGCGGTCCAAAGATCTCGTCCGTCAATGGCGTCTGGATCGAGCAATCGCTACCGATCGATTCCTCATCGTTCAAGGATCTCTTCGAGAACTTCTTCAAGGCTAGCTTCGATCGCGTCGATTTCCGATCAAAGGTAATCTCAAAAAAAAAAAAATTTGCTCTGTTTCTGTGCTGTGCTCTGATTTGACCTAGAAGAAGATAGAATCATCAAAATTGTCAATTTATATGCTTTGATCCTTGATTTTGAAATGATTCAGAATTCGAATTCTGGTTTTGATAATTGATTCTTCTGATTATAGGCTGAAGAAGTGCGTGTGGAATTGAATTCATGGGCATCGAATCACACGAATGGTCTGATCAAAGATCTTCTTCCTCGTGGATCCGTTACAGAGTTAACCGATTTGGTTTACGGAAACGCATTGTACTTCAAAGGAGAATGGGAGGTTCCATTCGACAAGTCCTATACGAGAAAGGAAAAGTTTCACCTTGTCAATGGAGCCTCAGTGTCAGTGCCATTCATGAGCAGCTTCAAGAAACAATACGTAGAGGCTTATGATGGTTTCAAGGTCCTCAAGCTACCTTATCGACAAGGCAGCTTCTCGATGTATTTCTATCTTCCTGACGAGAAAGATGGATTGGACGATCTTGTGGAGAAGATGGGATCTACTTGTGGGTTCTTGGATAGTCACGTTCCAAGTTGTAAAGTTGCAGTTGATGGATTCAGGATCCCGAAGTTTAAGATCGATTACGGATTAGACGGTGGAGACATAGGGTTTAGTGCAATGCCTTTGTTCCACAAAGCTTGTGTTGAGATCGATGAAGAAGGTGCTGAAACTGCTGCTGCCACTTTGACATTCAAGGGACGTATGCTTGCTAAGGGGATTGATTTTGTGGCGGATCATCCTTTTTTGTTCTTGATTAGAGAAGACGAAACTGGAACTGTTTTGTTCGTTGGTCAGATTTTCGATCCTTCCCAAAAATCTTCTTAGGCTCTGGAGTGGTATTAGGTTTGGTTAAAACTTACAACAGTTTGTTCCTTTTTTTTTCTTCTATATATTTAGATTGAACTTATCATAAGCTCCATATATATGTGGTTAGTGGTTTTATCAATCGTTGAAGGTCATTGAACTGACCAAAATATCTATATTTATTTGGATTATGGTTTGTGTTTGTTAAAATCGTCACTACTAGCAGTCTCTGTTTAGCTAATAGTTAAATTGGTATGAAGACAAGCAACCCTTTTCTCATTCAACAACGACTTTTTAATCACTCTTTCTCAAATCATCGTGATCTTGGTATTGCAATAAGACCAGCTAACAACGACTCATGAATATCGCGGCAAAGAGTAAGAAAATACTTAATGAAACATATCTTACAAGGCGGATCATAGACATAGCTTTCACATCTTACATATCACAAACATTGTGAATGATTGATGTAGACGTCAAGCAACAAGCGTGTTTGAAGAAGAAACTCAAGAAATCTCTCTCTTCTTGTGTTGCCATGTAATCATTAAACTCAAAAGTTTCGAGAGTCTTCAACAAACATTCAGGAACAGAGCTCCACGTAACTGGTTGATACTCCTCCAATTCTGGATCATGCTGCGATTAAAATAAAATAAAAAAGAAGAGAGACAAGATTACATCATACAGTACTTTTATCTAAAAATAGTAGAAGAAGAAACTTACATCGATAGATATATTGAGGACTCGCAGTTTAGGGGAATTTCTTAGCAACCAGATAAGCAACTTGGTCCAATTGTCGCTGTATATACCAAACTTCAAATGTTCAAGCTGATTGAAGATAGTACCATCACTATACACAGGCTGCACACACAACAACAAAATAACCAAAAAACAAAAACTCAATCTCAAGAAAACTTGAATTTTAACAGATGGAAACTTGAAGTTACCTCTTCTGGATTGTTGCATAATGCAAGCACTGAAAGAAGTTTGACGGATGCGATTGATTTCAAAAGCGTCTCAAACTCTTGAAAAACCCTAATATCTGCCTCTTCCAACTTTGGAATATGCTCAATCAAACAGGAGAAAGTTTCGCTGAAATCCACAAATTTGAAATACTTCAAAGAAGGAGTTTGAGACACCTCCAAGGACAAACGCTGCAAAGACGGGACGTTAACAACTATCTCTATCAAATTGTCATCTCGTTCAACACACAAATCTTCAAGAACAAGGCATTGCGATAGAAGCAGCCGAAGAGAATCTTCATTTGCGTATGTCACACGTCCAAGTTTCAAGGTTTTCAAGGAAGGGAGACAAACAACTCGAGGAACATCCAAAACAATCTTTGGGCCTTCAAGTTTCAAAGTCGTGAGCGAATTGCATGTATACAAACTACTCGGCAGTGGTACATCAGGTTCGTCACCGAAGCAAAAATAGCCGATACTTAGCTCACGCACAAGGCGAGACACCGCGATCCCAACCCAAAGCTTGATATTCTGTAATGTACAATACAAAACCTGAGGAGCAAGCTTTCGATAACGGCAGATTTATGTAACGGCAGATTCTTGTTGATAAAATCCCGAAACCTCAAGATAGAGTCAGGATCATCGATTATTGAGTAGTCGTTAAACTCGAGTTTAGGCAACCACATCCAAAGAAACTGCCATTGTTTCGACAAAATGCTTGTGGAGACAGCAACTTTTGTCGGAAGAAATGATAATATCTTGATCAGCAACTCATCAGACAAATCACTGATTCTCAGTGCCATTTCTTTGCAAAGTTCAAGAAATTGTTACCCTCGACCTAAACCTGAAACAGAAAACAAGAATACCATCAAATAAATTAGTACCAAGTGAAAACAAAATTCAGACAGAGGAAGGAGACAAACCCTAGAAAATCCAGGTCATGAGTCTTTTTCAGTGGTAGCTCAACTTTAGCTCGGAAAACAGAATTAGAATATAAATCTCAGAGTCTCCCAAAGAACTGCGAAACCAATTTCAGTTACTCTGACTAAAACTAATCATCTGAAAAGTGAATAGATCTAAGAAGCTTGAATCATAAAGTGAATAGAAAGGAAGAAGAAGAAGAAGAACGTGGTTTCTCAGAAGGTTTCGATCGGAATCGTAGAGCTTCGGATCGTAAATATGAAATGAGATTACTCGAACTAGAGATTTATCAAGAACACGAAGTAAGAGAGAATCAAGATCTCGAAAAATAATCAAATGAAGAGAGATCACCTTGAATAATTTCGGATCCTTGATGAACAAGAGGAACACAATCGTGAGAGAGAAAGAGAGACAGGAAGAAAGGAGAAAGTCAATGCAAATACTCTGTTTAAATTATTCTCCCGAAAAGGACAAATAGATAGTAAGCATAAACCGGGTACAAACCAGATGATTTATGATTAAGACATTAAACCAAAATAATAAGAAATAAACCGGGTAATATGCAGGACCGCTAAAATCAAGATACGAAAAACTGCGTTATAAAGCTGATACAGTAAGGAATGCTTAAAGCTAATATAAGTTGAACAATCAAATAACATACACTAGAGTTTGACCCGCGCCCTGCACGGGGAGATGGTTTCTGAATTTGTATTTTTTAATTAAAAATGTATATTTAACTATTTCAAAATTTTATGTGACAGATTTTTTTACCTTGTTAAGGTTTTTATCTTCGTTTATAATGTGGAAATTAAACATTTTAAAAATTATAAACAAATTAAAACATTGATCATAGACATAGATTAAATATGCTAGACTATAGATTAAATATGCTAGACTTCAGCAAATACATAAAACTCAAATGAGTATATTTTATAAGATAAGAAGATAAGAAGTTTTAGGTGTTTACACGGATTAGAACTAACTTTTTTTATTTCTTTTAAAACTAAAACATGTTTTATTATAATTCCAAAACAATCCAACCAATAAAAGATCAATCTTGCAAAATCCAAATTGTCAAAATAACAAAAGTATAAGTAATTTTGTACTGAAAAATTGAAACAAATGGAGCAATATTCAAATTTTTGATCAAAATTAAATACATTTATAAAAAATATTATTTTATTTGATTTCATTATACAGTTTAACTAAAAAATCATATAAAATATTTTAAAAAAAATTACATTTAGATACCTACTCTCCTACTTACATGGTTGCATATCATCTATTTTTTATAATATATTTTTACACCTACACACAACAACATATTGGGAATTTTAATAGTTTTAGTGATTATTTTGTTTTTAAAAATTCAAATCATAGCATATATAGAAAAAGTTTTAGATTTTATTTATTAGATTTTTTGTATTGTGTCAATTTTTTATTTTATAAAATAAAGTTAAACAAAGATGAAAGGAGATATAGAATGATTTAAAAAAAATATAATGATAGCATTAAATTGAATCTCATATTTTCCTTATTTACTAATTTTCGTAATTGCCAATTAAGGAAAGAGAATGATGATTCTTTTATTAATAATTTCATATATGATTAATCTAACTATACATATTTGATTCTCTAACCAAAAATATGAATGACAATGTTTGTAATTAGTCTAGTAAACTAATCCTTATTTTATAAATAACATGAGAAGCTCCCTAATGATGACACATCAGCATGACATTCTTGTTAATAACACATCAACTAAAGGTTATTTTTAAAGTGTTTTCTCTTTTAATATATTAAGGATTTTTGGGTTTAATGTTTAAGGCTTTAAACTAAGATATCATACAATTATTCATGAGTGTGAACGGAATCAAATAGCAAACATTTAAGTCAAATACTGCTGCACCTGTAATTATTGATTTGGTAAACCAAAACACAAGTAAAAAGAAACTTTGACTTACAACACAAACATACAATTTTGTCTACAACCAACTAACCGCTCCCAAACACTGTGGGAACTGCATCGGTTGAAAATTACGTTTTCATTCACCAATTCGACTTCCCCCTACACCGTTTAAAATAAAATTATGTATGATAATTTATTAATAAGAAAATAAATAGTCATTTTGCGACATTTTGTCATTTATAATCATTTGACCAATAAAATCAAAATATAATCAGTTCATGATTATGATATTAATAGTTATATTTTAGTAAGTAATTAATATACTTATTGTATGATGATTTTTTATTGTACATTTACACCATTAATAAAAAATGCTTACAAAAAACATTTCATGTTATTAATCGTGATTTTAAAATTTAATATAATAAATGCTAAAGATAATTGGAGTTATTGTAAACAAGTATAAAAAATATAAAGTACTAAACAGTTTTGGAATGAGTGAATTTTTTTTTTATATTAACAGATTTTATATTTTATAGATATCATAAGAGATTTAGCTTATATATAAAAAGTAAAAGTAAAAGTAAAAGTAAAAGTAAAAGTCTTAAAAATAAGATTTTTCTAAATATAGTTTAGCAAAAAGGATGTTGTTGCTTTAGCCCAGAATCTCATAATCATTAAGAAAAATATCTAGCATAATTAGATTCATATTAATGAATTTAACATAGGACTTTGTAAATTTAGAAAAGAATAGTCTCTCCGTTTCAAATTAGCTGTCGTTTTGGGAAAATGTATATGCAATTATTTGGATGTATTAAAGTCAAAACACATCTATATACATCAAAATAATTCCAGATACATTTTCCCAAAACGACAACTAATTCGAAACGGAGGAAATAACATATATTTTACTTAGACAACATATCCAGAGAAGTTACTATATTTAGAGAGTTGTTTTAAAGTAATTAATAATATTTAAGTACATATATAGAAGACAAGGAAAATTAATTTGATCGAAAAAATATATAAAGGGATGTAAGGAGCTAATTTTATTATTCAATCTTCTCAAATATTTTATTTTCTAATAGCATTTTTAGTTATATTTTTAAAGTAATCAAAAGCTCTCTAAAATGGATCCATATATGATGATAGAAAAAGAGTTAACAGATAGTGATATTTCCTATACAGAAGGTATGTATTTACCAAAAAAGAAGATGGATAAATTATTAGTAAAGGTGGGAGTTACAATACCAGAAAATAGTCTTAAAATGGAAATTCAAGATAAAGACAAATCTTATCGAGTGAATCTAAAAAAAAGAGAAAAAAGAGGTTATTCTATCAAAACTGGATGAAGCGATATCAGACATGCAAGAGATCTGAAAAAAGGCCAAGTCATCCAATTATATTGGAAAGACGGCAAATTTATTTTTTCTATGAAGTGAGTTTTCCTTTATTTTTTTAAGTTATCTCGCATAATTTATTTATTTTCTCAATAGATCTATCTAACTAATTATTTTTCTTCTTTTTTGAATAATTACATTTTTGATGAGTTTTATGTCTATTTAAAGTAAAACAGTAGCACATTAATTTGTATTGTGATAATTTATAGCTACAATGTCATAACTTATATATATATATATATATATATTTAAATACTTATATAAAAACATAATATTATTGTTTAGTTATACAACATGCTTAAATTTGATATGTGAAATTTTTATATATATATATATATAATGCATGATAAGAAAATTAATTATATATATTTCAGTGATAACAGTAAAACGCCTGATGCAAAGCAAGTAGATCAAACTGGAGAAAGCTCAAAACAAGTAGATCAAACTAGAGAAAGTGCAAAACAAACAGATCAGACATATCAGACAGGAGAAAGCAGTTCAAATAAAACTCCTATAGAAAACGTAAATGATACAGAAGAAAATGTGTCAAACAAGCGACACAAAAAGTTTTTTTGTTTTCTTTGAAATTTAATTGACATAAAAACTGAATGGTGAATGTAATAAGTGTGGTATAAATATTATAATTTAATAAATTTTCAAGTATTTTGGATAACCTAAATGTGTAATATTTTTCTACAAATAAAACTGTATTGTTAATATATTTAAATCATAATATAGTTTCTTCATTTTTATATTGAAAAAAAGAGACAAGAGCCTCACAAGCACACATTGTTAACGAACTATCATTGCTCCAAATTTGATACACGAAAAATTATCATTTCAGTGAATCACCTAATGCAAAACAAGCAAATTAGATTAAAGAAAGTGTAAAACAAGCCGGTTAGACATATCAGACGGGAGAAAATAGTTCAAATAAAATTTCTATAGACAAAGAAAATGAAAAAAAAAAGTGTCGAACAAACGACATAAATGTTTAATGGGCGCTAGCAATTTAAGGAGGGGTCTAACACCCCTACAAACGGAATTAGAGGCATTGGTATGGGCCATGAAAAGCATGCTGATACAAACGAAATGTATAATGCAGTTTGAGACAAACTGTTCGGATCTGGTGAAGATGGTGGAGTAACGATAGAGAGTCAAGAATCAAGATTACACCATAAAATTCCTTCACTTGAAAACATAGAGAAAAAAAAACTTACATGGACGCAGAGATTGAGAACTTGCAGTTTAGGAGAATTTTCGAGCAACAAAATAAGCAACTTGGACCAATCTTGACTGCAAGTTGTTTTTAGAACACATGCTTTCACTAATATACAAAGACAAGATCACAATAGAAATTGATTTTTAGGATTTACTATATATACAATATATATTTTATATTGTATATTTTTGAAAATAAATAGAGTCGAACCTGCGCGAATGAATGGATAATTGTATATTTTTCTGTTTTATTTAACACTATGTTAGGCCTATCGCCCTATCTTATCAGTTATGAGAAATAATCGAGAGAACTTGTCTGATTCGTTGAAAGTAACCCATCACCAGCAAGACCTACGGCTTTAATTGGTCACACGACCAATTCAAATTTCATAAGTTACAATTATTTGAGTGTGGCACAAGCTGATAAAGGCCAATTCCAACCATACACCAAAACACCAAATTCAATTTTTTAGATTTTGCAATAAATTTAGATTATATATTTAGGATTAAAATTCGTGCTTTATAATTTCTTTATCATATGATAAAATATGTAGTGACATTATATTTGGTTGGATTTCAATTCTATTAAAATTCATGATTGAATAACAACAATACCTAAATGTAAACTGCAATCTAAAAAAAAACAAAAGAAAAAAATCTCTCAAGATAAGTAAGGAAACAAAATATTAAAAAGGAAAAGTTATACAATACAAACGCAGAAAGAAAAATAATAATTATACAACCGACTACTGTTTAGCCCTTTATAAATTTTCTTAATTACATCGAACGAAAAAAGCAGTGTTTTGAAAACAATTAATACGATCAATTAATTAATTATTTTCTTTTATTTATTTTCACTTTTGATTTTTTTTTGAAATTATATATGTTTATACTATAAATAATTAATTAGAACAATGAAAATATAAGTTTTTAATATTATTATATTTATATTTATACCTATATATCAATTTTTAACTATTTATATTTTTATTTTAAAATTTATATATTTAAAAATAATTATAATATAAATGTTATGAACCGGGGTCAAACCGGTCAAATCAGATTGAACCATGACTCTAATGCTTATCCGGTTTGGCTTCCGGTCCGATTTTAAAAACACTGGAAAAAAGAGAAATACGCATACAGTTAGCTGAGCTCCATCACCATGTCTCGCAATCTCTCTTTCTATGGGTCAAAGTCAACTATCGAAGAAGCTATAAATAACCAAAACGACGTCGCGTTGTTCCTTTCGAAGCTTCTCTTCTCCACCAAAGCCAAACACTCCAACTCCGTTTTCTCGCCGGCGTCGGTAACCGCCGCCCTCACTTTGGTGGCCTCTGGTCCCGACGATCCTTCAATCTCCAAAGAGATCCTCTCCTTCCTGAACTCTTCTTCAGTCGACGACCTCAACGCCGTCTTCAGCGAGATCGCTTCCGTCGTCCTTGCCGACCGTAGCGCGAACGGCGGTCCAAAGATCTCCTCCGTCAATGGCGTCTGGATCGAGCAATCGCTACGGATCGATTCATCGTTCAAGGATCTCTTCGTGAACTTCTTCAAGGCTAGCTTCGATCGCGTCGATTTCCGATCAAAGGTAATCTCAATTTTGTTTTTGCTCTGTTTCTGTGCTCTGCTCTGACTTGACCTAGAAGAAGATAGAATCATCAAAATTGTCAATTTATATGCAAAATTCGAATTCTGGTCTTGATGATTTTTTTTTTTTTTTTTTTTTTTTTTTTTTTTTTGTATAGGCTGAAGAAGTGCGTGTGGAATTGAATACATGGGCATCGAATCACACGAATGGTCTCATCAGAGATCTTCTTCCTCCTGGATCCATCACAAAATCAACCGATTTGGTTTACGGGAACGCATTGTACTTCAAAGGAGAATGGGAAGTTCCATTCGACAAGTCTCATACGAGAAACGAAAAGTTTCACCTTGTCAATGGAGGCTCAGTGTCAGTACCATTCATGAGCAGCGTCAAGAAACTATACGTAGAGGCTTACGATGGTTTCAAGGTCCTCAAGCTACCTTATCGACAAGGCAGTTGTGGTGATGAAGAAGATACCAATGGCGGCTTCTAGATGTATTTCTATCTCCCTGACGATAAAGATGGATTGGATAATCTTGTGGAGATGATGGGATCTACTCGTGGGTTCTTGGATAGTCACGTTCCAAGTAGCAAAGTTGCAGTTAGTGAATTCAGGATCCCGAAGTTTAAGATCGATTACGGGTTAAGCGGTGGAGACATAGGGTTTAGTGCAAGGAACTTGTTCCACAAAGCTTGTGTTGAGATCGATGAAGAAGGTGCTGAAGCTGCTGCTGCCACTTTTGTAACGCGTTTTGGGTCTTGTAGGCGTCCTAAGAGGATTGATTTTGTGGCGGATCATCCTTTTTTGTTCTTGATTAGACAAGACGAGACTGGAACTGTTTTGTTCATTGGTCAGATCTTCGACCCTTCCCAAAAATCTTCTTAGGCTCTCGGAGAGGAATTAGGTTTGGTTACAACTTACAACAGTTTGTTCTTTTTTTTTCTATATATTTAGATTGAACTTATCAAAAGCTCCATATATATATGTGGTTTGTGGTTTTATCAATCGTTGAAGGTCATTGAACTGACCAAAATATCTATATTTATTTGGATTATGGTTTGTGTTTGTTAAAATCGTCAACTACTAGCAGTCTCTGTTTAGCTAACAACTAAAGACAATCCTAAAAGCTTTTGATGATAGTGAGAAAACATGTTAGGTAAATACTGCAATTCTCATTTGTGATTTTGTAGACCAGAACATAAGTAAAAAACTTGACTTGCAACACAAACATTACTTAAAAGTTCACTCAGATCGTTTCCTTTCACCTGCGATTTGGGATTAACCCTTGGAGCTTCAGAATTCTTTGGAACCTGTAGTTCAGGAGACGTATGTTAGACATGGAAGTCTATTAGACAACAAAACAAACACAAAGCTTCAGAGTCAAATGCCACAACTCTTGTTTAAAGTTTCAGTTAAGTAAATACCTAATTGTGTTTTACGATCAATGATTGATGTAGACTTCAAGCAAGAAGCGTGTTTGAAGAAGAAACTCAAGAAATCTCTCTCTTCTTGTGTCCCTATGAAACCTGTAAACTCAAAAGTTTCCAGACTACTCAACAAACATTCAGGTACAGAGCTGTCTTTATTCTTCCAGATAACCCTCTCATATTTCTTAAATTTTGAATATCTCTGCGATTAAAGAGAAAGAGAAAGGAGAAACGACAGAGAGTCAAGAATCAAGATTACACCATAAAGTTCCTTCACCTGAAAACAGTAAATGAAGAAACTTACATCGACGTAGAGTTTGAGAACTTGCAGTTTAGGAGAATTTTCGAGGAACAAGATAAGCAAACTGGACCAATCCTTGCGGCATATACACAGCTTCAGATGTTGAAGCTGATTGAAGACGATACCAACAGGATACACAAACTGCATTGAATTTGACAATTAAAAAAAATAAAAAACTCAATCTCAAGAAAACACGTTTTCAACAAGATACTGAAAACTTGAATTTGACAGACTGAAACATGTTACCTCTTGGGGACTGTTGCATAATGCACGCAATGAAAGACGTCTGACTGATGTGACTGATTGGAGAATCTTCTCAACATCTTCCACAACATCAATATCTGCCTCTTCCAGCTTTACCATAGGCTCAGTCAAAGAGATGAAACTTTCTTTTTCAGCCACAATCTTGAGATACTTCAAACAAGGAGTAGCAACCACATAGCTTTCAGAAAAATATCTAACATCTCCTACCAACCACAAGGATAAACGCTGCAAAGACGGTATATTAACGTTTATCACTCTCGTCTTGTACTCTCTTTTCAGTTCAATAAGCAGATCTTCAAGAACAGGGCAAGAAGATAGAATCAGCCGGAGAGAATCTTCATCCACAAATCGAAGTTGCAAGGTCTTCAAAGAAGGGAGACAAACAGTTGGAGGAACATCCACGAGAACGTTCCCGCCTTGAAGTTTCAGAGTCGTGAGGGAACTGCATGTATACAAACTACTCGGAAATGATAATGCATCGAAAGGTTTGGCAATGAACCAATAATAGACAACACTTAGCTCGCGCAGGGAGCGAGAAACCGCAATCTCAACCCACTGTTTAAATTTCTCAGGTTGAGGCAATATACTCTGACGAAATCTGAGGAGCAGGCTTTCTATGACTGGAGATCTATGCAATGGCAGTTTCTTGTCGATAAAATCGCGATAGCTCAAGAACGAAGACAATGTGTCATCGGTTATAACATAGTCGTCGAACTCGAGGTTAGGCAACCACATCCAAAGAAACTCCCATTGTTTCGACGGAGACTGCAACTTTTGTCGGAAGAAATGTTAATATCTTAATCAGCAATTCCTCAGACAAATCACTGATTCTCGCCATTTCTTTGCAAAATTCAAGATATTGTTACCCTCAGGCCTCAGACCTAAACGAAAAACAAGAATTAGAATATTAATCAGAGTCTTCCGGAGAGCAGCGAGAGAATAAGACAGTCACTTTAAACCCATTTTTCATCTACTCTGACTAAAATTGATTCTCTGAGTTAAGAAATCAAGAGAGTTAAGATCTAAGTAAAGACTGATTCGAAAAAAAGGAAGAAGAAGGGAAGACCGTCGTCGTCGTCGTCGATACGCATCAAACTGTTCTGCTTCCGTTTAGCGAAACAATGGTATTAAACCCGTAATGGGCCTAATATTGGGTCTAAGATTGGGCCTAAGTATTATGTGAAACTCTTTCTTGTCATGGTGATTTGAGTCGAATGAAATACCTCTTGAGCCCTTTAACATCCTCGAGGCTCGAAAAGGAGAAGACAAGTAGAGAACACACGTTCTCTCTGTGTTCTCTCTTGACCATAACTTAGCAAGTTTACAAAACAAACACAAAATGATTCTCAATCTCTTGGAAACCCCAAGAAATCAAAACTCTTTATCCTCCTGATCCTTGACAAATACTTTATAGTATAAATATATTATCTATTAAGTTTTCCAATCCAAAATGTAATATACTAATATGTGGCGAAAATGTTAAACATCTGACTTTACAAACAGAATTAGTCGCCTCCACAACCACCCCCGCCACCTCCATCTCCACCTCCACAACCACCACCTCCACCTCCATCACCACCACCACCTCCATCACCACCACCACCTCCACCTCCACAACCACCACCTCCACCACCACAACCACTTGAACCGCCATAGATAACGGCTCCAGCAACTGATATGGCGGTGCCAGCGCCTGTCATAATGACAAGATCTCCATCTTTGGTTCTATACACAGGCGTCTGGAGCTGCAATGGCCTTAGTGGCGGTGGTGGAGGCGGCGGTGGAGAAGGAAGCTTTGTATTGTGGGTGATGATGCAGCATAATATGATGATCGCCACTGCTGCAACGGCGCTGGCTACGAGTGCAACAACCAAATTCGACATTTTCTTACTTTCTTCCCACCTTCCTTCAAAATATTGGCATACTTCTTATATAATCCCTTGTCACTTATAAAACTCAATTTTATACTGAAACCTTATCAAACTTATTTATTCTTACAAGAAACTTGGAGAAACAACACTACATGAAGACTTATTCTTCGGCTCTCATCTAAACAAAACTTTGACTGAATAATTCTCTTTGACTATACAATTACAAATTTTTTTTATAGCAAAAGAGTTTACTTAGACCAAACGTATAAATATACACAGCCATGGCATATATAGTTGAAACTTGAATGGTAAGCAACCCTTTTCTCATTCAACAACGACTTTTTTAATCACTCTTTCTCAAACCATCGTGATCTTGGTATTGCAATAAGACTATTTAACAACGACTCATGAATATCGCGGCAAAGAAGAAAAGACTTGATGAAACATATATATCTTACAAGGCGGATCATAGACATAGCTTTCATCGTATATTACATATCACAAACATTATGAATGATTGATGTAGACGTCAAGCAACAAGCGTGTTTGAAGAAGAAACTCAAGAAATCTCTCTCTTCTTCTGTTCCCATGTAATCATTAAACTCAAAAGTTTCGAGAGTCTTCAACAAACATTCAGGAACAGAGCTCCACGTAACTAGTTCATACTCCTCCAATTCTGGATCATGCTGCGATTAAAATAAAATAAAAAAGAAGAGAGACAAGATTACATCATACAGTACTTTTATCTAAAAATAGTAGTAGAAGAAACTTACATCGATAGATATATTGAGGACTCGCAGTTTAGGGGCCTTTCCGAGCAACCAGATAAGCAACTTCGACCAGTCGTCGCTGTATATACCAAACTTCAAATGTTCAAGCTGATTGAAGATAGTACCATCACTATACACAGGCTGCACACACAACAACAAAATAACCAAAAAACAAAAACTCAATCTCAAGAAAACTTGAACTTGAAAGATGAAAACTTGAAGTTACCTCTTCTGGATTGTTGCATAATGCAAGCACTGAAAGAAGTTTGACGGATGCGATTGATTTCAAAAGCGTCTCAAACTCTTGAGAAACCCTAATATCTGCCTCTTCCAACTTTGGAATATGCTCAATCAAACATGAGAAAGTTTCGCTGAAATCCACAAACTTGAAGTACTTCAGAGAAGGAGCAACTATCACATACCCACCAGAAGAACGTTGATACACCTCCAAGGTCAAACGCTGCAAAGACGGGACCTTAACAACTATCTCTATCAAATTGTCGTCGTTTCCATGTCGTTCAATACACAAATCTTCAAGAACAAGGCATTGCGATAGAAGCAGCCGAAGAGAATCTTCATCTGAGTATGTCACAGGTCCAAGTTTCAAGGTTTTAAGGAAGGGAGACAAACAACTCGAGGAACATCCAAAACAAGCTTTGGGCTTTCAAGTTTCAAAGTCGTGAGCGAATTGCATGTGTACAAACCACTCGGCAGTGGTACATCAGGTTCGTCACCGAAGCAAAAATAGCCGATACTTAGCTCACGCACAAGGCGAGACACCGCGATCCCAACCCAAAGCTTGATATTCTCAGGCTGTAATGTACTTTGACAAAACCTGAGGAGCAAGCTTTCGATAACGGCAGATTTATGTAACGGCAGATTCTTGTTGATAAAATCCCGAAACCTCAAGATAGAGTCAGGATCATCGATTATTGAGTAGTCGTCGAACTCGAGTTTAGGCAACCACATCCAAAGAAACTGCCATTGTTTCGACAAAATGCTTGTGGAGACAGCAACTTTTGTCGGAAGAAACGATATTATCTTGATCAGCAACTCATCAGACAAATCACTGATTCTCTGTGCCATATCTTTGCAAAATTCAAGAAATCGTCACCCTCGACCTAAACCTGAGACAGAAAACAGAAAACAAGAATCACTCAAACGGACTGTCATCAAATAAATTAGTACTAAGTGTGAAAAAAAATTCAGACAGAGGAAGGAGACAAACCCTAGAAAATCCAGGTGTTGAGTCTTTTTCAGTGGAAGCTCAACTTTAGCTCGGAAACCAGAATATAAATCTCAGAGTCTCCAAAGAAGTGCGAAACCAATTTCAATTACTCTGACTAAAACTAATCATCTGAAAAGTGAATAGATCTAAGTAAGCTTGAGTCGATGAAGTGAATAGAAATGAAGAAGAAGAAGAAGAAGAAGAAGAAAAAGAGCGTGGTCTATCAGAAGGTATCGGAATCGTAGAGCTTCGGATCGTAAATATGAAATGAGATGACTCGAACTAGAGATTCATCAAGAACACGAAGTAAGAGAGAATCAAGATCTTGGAAAATAAATCATCAAATGAGGAGAGATCACCTTGAATAATTTTGGATCCTATATGATGAACAAAGAGATACAATCGCGTGTGAGAGAAAGGAAGAAAGGAGAAAAGTCAATGGAAAATATTCTCTTTCTCCCGAAAAGGACAAATAGTTAGCATAAACCGGGTACAAACCATATGGTACACATTAAACCGAAAAGATACGGGACAAACCGGGTAAGATGTAGGACCGTAAACATACATCTTTGTCTACAAACAACTAACCGCTGTGAACAGCTTCGCTTGGAATTGGAAATCGCGATTTCATTCACCGGAGGCTATTTGCCTATTTCGATTTCCCCAGCCACACTGTCTGAAATAAAATTATGTATGATAATTTAATTAATAAAAAAATATTTAGTCATTTTGTGACATTTTCTCATTTATGATCATTTGACCAATAAAAGCAAAATATAATCAGTTCATGATTATGATATTAATAATTCTATTTTAGTAAGTAATTAATAATTATTGTATTAACATTTTTTTAATACTGTTTTTACGCTATTAATAACAAATGCATGCTTATAAAAAACATGTCATGTTATTAATTGTAATTTTATAAATATAATTTAGCAAAAGGAATGTTGTGCCTTCCCAGAATCTCTCGTAATCATCAAAAAAAAATGTAAATACGATATCTAGTTTAATTAGAATCATTTTAATGAACTTAACATTATAATCATATTAATGAGTCATATTGACAACTATATATAAAGGGATGTGAGGAGCTACTTTTATTATTCAATCTTCTCATATATTTTATTTTCTCAAAGCATTCTTAGTAATAATCTCAAAGCAATTAAAATTTCTCTAAAATGAATCCAAATATGTTGATAGAAAAAGAGTTAACAGATGGCGATGTTTCCAATTACCGAGGTTTGTATTTACCAAAAACGAAGATGGAAAACATATTAGTAAAGATGGGAGTTACAATACCAAATGATGGTCTTCAAATGGAAGTTCTAGATAAAGAAAAATCTTATAGTGTAAAACTAAAAAAAAATAAAGCTGGTTATTATATTGGAGCTGGGTGGAGCAATATCAGACATGCGAGAGATATGGAGAAAGGTCAACTCATCCAATTATATTGGGTAGACGGCAAATTTATTTTTTCTGTGAAGTAAGTTTTCCTTTTTTCCCTTTGTTGTTTACAGTTATCTCGCATAAGTGATTTATTTCTTGAATAAATCTATTTAACCAATGTTTTATCTTCTTTTTTGAATAATTACATTTTGAATGGATTTGGTGTATATCCTAAGTAAAACAGTAGCATATTAATTTGCACTGTGATAAATTATAGTTATGATCTCATAATTTATAGATATTGAAAGCTTTATACAAAAACATGATATTATGAATCGTGTAGTAATACAATATGCTTAAAATCTGATACGTAGAAAATGTTATAATGCATGATAAGAAAATTAATTATATATATATATATTTCAGTGATAACAGTAAATCGCCTGATGCAAAACAAATAGATCAAACTGGAGAAAGTGCAAACCAAGAAGATGAGACATATTTGACAGGAGAAAACAGTTTGAGTAAAACTCCTATAGAAAATGTGTCCATTAAGCGATAAAAACGTATTTTTTTTCTTTAAACTTTAAGTGACATAAAAGTTGAATGGCGAATATAATAAGTGTGGTAGAAATATTATAATTTGATAAATTTTCTAAGTATTTTATTTTTCTATGAATAAAACTGTATTGTTAATATATTTAAATAATATTTTACACACAATGTGTCACAGTACTTAAAAGCAAAAAACAACTAACTGCATCCTAACAAGTCTATTACTCTTAACATTGATACCAAAAAAACAAATCTATTACCTCCAAAACAAGTAAACAAAACTTTGAAAACTAAATACTTCTCTTGGACTATACAATTACCAATATTTTTTTAATAACAAAAGAGTTTACTAAGACCAACAGCCATGGAATATATAGTTGAAATGGTATGAAGACAAGCAACCCTTTTCTCATTCAACAACGACTTTTTTTTAATCAGTCTTTCTCAAATCAACGTGATCTTGGTATTGGATTAAGACCAGCTAACAATGACTCATGAATATCGCGGCAAAGTGTAATAAAAGACTGAATTTTTTTATGCTGAATAAGACAGAAGATGAATAATATCTTACAAGGCTCAGCTTCGGAAACAAGGCGGATCATAGACATAGCATTTATATCTTAGTATCTTACATATCACAAACATTATGAAATATTGATGTAGACGTCAAGCAACAAGCGTGTTTGAAGAAGAAACTCAAGAAATCTCTCTCTTCTTGTGTTGCCATGTAATCTTTAAACTCAAAAGTTTCGAGAGTCTTCAACAAACATTCAGGAACGGAGCTCCACGTAACTGGTTCATACACATCCAATTCTGGATCATGCTGCGATAAAAAACAATAAAAAATAAGAGAGACAAGATTACATCATACAGTACTTTTAGTAGAAGAAGAAACTTACATCGATAGATATATTGAGGACTCGCAGTTTAGGGGAATTTCCGAGCAACCAGATAAGCAACTTCGACCAGTCGTCGCTGTATATACCAAACTTCAAATGTTCAAGCTGATTGAAGATAGTACTAACACTATACACAGACTGCACACACAACAACAAAATAACCAAAAAAAAACTCAATCTCAAGAAAACTTGAATTTGACAGATATGGAAACTTGAAGTTACCTCTTCTGGATTGTTGCATAATGCAAGCACTGAAAGAAGTCTGACGGATGCGATTGATTTCAAAAGCGTCTCAAACTCTTGACAAACCCTAATATCTGCCTCTTCCAACTTTGGAATATGCTCGATCAAACAGGAGAAAGTTTCGCTGAAATCCACAAACTTGAAGTACTTCAAAGAAGGAGTCACTATCACATAGCCACCAGAAGAACGTTGATACACCTCCAAGGTCAAACGCTGCAAAGACGGGACGTTAACAACTACCTCTATCAAATTGTCTTCGTGTCTATCACGTACAACACACAAATCTTCAAGAACAAGGCATTGCGATAGTAGCAGCCCAAGAGAGTCTTCGTTTGAGTATGTCACACGTCCAAGTTTCAAGGTTTTCAAGGAAGGGAGACAAACAGCTGGAGGAACATCCAAAACAATCTTTGAGCCTTCAAGTTTCATAGTCGTGAGCGAATCGGAGGTATACAAACTACTCGGGAGTGGTACATCGGAACCGGAACAAAAATAGCCGATACTTAGCTCACGCACAAAGCGAGAAACCGCAATCCCAACCCAAAGCTTGATATTCTCAGGCTGCAATGTACAATGACAAAACCTGAGGACCAAGCTTTCGATGACCGGAGCTCTATGTAACGGCAGTTTCTTGTTGATAAATTCCTGAAACCTCAAGGTAGAGTCAGGATCATCGGTTATAAAGTAGTCGTCGAACTCGAGTTTAGGCAACCACGTCCATAGAAACTCCCATTGTTTCGACAAAATGCCTGTGGAGACGGCAGATTTTGTTGGAAGAAACGATAATATCTTGATCAGCAATTCATCAGACAACTCACTGATTCTCACCATACCTAAACTTGTACTTTTCACTTCTTCTTCTTCCCCACCCTGAAACAGAAAGCAAGAATACCATAAAACACTCAAAAGGATCTGTCTGAAAAAAATAGCACCAAGTGAAAACAAAATTTCACAAAGAGGAACGGGACAAACCCCTAGAAAATCCAGGTGATGAGTCTTTTTCAGTGGAGGCTCAAATTCAGCTCGGAAACTAGAATTAGAATCTCAGAGTCTCCGGAAGAACTTCGGAAGCATAAGTTGACCTTTAAATATATATATATATATATATATCGATTTCAACTACTCTGACTAAAACTAATCATCTGAAAAGTGAATAGATCTGAGTAAGCTTGAATCTATAAAGTGATAGAAAAGGAAGAAGAAGAATGTGGTTTATCACAAGTATCTGAATCGTCGAGCTTTGAAACCGTAAATATGAAATGAGATAGCTCGAACTAGAGATCCATCAAGAACAGGAAGTAAGAGAGAATCACGATCTAGAAAAATAATCAAATGAAGAGAGATCACCTTGAATAATTTCGGATCTTTGATGATGAACAAAGAGGAACACAGTCCTGTGAGAGAGAGAGAGAGTGAAAGTCAATGGAAATAATCTGTTTAAATTATTCTCCCGAAAAGGACAAATAGATAGTAAGCATAAACCGGGTACAAACCAGATGATTTATGATGAAGACATTAAACCGAAATAATAAGGGATAAACCGGATAAGATGCAGGACCGCTAAAATTAAGCTACGAAAAACTGCGATATACAGCTGATACAGTAAAGAATGCTGAAAGCTAATATAAGTTGAACAAATCAAATAGCGTACATTTTTGGGTTTAATGTTTAAGCTAAGATATCATACAATTATTCATGAGTGTCTTAAACGGAATCGTAAAAACTTTTATTGTAGTGAGCAAACATTTAACTATTTAAGTCAAAACACAAGTAAAAAAAAAACTTGACTTACAACACAAACATACAATTTTGACTACAAACAACTAACCGCTCCCAAACACTGTGGCCTGTGGGAACTATTGCTTGGAAATCAAGGTTTCATCCACTGGGGATACTTCCACTTCCCCACCACACCGAAATAAAATTATGTATGATAATTTATTTATAAGAAAACAAATAGTCATTTTGTGATATTTTATCATTCATGATTATTTGACTAATAAAATCAAAATATAACCAGTTCATGATTATGATATTAATAATTATATTTTAGTAAGTAATTAATATACTTATTGTATGATGATTTTTTATTGTGCATTTACACTATTATAAAAATACTTATAAAAAAAACATTTCATGTTATTAATTGTGATTTTAAAATTTAACATAATAAATGCTAAAGATAATTGGAGTTATCGTAAACAAGTATCAAAAATATAAAGTACTAAACAGTTTTTGGAAGTGGAAGCCCCCTTCGCCCAGTGGTTGGCTAAAGGTTTACTAATGGCTTCTACACCAAGAGATCTGGGTTTCAATCCTCAGAAGATGCGATTTCTGCAGGTTATTGGAGGAAGGTTCACATAACGAAGGCAAGAGCAGATAAGGAAAATTTCCAGAACGGTACACGATATCTATTCATGGTAGGTTCATATAAGGATGGATCTTGGTAGAATAGTTAATTATCCGTTAATAATTATTCTTGTAATTGTCCTCTTAGACGTTATAAAAAGAAACAGTTTTCGAATGTGTGGGGAAAAAAAAAATTTCATATTAATAGATTTTATATTTTATAAATATTGTAAGAAATTTAGGTTATATATAAAAAGTAAAATTAAAAGTAAGAGACTAAAAAATAAGATTTTTCTAAATATAATTTAGCAAAAAGGATGTTGTGGTTTTAGCCCATAATCTCATAATCATTAAGGAAAATATCTAGCTTAATTAGATTCATATTAATGAACTTAACATAGGATTTTGTAAATTTAGAAAAGAATAACATATATTTTACTTAGACAACATATCCAGAGAAATTATTATATTTAGAGAGTTGTTTTAAAAGTAATTAATAATATTAAAATATATATATAGGAGTTAGTTTTATTATTCAATCTTATCAAATAATTTGAATTTCTGAAAATATTCTTAGTTATAATTTTAAAGTTATCGAAAGCTCTCTATAATGGATCCAGATATGATGATAGAAAGAGAGTTAACAGATGGTGATGTTTCCAATACACAAGGTTTGTATTTAACAAAAAAGAAGATGGACAAGATATTAGTAAAGATGGGAGTTACAATACCAGAAAATGGGGGTCATAAAATGGAAAATTCAAGATAAAGACAAATCTTATCAAGTGATTATAAAAAAAAAGAAAAATAGGTTATTATATCGGAAATGGATGGAGCAATATCAGACATGCAAAAGATCTGAAAAAAGGCCAACTCATCCAATTATATTGGAAAGATGGCAAATTTATTTTGTCTATAAAGTGAGTTTTCTTTAGTTTTTTAAAGCTATCTCGCATAATTTATTTATTTCCTCAATAGATCTATCTAACTAATGTTTTTTCTTTTTTTTTTGAAAAATTACCTTTTTGATGGGTTTTATGTCTTTTTAAGTAAAACAATAGCATATTAATTTGTATTGTGATAATTTATAGTTATGATGTCATAACTTATAGATCTTACAATTCTTATATAAAAACATGATATTATTGTGTAGTTATACAACATGTTTAAATTTGTTACATGGAAAATTTTATATATATAATTCATGATAAGAAAATTAATTATATATATTTCAGTGATAACATTAAAACGCCTGATGCAAAGCAAGTAGATCAAACTGGAGAAAGTGCAAAACAAGTAGATCAAACTGGAGAAAGTGCAAAACAAGCAGATCAGACATATCAGACAGGAGAAAGTAATTCAAGTAAAACTCTTTATGATACAGAAGAAAATGTGCCAAATAAGCGACACAAAAAGTTTTTTTTTGTTTTTTTTGAACTTTAATTGACATAAATATTGAATGGTGAATGTAATTAGTGTGGTATAAATATTACTCCCTCTGTTCCATATTATAAGTTGTTTTGGCATACTGTATCTGCAATTTTCTGGATGTATCTGGATGTGTTTCCATCCAGATACTTCCAAAAAATTGCAGATACATTATGCCAAAATTGCTTATAATATGGGACAGAGGGAGTATAATTTAATAAATTTTCAAGTATTTTGGATAACCTAAATGTGTTATATTTTTCTATAAATAAAATTGTATTGTTAATATATTAAATCATAATATTTTTCTTTTTTCATTTTTATATTGAAAAAAAAAAACAAGAGCCTCACCCTAAAGCACACTTTGTTAACGCACCTACTACATGGAAAATAAAAAGATGAGGATCTTTTAGTTTTGGACAGTATGTATTTCTCTAATTTTCTAACATAATAAAAATAAAAGCAAGAACGAAACAAATTTTGTTTCTTTTATTAAATTTATCTTCTATAATTTATTTATTTTCTTAATAGATCTATTTAATTAATGTTTTTATTTTGTGTGGAATAATCACATTTTTGATAGGTTTTATGTCTATCCTACGTAAAACAGTACGTAGCATATCAGTTTGAGATCATAATTATAGATCTTAAAAGCCTTATACAAAAACATGATATTATGGTGTAGTTATATCATGCTTTAAATTTGGACAACATGCTCTAAATTTGATACATGAAAAATTGTCATTTCAGTGAATCACCTGATGTAAAACAAACATATCAGATTGAAGAAAGTGTAAAACAAGCCGATTAGACATATCAGACGGGAAAAAGCAATTCAAGTATAAAGTTCCTATAGAAAAAGAAAATAAAACAAAACAAAGTGTGTCAAACTAGCGACATAAAAGTTTTTTTTCTTTTTTTTTGAATTTCAGATGACATATAAGTTGAATAATGATCAATTTAATAAGTATGGTATAAATATTATAACCTGAGGGGAGAGTGAAACTTATTTAGATTCGGATGCCTTGTTTGTTGAGGCCATAACGGGCTTGATGACTGGTGAAGAAGAGGTTCCCTCAGGGTAAGATAAAATTTTGTAAATAGAAGAAGTGTTACTTGTTACTGCTGGTGTTGAACGTGGAGTCACATCCTTAGATGGGGTGAAAGTGGCACAAACAGAAACCGGAGTAGTTTTCTCTAATATAGGGATGCTTGCAGGGTTTTCCAGATCTTTTCCCTTCGGGATTAGTCTGAATCTCTGCATAGGTATGAAATTTACCTCTGAGTTATAAAAAAATATTTTACACATTCAAAAAATATTAACTAAATGAACACAGTAGACTCAGTCACTTAGATTTTTTAATATTATAATTTATACACATAATATATTGTAACAACTTCTCTCAAATGGTTATATGGCGAATTATAATTTTTTTGTTATTCTTGTTTGATTTTTTTATGAATTAATTTACTTAATATTATAGAAGGATCAAGAATGATCCATGATATCATTGAAGATATTTGTAATTATAACTTCATATTTCGTATATGTCTAGATTAGGAAACTACGTTAATTGTGAATATTATTTCCCACTATATAAATATATCTATCATGTAAATCAGTTCTAATGAGAGTCAATATAATATTCTTCCCATCCTAAACTCTCATCACTCTAATATGGTATCAGAGCAGGTTATGCTCAAGAGTTTTGATCTAACAATCAAACTCTTTTTTTTTTCTTCATCTATTCCAAGCCATGTGCTTCCTTCATTCAAGTCTATCATGACCTCTGAATCAAACTCTCTTCTTTTTCTTCATTCTTTTTATTTTATGTTTTAAGCTATATGCTTCCAAATTCAAATCATTTTTCTGGGAATGACTCACTCTTCTCAACTCAAGCCATGTGCTTCTCAAAACCTTAGAGTTTTCCTTCACAAAAAAAAAAAAAAGTTTTTACTTTATTTCAGGCTATCGATTCCCTTTATCTCTTTCTACTTCTCCATTCTCATTTTCTTCCATCTTCTCATCTTTTTCTTCTTTCTATTTAAAAAAAAAACTTTCTTTAATGAATTTCCAAGCAAATCTATGCTTCCTCTTATTTTTTTCTCATTGATTTCACATCTCATTTAAAAAAAAAAAAAAAAAAACAAAACCCACATATCCCATCTCTTCACCTCTTCCTATTTCTCTACTCTAAAAAAAAATGATTTCATTTTCTGAATGTTCAAGCCATCGAGCTTCCAGTAATTTTATTTATTTTACTAATGAAAAAAAAAAAAAAAAAAAATTCTTCTCCATGAAGAAGCTTTCTCCTTGCTTCAAACTCCAAGCCCAGAGAAGGATGCATCACAAAAGATCTTCAATATCATCTCCTTCCTTAACAGCTCTTCAAGATCTAATTCTCTCTACTCCACCATCCATGTCCATCGCTCCATCTTCCGTCGCATCTACGTCCCCGAACGGTTTTCAAAGCAAGTCTACTTCACCGATCAATCTCAAGGCGCTAATTTCGCACATCTCCATTACCCCCTTGAGCTTGAGGGGGCATGTAGAAGGATCTAGAATGATCCATGATATCATTGAAGATATTTATAATTATAACTTCATATTCGTATATGTCTAGATTAGGAAACTACGTTAATTGTGAATATCATTTCCCACTATATAAATATATTTATCATGTAAATCAGTTCTAATGAGAGTCAATATAATATTCTTCCCATCCTAAACTCTCATCACTCTAATATGGTATCAGAGCAGGTTATGCTCAAGAGTTTTGATCTAACAATCAAACTCTTTTTTTTTTTCTTCATCTATTCCAAGCCATGTGCTTCCTTCATTCAAGTCTATCATGACCTCTGAATCAAACTCTCTTCTTTTTCTTCATTCTTTTTATTTTATGTTTTAAGCTATATGCTTCCAAATTCAAATTCATCATGAACCTCTGAATCATTTTTCTGAGAATGACTCGCTCTTCTCAACTCAAGCCATGTGCTTCTCAAAACCTTAGAGTTTTCCTTCACAAAAAAAAAAAAGTTTTTACTTTATTTCAGGTTATCGATTCCCTTTATCTCTTTCTACTTCTCCATTCTCATTTTCTTCCATCTTCTCATCTTTTTCTTCTTTCTATTTAAAAAAAAAACTTTCTTTAATGAATTTCCAAGCAAATCTATGCTTCCTCTTATTTTTTTCTCATTGATTTCACATCTCATTTAAAAAAAAAAAAAAAAAAAACAAAACCCACACATCCTATCTCTTCACCTCTTCCTATTTCTCTACTCTCCCTTCTTTCTATTTAAAAGATTAAAAAAAAAATGATTTCATTTTCTGAATGTTCAAGCCATCGAGCTTCCCAGTAATTTTATTTATTTTACTAATGAAAAAAAAAAAAAAAAAAAATTTCTCCATGGAGAAGCTTTCTCCTTGCTTCAAACTCCAAACCTTGCTGCAACTCAGCCAGAGAAGGATGCATCACAAAAGATCTTCGATATCATCTCCTTCCTTAACAGCTCTTCAAGATCTAATTATCTCTACTCCACCATCCATGTCCATCGCTCCATCTTCCGTCGCATCTACGTCCCCGAACGATTTTCAAAGCAAGTCTACTTCACCGATCAATTTCAAGACGCTAATTTCGCACATCTCCATTACCCCCTTGAGCTTGAGGGGGCATATAGAAGGATCCAGAATGATCCATGATATCATTGAAGATATTTATAATTATAACTTCATATTTGTATATGTCTAGATTAGGAAACTACGTTAATTGTGAATATCATTTCCCATTATATAAATATATTTATCATGTAAATCAGTTTTAATGAGAGTCAATATAATATTCTTCCCATCCTAAACTCTCGTCACTCTAATAGATATAACGAGTAAAATGATAGAGAGATGACAAAATAAAGAATAAAAAGAAGATGGAAGAAGAAAATAATAGAAGGAGATGTGAGGGAAACATATTTAACAAATCAAAGCGCAATACTTTTCTTTTTTAAAGGTATATAATTCTAATATCTAGTACGTACGTCTATGAGACTCAATTGCAACGCTAGTACTTCTTCATGTCTAAGACGTCTACGAGCCTGCCTGCCTAGCGCGAATGATGATGATGATCAACGCTAGTACTTCTTGGTATTGGATTAAGACCAGCTAACAAATGACTCATGAATATCGCGGAAAAGTGTAATAAAAGACTGGTTTTTTAATGCTGAATAAAAAAGAAGATGAGATCAATCTGAAAAGGCTGATCATAGACATAGCTTTCATAGTATCTTACATATCACAAACATTGTGAATGATTGATGTAGACGTCAAGCAACAAGCGTGTTTGAAGAAGAAACTCAAGAAATCTCTCTCTTCTTGTGTTGCCGTGTAATCTTTAAACTCAAAAGTTTCGAGAGTCTTCAACAAACATTCAGGAACAGAGCTCCACGTAACTGGCTGATACACCTCCAATTCTGGATCTTTCTGCGATTTAAAAACAAAAAACAAAAAAAGAAGAGTCAAGATTACACCATAGAGTGGTTTTAACTGAAAACAGTGAATGAAGAAACTTACATCGACATAGAGATTGAGGACTCGCAGTTTAGGAGAATTTCTGAGCAACCAGACAAGCAACTTGGACCAATTGTCGCTGTATATACCTAACTTCAAATGTTCAAGCTGATTGAAGATAGTACTAACACTATACACAGGCTGCAAACAGGACACCGAAATAACAAAAAGAAAACTCAATCTTAAGAAAACTCAACTAAAAACTTGAAGTTAGCAGATGGAAACTTGAAGTTACCTCTTCTGGACTGTTCCATAATGCAAGCACTGAAAGAAGTTTGACGGATGCGATTGATTTCAAAAGCTCCTCAAACTCTTGAAAAACACTAATCTCTGCCTCTTCCAACTTTGGAGCATGCTCAATCAAACAGGAGAAAGTTGCGCTGAAATCCTCGACTTTGAAATACTGCAAAGAAGGAGTAACTATCACATACCCACCAGGAGAACGTTGAAACACATCCAAGGATAAACGCTGCAAAGACGGGACGTTAACAACTATCGCTCTCAAGTTGTCTTCGCTTCCAACTCGTTCAATACACAAATCTTCAAGAACAGGGCAATGCGGTAGAAGCAGACGAAGAGAGTCTTCGTTTGCGTATGTCACACGTCGAAGTTGCAAGGTCTTCAAGGAAGGGAGACAAACAGTTGGAGGAACATCCAAAACAATCTCTGGGCCTTCAAGTTTCAGAGTCATGAGGGAATTGCATGTATACAAGCTACTCGGCAATGGTGCATCAGGTCCATCGTGATTGAGAAAAAAGTAGCTGATGCTTAGCTCACGCACAAAGCGAGAAACCGCGATCCCAACCCAAAGCTTGATATTCTCAGGCTGAGGTAACCTTCTATGACAAAACCTGAAGAGCAAGCTTTCGATGACCGGAGATTTATGTAACGGCAGATTCTTGTTGATAAACTCCCGATACCTCAAGATAGAGCCAGGATCATCGATTATTGAGTAGTCGCAGAACTCGAGTTTAGGCAACCACGTCCATAGAAACTGCCATTGTTTCGACAAAAGGCTTGTGGAGACAGCAACTTTTGTCGGAAGAGTCGATATTATCTTGATCAGCAATTCATCCGACAAATCACTGATTCTCAGTGCCATATCTTTGCAAAGTCCAAGAAATCCTTACCCTCGACACTGAAACAGAAAACAAGAATACCATTAAACACTCAAAAGGATCTGTCTGAATCCCACAAATCTGTCTGAATCCCACAAAACAAGAATACAATTAAACACTCATAAGGATCTGTCTGAATTCCAAAATATTAAATTATTACCAAGTGAACAAAATATTCACACAAAGGAACAACACAAAACCCTAGAAAATCCAGGTGACGAGTCTTTTTCAGTTCTCTTATAAGTTGACCTTATAATCCATTTCAATTACTCTGACTAAAACTAATCATCTGAAAAGTGAATAGATCTAGGTAAGCTTGAATCGATAAAGTGAATAGAAAAGGAAGAAGAAGAAGAAGATTATGGTTTATCAGAAGTATCGGAATCGTACAGCTTTGGAACCGTAATTATGAAACGAGACAAATTCGAACTAGAGATTCATCAAGAACACGAAGCAAGAGATAATCAAGATCTAGGAAAATAAATAATCAAACGAGGAGAGATCACCTTGAATAATTTCGGATCCTATATGATGAACAAAGAGGAACAATCGCGTGAGAGAATGGAAGAAAGGAGAAAAAAAGTCAATGGAAAATATTCTGTTTAAATATTCTCCCGAAAGGACAAATAGTAAGCATAAACCGGGTATAAACCATATGATTTATGATTCAAGGCAGTAAACCAAAATGATAAGGGACCGCAAACAATAACCGCTGGAAATCGTGATTTCATAATTCACCGGGGCTATTTCGATTTCCCCAGCCACACTGTCTTAAGTAACGCTATTAATTAACAAATGCATGCTTATAAAAACATGTCATGTTATTAATTGTAATTTTGTAAACATAATTTAGCAAAAGAAATGTTGTGCCTTCCCAGAATCTCTCGTAATCATTAAAAAATGTAAATACGAGATCTAGTTTAATTCGAATCATATTAATGAACTTTACATTAGAATCATATTAACGAATCATATTGACAACTATATATATGGATGGATATGAGGAGCTATTTTATTATTCAAACTTCTCAAATATTGTATCTTCTCAAAGCATTCTAGTTCTATTTTCAAAGTAATCAAAAGTTTTCTAAAATGGATCCAGATATATTGATAAAAAAAGAGTTAACAGATGGTGATGTTTCCAATTACCGAGGTTTGTATTTACCAAAAACGAAGATGGAAAACATATTACTAAAGATGAGAGTTACAATACCCAAAAATGGTCTTCAAATGGAAGTTCTAGATAAAGAAAAATCTTATGATGTAAAACTAAAAAAAAATAAAGCTGGTTATTATATTGGAGCTGGGTAGAGCAATATTAGACATGCAAGAGATATGAAAAAAGATCAATTCATCCAATTATATTGGGTAGATGGCAAATTTATTTTTTCTATAAAGTGAGTTTTCCTTTATATTTTACAGTTATTTCACATAAATTATTTATTTTCTTAATAGATCTATCTAACCAATGTGTTTTTTTTTTTTTTGAATAATTACATTTTGAATGGGTTTGATGTGTCTCCTAAGTAAACGAGTAGCATAATAACTTGCATTGTGATAAATTATATAGATATAATCTCATAATTTATAGGTATTAAAAACTTTATACAAGAACATGGTATTATGAATCATGTAGTAATACAACATGCTTAAAATCTGATATGTAGAAAATGTTATAATATATAATGCATGATAAGAAAATATATATACATTTCAGTGATAACGGTAAATCGCCTGATGCAAAACAAATAGATCAAACTGGAGAAAGTGCAAACCAAGAAGATCAGACATATTAGATAGGAGAGAGTCGTTCGAGTAAAACTCCTATAGAAAATGTGTCCAATAAGCGATAAAAACGTTTTTTTTTCTTCTTTTAAGTGACATAAAAGTTGAATGGTGAATATAATAAGTGTGCTATAAATATTATAATTTGATAATTTTTCTATGTATTTTTTTTTTCTATGAATAAAACCAGATTGTTAATATATTTAATTTGTTTTATTTTTCATTTTTATATTGAAAAAAATAAAGACAAAAGCCCCACACATAGCTAACGCGCGCACACACCTACATGGAAAAGAAACAAGCTCTCCACCACTAGCGACCAGAGATCTCAATGTGGTCTTGTCTGATTGTCTCTTGGCTTAGCTCATTCAATTAAACTTAAAAACAGTTACGATCATTGTAAACATGATTTTTTGGTCGAATAAATTCTAACACATTAAAAAAAAACGAACACAGTAGACTCAGTCACTTGGATTTTTTAATATTATAATCTATACACATAATATATTGTAACTATACTTCTCTTAAATGGTTACTTGGCGAATTATAATTTTTTGTTATTCTTGTTAGATTTTTTTATGAATTAATTTACTTGATATTAGTAACGAGTAAAATGGGAGAGAGATGACAAAATAAAGAAGAATAAAAAGAGGATGGAAGAAGAAAATAATAGAAGGAGATGTGAAGGAAACCAATTTAACAAATCAAAGCGCAATTTTTTTTCCTTTTTAAACCTAATTCTAAAGAACGATGAGCAACACTAGTACGTCTATGAGACTCAATTGCAAGACTATCACTTCTTCATCACTTCATGTATAAGACATCAACGAGCCTGCCTGCCAGTACAATTGAACTTTTTCATCTTTATGTGATCACTCAAAAAAAAAACATCTAAGTAAACAATGCACTTGTAATTTGTGAATACCAGAACACAAGTAAAAAAAGCATTTGACACAAAAACATTACCTAGAAGTTCACTCAAAACAACTAAACGCTCCCAAAATCTCTAGCATCGTTTGGAAATCATCATGCCTCCATTATTGACACTTGTATTTGATATCAATGACTCTTTATTCATGAATGTCTTTAACTTCTAGCAATCTATGTTTAGCTAGTTTTAAAGAGAATCTTAAAAGCATTTGCGGTTACTAGTGACAAAACATGTGAGTTAAAATACTGCAATTCTAATTTGTGATTTGGTAAACCAGAACACAAGTAAAAGAACTTGGCTTACTATACACACATTGTGTCAGAGTAGGTGAAGCTAAAAAAAAACTAATTGCATCCAAACAAGTATGTGAATTGCATATCGTTCAGAAATCACTTTTCTATTCTCCCCTAACACTGCGATTAAAAACGACGTGAGGCACGAATGACTGATGTAGACTTCAGGCAAAAAGCGTGTTTGAAGAAGAAACTCAAGAAATCTGTTTCCTCTTGTCTCTCCCTGAAACCTGCAAACTCAAAAGTTTCGAGACTACTCAAGAGACATTCAGGAACAGGGCTCTCTTTATTCTTCAAGTCAACAGGTTCATACGCATCAAACCGTGGCCACGTCTGCGATTATCCAAATGAAAAAAACATGAGAGAAACATAACAGAGTCACGATCACATCATATAGTGCTATTAGCTGAAAAGAGTAAATGAAGAAACTTACATCAACAAATAGATTGAGGACTCGCAGTTTAGGAGAATTTCTGAGCAACCAGAGAAGCAACTTGGACCAATTTTCCCTGCATATACATAGCTTCAAATGTTCAAGCTGACTGAATACAATCCCAGCGCGATCCACAGTCTGAACACAAAACAACGTAAATAACAAAGATATCAATCGCAAGAAAAATCCAATCTAGTGATATAATGCAACTGGAAACTTGAGGTTGACAAGATGGAAACTGTTTACCTCTTCTTTACTACAAAACATTGGGCGTAATGAAAGACGTCTGGCCGATTTGACAGATTTGAGAACCTTCTCGATATTGGTTACAACTGCAATATCAGCCTCCTCCAGCTTTGGCATAGGCTCAATCAAACATGAGGCATAATGTCTGTAATCCACAATTTTGAGATACTTCAAAGAAGGGGTATCTATCACACACCCATCATCAGAACAACTACCACCTATCTCCAAGACCAACCTCTGCAAAGACGGGACGTTAACAACTATCGCTCTCACATTGTCGTCCACATCATATCGGTAGATGAAAAGAATTTCAAGAACAGGGCAAGAGGATATAAGCAGCCCAAGAGAATCTTCGTTTGAGTATGTCACACGTCGAAGTTGCAAGTTCTTCAAGGAAGGGAGATAAACAATCCGAGGAACATCCACAAGAATGATCTCGCCTTCAAGTTTCAGTGTCATGAGGGAATTGCATGTGTACAAACCACTCGGCAATGATAATACATCATTGAAATAAATAGAGACAATACTTAGCTCACGCACGCAGCGAGAAAGCGCAATCCCTATCCATAGTTTGATTTTCTCAGGTTGAGGTAATCTACGATGACAAAACCTGAGGAGCAAGCTTTCTATGACCGGAGCTCTATGCGATGTCAGATTCTTGTCCATAAATTCCTCGTACCTCAAGGTACCCGACCATGAAGACAATGGACCAGTGATATCATACTCACCGTACTCAAGTTTAGGCAACCACATCCAGAGAAACTGCCATTGTTTCGATAAAATGCTTGTGGAGACTGCAACTTTTGTTGGAAGAAACGACAATATCTTAAGCAGCAAGTCATCACACAATTCACTGATTCCTACCATATCGTTGCAAATTTCAAACCCTAGATAAGATACTGTTACCGTCGACCTAAAATCTGAGAAAACAACAAAAAAACAAAGGTTCGTTGTCACACCGTCGGTTTTGCTTCCTGGGCTTGGGCCTGAGTATCATGTGAAACTCTTTCTTATCACTACTTTGCTCGGTGAATCCACGAATTCAACCTTCGATCTTATCATGTGGTTTTAGGTCTACTGTCTTGTTATATTTTTACTGTTTATCTGACATAAACTCAAATGATATCCCTTTTAAGAGAATGAATGGGGCATTTTAAGTTACAGTTAAACATGTTTAAAACAAAAGAAGTAACAATAATTGGAATTAATGTCTAGAAAGCTCTAAACAGAGTCCAAAGTAAACTAAAGAATAAAACAGAAGGCCTATGCAACACAACGAAACAGAAGGCCTAAGAGACCAAACTGTTAAGAATAATTCTACATTAAAACAGCTTTAAGAGAGCAAAGCTGTCCTATTGTCTGTCTACAAACAACTTAATAACCGCTCCCAAAAACTCCATGAAACTTGAACTCGGCCTCAATGCGATTCGGACTGGATTAAACCTTCGAGCTCCATAACCTGAATTTTAGGAGACGTGTCACAAATATTACACAATAGAGTTGGTTTTCTTCTTTATTATGACTATAAGAGGCTTGAGTCGGAAGTCACTCACATCTTATTATATAAAGCTGGATGCGCACGACGTGGTTGCGACACGTAGGATTTTTATAAAATTTGAGATTGCGACATGTGTCACTTTTAATGTTATGTCCGTTAAGATCGTGACATGTGTCTTAGAAAAAAAGAAAAAATAATAATAATTAAAAAAAAAATAGATAAAGGAAAAAAAAACGAAATTTTAATCTTTTATAGTGAAAAGAAAAAAAAATATTTATCATATCCTAATAGAAAAAGGTTTCCCTTCATCAAATTTATATTGGTAAACTAAATTTCCTATAACAGTTACATGAACCCCTATAAAAAAAGAGTTAAAGTAGTCTTTTGTACCAGATAATTCAATCTCAAGAAAACCAAATTTAAATGCGATTGAAAACTTGAAATTTGACAGATGGAATTAACAGGTTACCTTTTCTTGTTTGGCGCCTGATGCACGTAATGTAAGACGTCTGACAGATGTGACTGATTTGAGAACCTTCTCGATACCTTTGATAACTTCAATATCTGCCTCTTCCAGCTCTGGCATAGGCTCAATCAAGTAGGAGTACTTCAAAAGACTGTGGTCCACAATTTTGAAATACTTCAAAGAAGGGGTAACTATCGAATACCCATCATAAGAACATCCGAAACCTATATGCAAGTATAAACGCTACAAAGACGGGACGTTAACAACTATCGCTCTCACTTTTTTATCCTCACCAGCTCGCACAATAAGCAGATCTTCCAGAACAGGGCAATGCGATAGAAGCAGACGAAGAGAGTCTTCATTTGAGTATGCCACACGTTGAAGTTTCAAGGTCTTCAAGGAAGGGAGACAAACAACTTGAGGAACATCCACGAGAATGTTGTTGCCTTGAAGTTTCAACGTCATGAGGGAATTGCATGTATACAAACTACTCGGCAATGATAATACATCACGCGGTTCACCAAGGAAACAATAATAGTCAACAGTTAGCTCACGCAGGAAGCGAAAGACCGCAATCTCAACCCATTGTTTGAATCTCTCAGGGTGAGGTAAAGTATTCTGACGAAAGCTGAGGATCAAGCTTTCTATGACTGGAGATCTATGCAATGGCAGTTTCTGGTCGATGAAATCCCGATATGAAGACAATGGCCCAGTGATATCATAGTCACAGTACTTAAGTTTAGGCAACCACATCCAGAGAAACTCCCATTGTTTGGACAAAATGCTTGTGGAGACAACAACTTTTGTTGGAAGAAACGATAATACCTTGATCAGCAAGTCATCAGACAAATCACTGATTCTCACCATATCTTTGAAGAATAAAGAAATTGCTACCCTAAGTAAGCTTGGACTTCTCCCGACCCTGAAACAAAGGATCTATTCTGAAGCTAACCAAACAAAAGCCACACAAAGGAATTGAAGGAGACGAAACCCTAGAAAATCCAGGTGATATGAGTACTATTTTTCAGAGGAACCTCAATTTCAGCTTGGTAAACAGAAGAAGATGACAACTGATAAACTGTTTCTCTGAGCTAAGAAATCGATAAAAAAAAAGGAAGAAGAAGGAGGTGTATCGGAATCGCAGAGCTTCGTCTTTATCGAAGTTACGGTAAGCCAAAGCTTTTGTGTTTTTGCCGCCGTAGTCGATACATGTATAATTATGCTTCCTTTAGCGAATGGGCCTGGGCTTTGTTCTTTGGTATTTTGTGAAACTCTTTCCTTGTTCAAGAAGCAATCTTCTGTTAACGGTCTCAATGTAAGAGAGAGATAGAATGAGACAAATAAGTATCATCGTAATAATGGTAAGGGTATTGGATTAAGATCATATTATATATAGAGAAAGTAGTGGACTAACACGTATTATTAAATTTTGAAGGGAAAGTGGGAAAGAGTAATCTTTTATTGAACAGAGAGCTTCATGAGACAAATAATCGAAAATTGTGCATTTTTCAATACAACTGTAATTTATGGAGCATCCAGGTTTAATTTTCTCATCGACAGTAGTGATCATAACACGCTATGCGGTGTAGGCTTCACAGTTACAAGTTACAACAACAGCTCAAAGGGCAAAACAAAAATATGAAGCTCTTTCAATTGAGTATTGCAAAAGCATATAATACCTCCAAATTAAAGTTACAGTGCCTTTCTTCTTGCTTCTTTTTTCGTATAACCAAGCTGAAGAAAGGTAAATGCAAAGGCAGATCACTTCAGCAACAACAATATGAAGATAGGGATAATATACTGTGAGCATTCACTTCTGCCTACATTTTTGTGATAACGATAACCTTTCCAGTTTTTTGTCTTCCTAGTAAAGTTTCTAGAATTTATTAACCATAATACAGAAATAACAGCGTAGTTGGATAGTTTGTTGTTAGTGAAGAAAACAGGTCTCAGCTCCTGCTTGAGCTTAACATGCAGTCAAATTAACTCAAGGCATTTTTTAAGAGCACAAGAAACTAAGCATTGTAACTAAGATAGCTAACAAATGAGGAGAAAAGGGTAGATCTACGTGAGCTTGAACCGATCAAGTGAGGAGAAAAGGAAGAAGAAGCATTTGGTTTATCAGAAGCAAAACTCAAGGCTAGTAATGTGTCACAAAGAAAATCTGTAAAAACTAAAAAGACAAGGCAGGGAAATTAGTAGGCTTGTGACTTGACAACTACGTAAGTGTGTTTTCTCTTCTGTTTTTGCGTATCGTTTGATCTGGACATTTGTTTTTCTGTTGTAATTAAGAAACAATCAGTCAATATACTTGAGAGAGTTTTAGACTTTTAGTAATCCAAAAAAAAAGTAACAGGAATTGAAATTAATTTTGAGCTTGATGGAGCTTTATACTCTCAGAAAGCTCTAAAAAATATATGAAAAAACCGACTAAAGCTAGTCCTACTAGGCTACTAGCTCATCCGTAAATTGTTTAGAAGATCTTGGTCTCTTAGACATTATTTCAGTCATGAAATCCATTATCAATTGAACAATCAAATATTTGGTCTAAAATAGTTAGGTTTAAACTCTAAAATTAAGCTAAAATATCAAACATTATTCATAAGTGTCTTTTCAACTTCTAGCAGTCTCCGTTTAGCTAGTATCAAAGGCAATCGTAATAGATTTTTGAGGATAGTGAGAAAATTGTAGGAGACTATATTCGACAATAGAGTTGGTTGTCTTCTTCCAAAAGAGACTTGAGTAGCAAGGCACACATATAATTAATAGGTTTGGCAAGTACAACATATATAATCTGACCATAGAACTAAAACCACATGATAAGAAGGTAACAGGTTTCGTACGAGATCAAGTTCCCCCTATTCAGTTTAAATCACCTAATTTGTTCTTGGACAACAAAATAAACCCAAAAGTCAGAATCGGATGCGACAAATCATGGAACTTGATGAATGATTGATGTAGACTTCAAGCAACGAGCGTGTTTGAAGAAGAAACTGAAGAAATCTATCTGCTCTTGTGTTTGCATGTAACTTGAAAACTCAAAAGTTTCGAGACTCCTCAACAAACATTCAGGAACAGTGCTCTCTTTATTCTTCAAGTCAACCGGTTCATACTCCTTATATCTTGAATCCCACTAAGAGATACCACAAAAAAAAGGGAAGGGAGAAAGATTGAGAGTCAAGATTACAACCATAAGAGTGCTTTTAGCTGAGAACAGTGAATGAAGAAACTTACACCAACATGGAGATTGAGGACTCGCAGTTTAGGAGAATTTTCAAGAAACCAAACAAGCAACTTCGACCAATCCTTTCGGTACATGCGTAGCTTCAAATGTTCAAGCTTATTGAAGACGAAAACAGCAAGATACAAAGACTACTACACGCACGGCCAAGTTAATAACAAAAAAAAAAAAAAAAAGTCAATCTCAAGAAAACCCATTTTAAATGAAAACTTGAAATTGACCGATGGAAACAGGTTACCTCTTCTCCACTGATGATCCATGAGCGTAATGAAAGACGTCTGACAGATTTGATCGATTCGAGAATCTTCTCGATACCTTTCTTAACCTCAATATCAGCCTCTTCGAGCTCTAGCATAGGCTCGAACAAATAGGAGTAAAAATCTCTGTGGTCCACAATTTTGAAATACTTCAAAGAAGGGGTAACTATCGAATATCCATCAAAAGAACAAGAAGGACCTATGTGCAAGTATAAACGCTGCAAAGACGGGACGTTAACAACAAAGGCTCTCATATTGTCATACTTATCATTTCGTTCAATAAGCAGATCTTCCAGAACAGGGCAATGCGATAGAAGCAGCCCAGGAGAATCTTCATCTAAGTATGTCACAAATCGAAGTTGCAAAGTTTTCAAGGAAGGGAGACAAACAGTTGGAGAGACATCCACAAGAATCTTCGCTCCTTCAAGTTTCAAAGTCATGAGCGAATCACAGGTATACAAACTACTCGGCAATAATACATCATATTTGTCATTGTCATTGTAATTCAAATCACATCCAAATACTTAGCTCACGCACAAAGCGAGAAACCGCAACCCCAACCCATCGCTTGATTGTCTCAGGTTTCCTTAAACTACTACGACGAAATCTGAGGAGCAAGCTTTCTATGACCGGAGCTCTATGCAATGGCAGATTCTTGTCAATAAAATCACGACAACTCAAGGCCGAAGAGGCACTGGTATCATACTCATTGTACTCAAGTTTAGGCAACCACGTCCAAAGAAACTGCCACTGTTTCGACAAAAGGCTTGTGGAGACGGCAACGTTTGTAGGAAGAAACGTTAATATCTTAAGCAGCAAGTCATCAGACAACTCACTGATTCTCACCATATCGTTCCAAATTACAAACCCTAGGATAAGATCTTGTTACTGTCGACCGACTCTGAAGAAAAAAAAAAAACAAGAATTCAAACACCTAGATCCGTCTGAATTTAACCAAACGAATTAGTAACAAGGTCGTGAAAACAAAAGCCACACAGAGAAACGACACGAAGCCCTAGTATATCCAGGTGATAAGTCTCTTTCAGCTTCGAAAAAGGAATTAAAAACTGATTCTCTGAGCTAAGAAATCGAGTAAAAGGGTATATCCACGTAAAACTTGAATCGTGAGGAAGAAGAAAATGAAGAAGAAGGTCGTTTATCGGAAGATATCAGAATTGTACAGCTTCGTCTCCATTGGTAAACTTCAAACAATTGTCGCCGTCAATACTTATGCCTGATGGGCCTATTCTTGGGCCTGAGTATTATGTGATGCTCTTTCTTATGTTGAAAAAAAAAGCAGATTTATCTCCATAGACGCCACAAAGGACAAAACCCTCTCCGTAGGAGATTGTAGTTGTAGATAAACAAAAGAGGGAATATTTTTTCATCCACATCATTAGCTGGACGAAGACAACACTGAAAAGGAAGATTTAGAAAATCGCCAATGTGTTTTTTAGTTTGTTTCTTAATTCAGAAAACTAGAGAAACAAACAGAAGGCCTAAGCAACACAACAAAACAGCTAAGAGACCAAAATATTAAGAATAAATTCTACAAGAAAACAGCTACAAGAGAGCAAAGCTGTTCTACTGTCTACAAACAACTAACCGCATTCAAAAACTCTATGAACTTGAACTCGGGCTCAATGCGATTCGGACTGGATTAACCCTTCGAGCTCAAAAACCTGTAAAGTAGGAGACGTGTCACGAATGTTCCACAACAGAGTTAGTTTACTTCTTTAATAAGACTATAAGAGACTTGAGTCGCAAGTCACTCACATATATCAATTAATAGTTTACAGGTTATTTCATCATATAACCAGCCCGTAGAACTAAAACAACATGATAAGATCAAAGGTAACAGGTTTCTTTCCAAAGCAAGTTTCACATTTAATTAAATTTAAATGATTGTTCTTGGAGAAAAAACAAACTCAGGATTCAGAGTCAAATGCCACAACTCTTGTTTAAAGTTTCAGTTAAATACCTTCAAGCAAGAAGCGTGTTTGAAGAAGAAACTCAAGAAATCTTTCTCTTCTTGTGTCCCACTGAAACCTGCAAACTGAAAAGTTTTGAGACTCCTCAACAAACATTCAGGAACAGAACTCCGTTTATTCTTCCACGTAACCCGTTCATACGCATCAAACTGTGGCCACATCTGCGATTATCAAGAAAAATATAAAAGAGTCACGATCACATCATATAGTGCTATTAGCTGAAATTAGTAAATGAAGAAACTTACATCAACAAATAGATTGAGGACTCGCAGTTTAGGAGAATTTCTGAGTTCCCAACTTTTGACCCCCTTACATACTTTCTCTAGCTCCGCCCCTGACTTGGACCAATCCTCGCTGTATATGCATAGCTTCAAATGTTCAAGCTGATTGAATACAATACCAGCGCGATCCACAGTCTGCACACAACGTAAATAACAAAAATTTCAATCTCAAGAAAATCCAATCTAGTGATATAAATAATGCAACTAAAAAAAACTTGAAGTTGACAGATGGAAACAGGTTACCTCTTCTGCACAATAAAACAATGGGCGTAACGAAAGACGTCTGACAGATGTGATTGATTTGAGAAACTTCTCGATATTAATTACAACGTCAATATCTGCCTCTTCCAGCTTTGGCATAGGCTCAATGAAACAAGAGGGATCATCTCTCTCTCATCCACAATTTTGAGATACTTCAAACAAGGGGTCACTATCACATACCCATCAGAAGAACATTCGTTACCTATCTCCAAGACTAACATCTGCAAAGATGGGGATTTAACAACCATCGCTGTCACATTGTCACCAGCACTATCTCGTTCGATAAGAAGATCTTCAAGAACTGGGCAATGCGACAGAAGCAGTCGGAGAGAATCTTCGTTTGAGTATGTCACACATCGAAGTTGCAACGTCTTCAAGGAAGGGAGACACGCCGTTCCAGGAACATCCACAAGAATCTGTGCGCCTTCAAGTTTCAGTGTCATGAGCGAATCGCAGGTATACAAACTATTCGGTAAGACCACATCAGGTCCGTCACTGTAACGATAATATTTTATACTTAGCTCACGCACAAAGCGAGAAAGCGCAATCCCAACCCATCGTTTGATTTTCTCTGGTTGAAGTAATCCACCACCAAATCTGAGGAGGAGCAAGCTTTCTATGACCGGAGCTCTATGCAATGGCAGATTCTTGTCGATAAAATCCAGATAACTCAAAGCGGAAGAGTCATTGATACGATAGTCACAGTACTCAAGTTTAGGCAACCACATCCAGAGGAACTGCCATTGTTTCGACAAAATGCTTGTGGAGACTGCAACTTTTGTTGGAAGAAATGTTATTATCTTAATCAGCAATTCATCTGACAAATCACTTATTCTCGCCATTTCTTTGTCACCCTACAACTCAGACTTTCCTGACTCTGAAACAGAAAAAACAAGAACACCATAAGACACTCTAAAGGATCTGTCTGAATCCGACCAAACTAATTAGTAACGAAGTGGAACCAAAAGTCACATAGAGGGAATGAGACCAAACCCTAGAAATTCCAAGGTCACGAGTCTTTTTCAGTGGAGGCTTAATTTCAGCTCAGAAAACAGAATTATAAGATAAATCAGAGTCTCCCGAAGAACAGCGAAAGCAAAAGACGACACTTTATATACCCATTTCAACTACTCTGACCCACTTTATATACACTTTATGTACGTAATGAAAGACGTCTCACAGATGTGACCGATTCGAGAATCTTCTCGATATCTACCATGACATCAATATCTGCCTCTTCCAGCTTTGACATAGGCTCAATCAAATAAGAGTGAATATATCTGTTATCCACAATTTTGAGATACTTCAAACGAGGGGTCACTATTACATACCCATCATCAGAAGAACAGTCGCTATCAATCTCCAAGGATAACCTCTGCAAAGACGGGACGTTAACAACTAACGCTCTCACATTGTCACCATCATCTCGTTGAATAAGCAGATCTTCCAGAACTAGGCAATGCGATAGAAGCATACGAAGAGAGTCTTCATTTAAGAATGTCACACGTAGAAGTTTCAAGGTCTTCAAGGAAGGGAGACAAGCCGTTCGAGGAACATCCACAAGAATGGTCTCGCCTTGAAGTTTCAGTGTCATGAGCGAATCGCAGGTATACAAACTACTTGGCAATGATATTACATCACTGTATTTGGGTTTGAAACAAGAAGAGACAATACTTAGCTCACGCACAAAGCGAGAAACCGCAATCCCAATCCATAGTTTGATTTTCTCAGGTTGAGGTAATCTAATATGACAAAATCTGAGGAGGAAGCTTTCTATGACCAGAGCTCTATGCAATGGCAGAATCTTGTCGATAAATTCCTCATACCTCAAGGTCGGACATAAAGACAATGGATTAGTGATATCATGGTACTCAAGTTTTGGCAACCACATCCAAAGAAACTGCCATTGTTTCGACAAAATGCTTGTGGAGACTGCAACTTTTGTGGGAAGAAACGACAATATCTTAAGCAGCAAGTCATCAGGCAACTCACTGATTCTCACCATATCTTTGCAAAATACAAAACCCTAGATAATATACTGTACCGTCGAGCTAAAATCTGAAACAAAAAAAAATGGATCTGTCTGAATCCGACCAAACAAATTAGTAACAAGAGATAACAAAAGTCGCACACAGGAACGAGAGGTAACCCTAAAAAATCAAGGTGATGAGTCTTTTTCAGCGAAGGCTCACTTTCAGCTGGGAAAACGGAATTAAATGATAAATCAGAGTGTCCCGGAGAAGGAGGTGGTTTATCAGAAGATATAGGAATCGGAGAGCTTGGTCTACATCGAAGTTTCAGTAAGACAAAGCTTCGTTGTCACCGTCGACGCTTAATCAGACGGTTCTGCTTCCTGGGCTTGGGCCTGAGTATCATGTGAAACTTTGAGTAGATCTAACCTTGCTTGGGTAGATTTACGTTGAGACAAGGCAAGGAAATTAGTAGGCTTGTGACTTAACAACAAACTTAAGTGTGTTTTCTCTTCTGTTTTTGCGTATCGATGATGTTAGAGTTTATTCTTTTCATTTGTTTTTGAGTTTGTAACCGAGACACATTACTTGAGAGACCAAAATGTTTAGAACTTGACTTGAGAGAGAGTTTTTACGGTTTATCTGACATAAACTCAAATGATATCCTTTTTTAGAGAATAAATGGGGCATTTTAAGTTACACTATAAATGTTAAAACAGAGTCCAAAGTAAAAACAAACAGAAGGCCTAAGCAACACAACAAAACAGCTAAGACACCAAAATGTTTAGAGTTTGACTTGCAACACAAACATTTCTTAGTAGTTCACTCAAACAATTCATTCCGTCTACAACACAACTAACCGCATCCAAAAACTTTATGGAATTGAACTCGGGGCTCTATGCGATTCGGCCTGGGTTAAACGTTCGGTCTCTATAAGTATAACCTGTAATTTAGGAGACGTGTCACAGAGTTAGTTTACTTCTTTAATAAGACTACAACAGACTTGAGTCGCAAGTCACTCACATATATCAATAATAGTTTAAGGGTTATTTCAACATATAACAAGCTTCGTTCCAACGCAAGTTTCACATTCAGTTAAATTTACCAAATTGTTCTTGGCGAACAAAACAAACTCAGGATTCAGGCGCCACAGCTCTAATTTAAAGTTTCAGTTAAATACCTAATTGTGTTGAACGATCAATGATTGATGTAGACTTCAAGCAAGAAGCGTGTTCCAAGACGAAACTCACGAACTCTCTTTCTTCTTGTCTTCCCATGAAGCCTACAAACTCAAAAGTTCCCAGACTGCTCAACAAACATTGAGGAACAGAACTCCGTTTATTCGTCCGTTTCTTCTTCAACTTAACCGTTTCATGCGGATCAAAGTATGGATCTCTCTGCGATTATCAAGAAAAAAAGTAAAGAACAAGAGAGAAGATTACATCATACAGTGCTTTTAGCTAAAAATAGTAAATGAAGAAACTTACATCGACATAGAGATTGAGGACTCGCAGTTTAGGAGAATTTCTGAGCAACCAAAGAAGCATCTTCGACCAATTCTTGCTGAATATACATATCTTCAAATGTTCAAGCTGACTGAATACAATACCAGCACCATACATAGACTGCACATAAACCAAACGTAAATAACAAAAAAATTCAATCTCAAGAAAAACCAATTCCGTGTTCTGAGTGATTTAATGCAAACTGAAAACTTGTTACCTCTTCTGCACTATAAAACATTGGGCGTAATGAAAGACGTTTGGCCGATTTGACAGATTTGAGAATCTTCTCAATATCTAGCAAAACATCAATATCTGCCTCTTCCAGCTTTGGCATAGGCTCAATCAAACAGGAGGGGTTATCTCTCTTATCCTCAACTTTGAAATACTTCAAAGAAGGTGTCACTATCACAAACCCGTCAGAAGAACATCTCTCACCTATCACCAAGACTAACCTCTGCAAAGATGGAGCTTTAACGACTATCGCTCTCACATTCCCACCCTCTTTAATAACCAGATCTTCAAGAACAGGGCATTTGGATATAAGCAGATGGAGAGAGTCTTCATTAACGTATGTCACACATTGAAGTTCCAAGGTCTTCAAGGAAGGGAGACAAACAGTTGGAGGAACATCCACAAGAATGCTCTTCCCTTGAAGTTTCAGAGTCGTGAGGGAACTGCATGTATACAAACTCCTTGGCAATGATACATGAGGTTCAGCTTTGATACGATAGTCACTGTACTCGAGCTTAGGTAACCACATCCAAAGAAACTCCCATTTTTTCGACAAAATGCTTGTGGAGATAGCAGCTTTTGTTGGAAGAAATGTTAATATCTTAACCAGTAATTCATCAGACAAATCACCGATTCTCACCATATCTTGTCACCTTACAACTTAGACTTTTCCCGGCTCTGAAAAAAAGAGAAAAAAACACGAACACTATAAGACACTCTAAATGATCTGTCTGAATCCAACCAAACAAATTAGTAACAGCAGAATACAAAAGTCACACAGAGGAAAGAGACAAAACCCTAAAAAATCCAGGTGATGCGTCTTTTTCAGTGGACGCTCAATATCAGCTGAGAAAACAGAATTAGAAAATTAATCAGAGTCTCCCTAAGAACTGAGCAAAAGACGACACTTTATATACCCATTTCAACTACTCCGACTAAAACTGAGCTAAGAAATCGAGAACGGGTAAATCTAAGTAAATGCTTGAATCAATAAATTGAGGACAAGAAATGAAGAAGAAGAATGTACTTTATCAGATGATATCGGAATCGTCGAGCTTCGTCTCCATTGAAGTTATATCAGGTAAGAGGACAAAGCAGCTCCGACTATACTCGTCACTCGTTAGTCATCGACTGTTCGGTTTCCGTTGAGAATGAATGGTTCTACAATCTCTCTGGTGGGCCTGGGCCGGCTCAGTTGGATTTTAGATTCAAATAAATTCAAAACAAACCCGGTTAAGTTGGATTTTATAATATGTCAATCCGGTTAATATGTCAAACCGGTTAACAGACCAATATGGTTCTTGATTAATTTTTGATTAGTATGTCAATCCAGTTAACCGGACAGATCTATAGTATAATAGATGGATATCACTCTCCATTTTGTTGACACCTGACAAAACTACTTTGATGAGATAGCAGATTTTGAATACAGATTTTTACAAATAGAAGATTCTTCAGATGAGGATGAAAAGAGTAGTGTCTACAAATACAAATATAGGATTCTTTTCACAAATTCAACTGTGAAATGCTGAAAATATTTTTGAAAGCATAAAACATTAAACTTTTTGTATTCACTTTTTATGTTCATTGGGAGATTAATTTATAAGAATTTTTTAAATTTTAAGTATTTGTTATCATTGGTAAATGAATTTTAACAATTTTACTAAAATTTATTGTTATTGGTTTGATGATTTCAAAATTTAATTCAAAATCCATTGTTATTCAAAGTTTGTGTTTTAATAATTTAATGAATGCTACACATCCGACTTAAAGTTATCCAGGGGTAGGTTGGGTATGGACCTTTCGGGTAGTTGATCTCTATATCCGTATAGGTAATTTTATGGATTTTGGTTTGATAAAGGATTGGATCCTTTCGGGTTCAGGTATAGCTTTAGGATTCCGAATTATACCCGAAATATTTTGGTTATAGTTTATATTCGCCTATTTCGGTTATTTATAACTCGAAAATCCAAAAATATACCCAAAAAATACCCGAACATTTTAAAAAAAAAAAATCGGATTTTTGTCTGAAAATAATACTGAAAATCATATATATGAAAAGAGGTCAACTCTCTCCCTCTATGTGACATGTGGACACTCCTATAATTAACATGTGCCATGACTTTTCATTTTTCTTTTAATTAATAATTTTAACTTTTATTTGTTTGCCAAACTTTTCAATTATTATAATTAAAACCACTTTATTACTTTAAGACTATTATATTTGTTAAAAAAAAAACTATTGTATTTCAGTTTTCATCTTGAATAATTATCAAACATCTAAATTCTCCGAATATACGGAGATATGGATCCAACAAATCGCTATGACGGGAAAATAAAGTATGTTCAATGTGATATTGGATAAAAAAAATTAGAATTGATGGCATATAAACGTGTGATATAATGCAAAAAAATACATTTGATAACAGTCACTAATCATACAAGGTATTTGGGTAAGAGTTTATAATATTAAACACAAATCTATAGTTGTTTTCTAGTACCTTATAACTAAAGAAAAACCTGCGCGTGTGCGCGGGTATTAGTCTAGTATATATGAAAATTCGAAAAGAAATCGAAAAATATAAAAAATTATATCTATAATATCAACAATAATCCACAATACCCATAATTTGGGTATTTCGGGTACCTGTTCAGTTCGGTATTATCCAATACCCACATGTATTGAATATTTCCCTAATGGGTGATTTACTATACCAAAATTAATCGGGTACGAATATTTTGGGTTGGTGCAATTCGAGTTTTTGGGTATAGGTTTAAAGTCTTAAGCCTACTGCAAAAATTTTATGAAATTTTATTTTAGAGAAAATAATGAGCAATATACATATATATTTCAACCGAGTATATTGGGTCGATACAATTTGGGTTTTTGCGTATAGTTTAAAAGTTTTTAGGCCTACCGTAAACATTTTATGAAATTTGATTTTAAAGAAAATAAGGAGCAATATACATGTATATTTTGATCGAGTATTTTGGATTTGTACAGTTTGAGTTTTTGGGTAAAGGTTAAATGTTCGTAGGCCTACCTCAAATATTTTATGAAATTTGATTTTAGAAAAAATAAGGAGCAATATACATTTATATTTTGACCACACATTAACATATTGGAAAGAACATAAGAATAAAATGTTTACAATATTCAAAAAGAATTAAAATACAAGTAACAAAATTTTATAATAGTCACAACCCGCGCATCGCGCGGACTTAGCCCTAGTATATACAATTAGGGTCTGACTGGTTTAACCGCTGCGGTTGCGGTTGCGGGAGTTTGCGGCTGCGGGAGTTTGCGGAAGCGGGAGTTTGCGATTAAAAGCTGTTTGTACGACTGGTATAGCAATTCATAGCGGTTGCGTTTGCGGGATATTTTTGACTGGTTAGCCAGCGGGTGCAAGAGCGGTTTAACCAAAAGTTACTAAAATAAAAATAATATATAATTATTCAAAACATTTATAACCATATTAATAATTTTTTTTTTGAAATATATTTTTTGATGAATTTTTAATTTGAAAACTACCCTTTTTTTTTGGTTTTGAAAAATACACTTTTTATATGTAAAATGATTATTCCTAATTTAATAAAAACGAAATTCAAATAAGAAATATAAAATATTAATATTTGATAATAATTTTGTATCATTTTAACATCCTAATTACCTGTTTAGTTTTTTTTTAAACAATTTAATAAAAATATAAGATTGTTTATATAAAGTTTAAATGGGGTGAGATTAAAGTTGTTTATGCAAAGTTTCAAAAATATTTAAATTTTTCAAAAGATAAACATTAAAAATGAAAGATATATTTCTCCACTTTTAAATTTTTAATAATTTATAAACTTTAAATATATGTAAAGTTTTAATTTATTTAAAGTTTCATTTGGTTTGAATGTGTATGAGGTTAAGTTGTTTATATAAAGATCCAAAATATTAAAATTTGTTTCAGTTTAACATATACTATATTTATTTGAAAAAAAACTTATTAGTTTATTATTTTTTTAAATTTTCGTTTATAATTTGTAATTATTTATTATTTTTTTGTTTAAATCACGTCAAAACATACTTTTTACATTTTAAAAGTGTATTTTTCAAAACAGAAAAAATTTAGGGTATTTTCGAAATTTTTAAACATAATTATGGTATTTTTCAAAAAAATATACCCTTATTCCAAATTTGGAGATATTATGTTTTTTTTTTTTTTTTTTCAAACCGCAACCGCCCGCAACCGCAAACGCTTGCGGAAAGGAGCTTTTGATTTTCAGCGATATAGAGCGGTACAGAGTGGTATAGAGCGGTTGAAAGCGGTTGTCGTGATTGTTATAAAACGCTAAGAACCGCTACGAACCGCAAACGCTGCGTTTGCGGGTGGTAGCGGGAGAACCAATCATCACCTTAGTATATCATAAGAGTTCGGTTCACTGTTTAACCAACAAAAAAAGAGGTTTTGAGAGTGTATATGCAAATGTAATATCGAAGGCAATTAACATATAACCACATGATAACAATGTATTTTTTTGAATAACACGTTCCACATTCAATTAAATCCCCTAATTTGTTCTTGGACAACAAAACAAACCCAAATTTCATAATCAAATGCGAAAAATCATGGAACATAATCAGTGATCAAAGAACCATTCAGCGTCATCAAAGTCCGAGAACCTTTTATCAAGGCTAAATCCGTTGATGATTCTTACTTCATTTAGATATTTGGAAACTAGGGTTTGTGAATTAGTCTTCAAGCAACGAGCGTGCCTGTCTAAGAATCTCAAGAAATGTATCTCTTCTTCTGCTCCCGTGTAACCTGAAAACTCCAAAGTTTCGAGACTCCTCAACAAACATTCAGGAATAGAGCTCGTCAACAAACATTCAGGAATAGAGCTCCCTTTATTCTTCCTTTTAGCCGTTTGATCTTTCGTAACTTTTGAATCTCTCTGCGATGAAAAACAAGGGAGAAAAAGATAGAGAATCAAGGCTACGCCACAAATGAATCTCCTTGTACCTGAAAACAGTAAATGGAGAAACTTACTTCGACAGATAAATTGAGGACTCGCAGTTTAGGAGACTTTCTGAGCAACCGGAAAAGCAACTCCGACCAATCAGTCTTGTCTATAGATAGCTTCAAATGTTCAAGCTGGTTGAAGACAATACCAGCAAGATACACAGACTGCACACACACACGACAAAGTAAATAACAAAAAAAAAAAAAAAAAAAAGATCAATCTCAAGAAAACCCAATTTAGTGTAAATAATGCAACTAAAAACATGAAGTTGACACATGGAAGGAAACAGGTTACCTCTTTTGCATTCATGAACGATGAGTGTAATGAAAGGCGTCTAACAGATGTGATCAATTCAAGAATCTTCTCGATATCTATCCTAACATCAATATCAGCCTCTTCCAGCACTGGCATAGGCTCAATCATAAAGGAGGGAAAATCTCTGCAGTCCTCAATTTCGAAATGCTTCAAACAAGGGGTCACTATCGAATACCCATGAGAAGAACAATTGCGACCTATTCGCAAGTTTAAACGCTGCAAAGACGGGACGTTAACAACTATCTCTATCAAATTGTCATTCTGATTGCTTCGTTCAATAAGAAGATCTTCAAGAACAGGGCAAGAGGATAGAAGCAGTCGGAGAGAATCTTCATCTGAGTATGTCACGAATCGAAGTTGCAAGGTCTTCAAGGAAGGGAGACAAACCAATGGAGGAACATCCACGAGAATGTTCCAGCCTTGAAGTTTCAGTGTCATGAGGGAATTGCATGTATACAAACTCCTCGGCAATGATAATACGTCAGGGCGTTTGCGAATGAAACAAAAATAGCTTATACTTAGCTCACGCACAAAGCGAGAAACCGCAATCCCAACCCATAGTTTGATTTTCTCGTGTTCAAGTAAGTTAGTGTGACGAAATCTGAGGAGCAAGGTTTCTATGACGGGAGCTCTATGTAATGGCAGATTCTTGTCAATAAAATCCAGACAACTCAAGGCCGAAGAGGCACTTAATTCTAAGTCATCGTACTCAAGTTTAGGCCACAACATCCAGAAAAACTTCCATTGTTTCGGCAAAAGGCTTGTGGAGACGGCAACTTTTGTAGGAAGAAACGATAATATCTTAAGCAGCAAGTCATCAGACAGCTCATTGATTGCCACCATATCGTTGCAAATTACAAACCCTAGATAAGATACCGTCGAGCTAAACTCTGAAATCAAAAAATCAATAAAATAAGTATACCAGAAGACGCTTAAAAGGATATGTCTACATCCGACCAAACAAATTAGTAACAAGAGAAAACAAAAGTCGCACAGAGGAACGACTTACGAGACGAAACCCTAAAAAATCCAGGTGGTGAGTCTTTTTCACTGGACGATTAATCAGATTGTCCCGGTGAAGGAGGTGGTTTATCAGACGATATAGGAGCTTGTGTTACTTTAAGACAAAGCTTCGTTGTCACCGTCTACGCTTAACAAGACGGTTTTGCTTCCTGGGCTTGGGCCTGAGTATCATGTGAAACTTCTTTCTGATCACTAATTGCACGGTAATTAGAGTCAGATGATTTAATAAAGTATATCCAATCCAATCTCACTAACATGTCTCTCTCTATCTACCAAGGACAAACGCAAGCATCATTATAGATTAATCATTTTCTTGTTCAAGAAGCAATCTCTTCGTCTTTTGACGTTCGTTCTCATCACCAATGTCACTAGAAGATCTGTACAAAGACAAGGGAAAGAAACTAAAAGGCTTTGTGACTAGACAATAAGTCAATAACGTAAGTGTCTTTTCTTCTGTTTTTCAATGATGTTAGAGATTCATCTGTAAATGTGTTTTTCAGTTATAATTTCTAACAGTAAGTCAATACTTGAGAGAGTTTTCATTGTTTATATGACATAAACTCAAAACATATATTTTTTAAGAGAATGAATGGAGCTTTTTTAGTCAGCTAAAAATGTTACCAAAAAAAAAATGTAACAATAGTGAAAATTAATTTCGAGCTTAATGGAGCTTTCTACTCTCCGAAAGCTCTACACAGAGTTCAAAGTAGACTAAAGAAAAAAAAAAAGCAAGATCTAAGGATCATAGTAAAACAGCTTAGAGACCAACTTCTAACAAAATTCTACGATAAAACAGATGAGAGACCATATGTTTAAAGTAATACTAGAACAGACAGCTTATTAGAGACCAAACGTTTAATATAAGCCTGCAAGAAAAGAGCTTTTAGAGACAACTATTTGCATCCATAAAACCAAAAAAAAAAAAATTTGCATCCAACAAGTCCATAAATTTCATCGTTCGGATACTGCGATTTGGGTCACAACATCCCTCCAATACGTTTCTATGTGATTTGATTTTGATTACCCTTGGAACTTCATATTTCTTCAGAACCTGTAGTGGATTAGGAGACGTCTGTTCTACACACGCAAATTTGGTCGTCTTCCTTAGTAAGAGACTTGAGTAGCAAGGCAGGCACGCACGCACATATAATTAGTACTTAACATATAACCAGACCGCAGAACTAAAACCACATGATAAGAAGCTATAACAATTTTTTTCTTTGACTAACAAGTTCCACATTCAGTTGAATCCCCTAATTTGTTCTTGGACAACAAAAAAAAAATCCCAAAATTCATTATGAGTTCCTTGGTAAGAGACTTGAGTAGCAAGGCATGCACGCACATATAATTAGTGCTTATAACATATAACCAGACGGCAGACCGTAGAACTAAAACCACATGCTTTAGAGAGTAACAATTTATTCTTTGACTAACAAGTTCCACATTCAGTTAAATCCCCTAATTTGTTCTTGGACAACAAAAAAAAATCCCAAAATTCATAATCAAATGCGAAAAATCATGGAGCATAATCAGTGATTGAAGTAGACTTCAACTCTTCAAGAAACAAGCGTGCTTGCCTAAGAAACTCAAGAAATCTCTCTCTTCTTGTGTTCCCTTGTCACCTTTAAACTCAAAAGTTTCGAGACTCCTCAACAAACATTCAGGAACAGAGATATGTTCATTTTCCCAGCCAACCGGTTCATACTCTTCAAATTTTGAATCTCTCTGCGATAAGAAAAGGAAGGGAGGGAGATAAGAGACTCAAATATTACACAATATAGTTCCTTCACGTGAAAACAGTGAAGGAAGAAGCATACCTCGCCGTTGAGTTTGAGGACTCGCAGATTAGGAGAATTTCCGAGCAACCAGACAAGCAACTTGGACCAATTAGTCTTGTATATACATAGCTTCAAATGTTCAAGCTGATCGAAGACAATACCAGCACGATACACAGACTGCACAAGGTAGTAGCAAAAATTTCAATCTTATGAAAACCGGATTTAATGATATAACGCGACTAAAAACGAACTTGATAGATGAAAAATGGTTACCTCTCGTGCAGTGTTGAATGGTTGGTAAAATGAAAGACGTCTAACAGATGTGATCGATTCGAGAATCTCCTCGGTATCTCGCATAACCTCAATATCTGCCTCTTCCAGATTTGGCATAGGCTCAATTAAATAGGAGGAAATATCTCTGTAATCTATAATCTTGAAATACTTCAAAGAAGGGGTAACTATCACATACTCATCAGAAGAACAGTCACAACCAATATCCAAGGTTAACCTCTGCAAAGACGGGACGTTAACAACTAACGCTCTCACATTGTCATCCTCATCATATCGTTCAATAAGCAGATCTTCCAGAACAGGGCAATGCGATAGAAGCACTCGAAGAGAGTCTTCGTTTGAGTATGTCACCCCTCGAAGTTCCAAGGTCTTCAAGGTTGGGAGACAAACGATCCGAGGAACATCAACAAGATTTATATAGCCTTCAAGTTTCAAAGTCATCAGTGAATTGCAGCTATACAAACTACTCGGCAATGGTATCACATCATGTGGTTTGGGAGTAAAATAGAAAATACTTAGCTCACGCACAGAGCGAGAAACCGCAATCCCAACCCATCGCTTGCTATTGTCAGGCTGAGGTAATCTACTCTGACAAAACCTGAGGAGCAAGCTTTCTATGACCGGAGCTCTATGCAATGGCAGATTCTTGTCGATAAAATCCAGACAACACAAAGCTGAAGAAGGACTGAAATCTAAGTCATCGAACTCGAGTTTAGGCAACCACAGCCAAAGAAACTGCCATTGTTTCGACAAAATGCTTGTGGAGACGGCAACTTTTGTTGGAAGAAAAGATAAAATCTTAAGCAGCAAGTCATCAGACAACGCACTGATTCTCACCATATCTTGCAAATTACAAACCCTAGATTAGATAGTGTCTGAATCCGATAAAACAAATTACAAACCCTAGAAAAAAAAAAACAAGTAAATACCAGAAGACACTCAAAAGGGATCTGTCTGATTACCAGAAGGCTCACTTTCAGCTGGGAAAACGGAACTAGACGGTAAATCAGAGTGTCCCGGAGAAGGTATTGGAATCGCAGAGCTTGGTCTCCATCCAAGTTACTTTAAGACAAAGCTTCGTTGATAACAAGACGGTTTTGCTTCCTGGGCTTGGGCTTGGGCCTGGGTATCATGTGAAACTCTTTCTTATCACAACTAACCATAAACGGAATCAAGATGTGTATTTGCAGATACGATTTTTACGCGCTTGTTTGGCTTCCCCTTTAGAATCAAATATAGTATCAGATAAGCAGAAGCTTTTGTTGATAGTGAAAAAAACATCAGAGTTAAACAACTCTGCACTTGTAATTTGTGATTTAGTAAACAAGAAAACAAATAAATAAAGACTTTTGACTTTACAACAACAAACATTTGGAAATCATGTTTCCATTCAATTTGGGTCGCCATGCACACCGGTCCAATACTGGCAAAGCCATTCAGAGTTCTATGTGATTTGGAATTGATCAAATTTCTTCAGAACCTGTATATTGGGAGATGATTTGTCTTCTTTAGTAAGAGACTTTAGTAGCAAGGCACACACATAGTATTCATGGGTATGTAAGGTTATGCAACGACAAGACAGTATAGATAAAACCACATGATAATAAGGTGACAAGTTTTGAACGAAATCAAGTTCCACATTCAGTTTAACTTATCTAATTGTTTCTTGGATAACAAGACAACAAACCCAACATTTCAGAATCAAATGTTGTTTAAAGTTTCAGTTAAGTAAATACCTAACTGTGTTTCACGATCAATGACTGATGTAGACGTCAAGCAAGAAGCGTGTTTGAAGAAGAAACTCAAGAAATATATCTCTTCTTGTGTCCCCATGTAATCTTTAAACTCAAAAGTTTCGAGACTCCTCAACAAACATTCAGGAACAGAGATGTGTTCATTTTCCCAGTCAACCGGTTCATACTCCATATAGTGTCGATATCTCTGCTATAAAAAAGAAGAGAGAAAGATAAGAGACTCAAGATTACAACCATAAGAGTGGTTTTAACTGAAAACAGTGAATGAAGAAACTTACATCGACGTAGAGATTGAGGACTCGCAGTTTAGGAGATTTTCTGAGCAACCAGACAAGCAACTTGGACCAATTGTCGCTGCATATACATAGCTTCAAATGTTCAAGCTGGCTGAAGACAATACCAGAAGACTGCACACATGATAAAACGTAATAATTAAAAAAAAATCAATCTCAACAACAAACAACCGCAAAACTTCAAGTTGACAGATGGAAAACACGTTACCGTTATTGGACTGTTGCGTATTACACGCAATGAAAGACGTTTTACAGATATGATTGATTCCAGAAACTTGTTAAAACCTTGCATAACATAAATATCTGCCTCTTCCAACTTCGGCATAGGCTCGACCAAAAATATGGAGTAAACACCTCTGTAATCCTCAAATTTGAAATACTTCACAGAAGGAGTAATTAACACATACCCATCAGAAGAACATTCACGACCTATCCTCAAGGATAACCTCTGCAAAGACGGGACGTTAACAATGACCGCTCTTCTATTGTCACTGTCATCGTCTCGTTCAACAAGCAGATCTTCAAGAACAGGGCAATGCGACAGAAGCAGCCCAAGAGAACCTCCGTTTGAGTATGTGACACACTGAAGTTGCAAGTTCTTCAAGGAAGGGAGACAAACAGTTTGAGGAACGTCCACAGCAACGTTCTTGCCTCGAAGCTTCAGAGTCACGAGCGAGTCGCACGTGTACAAACTACTCGGCAGTGATAGTACATCGCTTGGTTTTTCAACGAAGCGAAAATAGCTTATACTTAGCTCACGCAGGAGGCGAGAAACCGCAATCTCAACCCATCGGTTGATATCATCAGCTTGAAGTAATCCAAGAACATGACATCTGAAAAGCAAGCTCTCCATGGCCGGAGCTCGATGCAATGGCAGATTCTTGTCAATAAAGTCGCGATAGCTCAAGAATGAAGACAATGGACCAGTCGTGATATTAAAGTCGTCGTACTCAAGTTTAGGCAGCCACAACCATAGAAACCGCCATTGTTTCGAAAAGATGCTTGTGGAGACAGCAATTTTGGTTGGAAGAAACGATAATATCTTAATCAGCAAATCATCTGACAACTCACTGATTCTCGCCATTTCTTTAGAAAAAAATCAAGAAATTGTTACCCTTCAGACCTAAACAAGAAAACAAGAATACCATAAGATACTCAAAAGGATATTTCTGAATCCAACCAAAATAATACTCAAGAAATTGTTACCCTCAGACCTTATATAACTATTTCAACTACTCTGACTAAAACTGATCTTCTTGAGCTACGAAATCGAGAAAAGTGTAAATCTAAGTGAAGCTTGAATCACTAAGTAGTTTATCAGATGATATAAAAAACGCAGAGCTTCGTCTCTATTGAAGTTATTGGTAAAACAAACCTTCGTTCTCGGCGTCGGCCGTCGATGCTCATCAGTCAGTCATCAGTCACCACCATCCACCACTCATCGGACCGTTCGGTTTCCGTTTAGAAAGAATGGTTCTACAATCTCTCTGGTGGGCCTTGGGCCGGCTCGAATGGACTTGGAGGAACTAAAATCCTTTTTTTTTTTAAGATAATACAGTAGTAGAAAAAAAAGAGAGAAAGAGGAAGAAAATCATACACTAACAAAAATATACGAAAATAGCAATGATATGATTACAGAAAGATGAAAGTGCAAGCGTAGTTTTATGAGATGCAATTTCAATGGGGTTTTTTTTCTACTATTTTCTAAAATAACCATGTTGAATAAAAATTGTAAGTAAGTGTTTATATTCAAGTCATGGGCTAGACTCTAGAGTTGATCAAAGCGGAAAATTCGATTGTATTTGATGTTTTATTGTATCTTAAACTTTTTCAATATTTGTAGTAAAAACTGTATGAAACTCAAGAAATCTCTCCAATAAGTTTCTATGTGATTTGGATTGGGCGGAGAAATCTGGTTGTCTTCCTTAGTAAGAGACTTGACTAGCTCGGCACGCATACATAATTAGTAATTAACGTATAATAATAACTAGACCGTAGAACTAAAACCACATGCTAAAAAAAACAACAATTATTTTTCTTTGAATAACAAGTTCCACCACATTCAGTAAAATCCCCTAATTTGTTCTTGCACAACAAAACAAACCCAAAATTCAGAATCGAAAGCAATAAATCATGGAACATGATCAGTGGTTGATGTAGATATCAAGCAACAAGCGCGCGTGTTTGAAGAAGAAACTCATGAAATCTCTCTCTTCTTGTGTCCCCATGAAACCGGTAAACTCAAAAGTTTCAGACTACTCAACTAACATTCAGGTACAGAGCTCCATGTATTCTTCCGTTCATACTTCTTAAATTTGGTAACTCTCTCCGATGATAGAGAAGGGAGGAAAGATAGAGACACAAAATTTCAACACAAAGTTCCTTGCACCTGAAAACAGTAAATGGAGAAACTAAATTTACATCGACAGATATATTGAGGACTCGCTGTTTAGGAGGCTTTCCGAGCAACCAGAGAAGCAACTTGGACCAATTAGTCTTGTATATACGTAGCTTCAAATGTTGAAGCTGATTGAAGACAATACCAGCAGGATACACAGACTGCACACATAAAGTAAATAACAAATCAATCCAGTCTCAAGAAAACCTAATCTTTAGTGTCAATAATGCAACTAAAAACTTGGAGTTGGCAGATGGAAACAGGTTACCTCTTCTGTACTGCTGAACCATGGGTGTAATGGGTGTAATGAAAGACGTCTGACAGATGTGACTGATTCGAGAATCTTCTCGATATTTCGCCAAACATAAATATCAGCCTCTTCCAGCTTTGGCATAGGCTCAATCAAATAAGAGGGCATAGATCTGTAATCCACAATTTTGAGATACTTCAAACAAGGGGTCACTATCACATAGCCATCATCAGAAGAACGGTCACCAACAATCTGCAAGGATAACCTCTGCAAAGATGGGACGTTAACAACTATCGCTCTCACATTGTCATTCTTATTGTTTCGTTCAATAAAAAGATCTTCAAGAACAGGGCAATGCGACAGAAGCAGCCCAAGAGAATCTTCGTTTGAGTATGTCACACGTTGAAGTTTCAAGGTTTTCAAGGAAGGGAGACAAACAATCGGAGGAACGTCCACGAGAATGGTCTCGCCTTCAAGTTTCAGTGTCATGAGGGAATTGCAGGTATACAAACTACTCGGCAATGATAATACATCACTTGGATTGGGATTGGAACAAAAATAGCCGATACTTAGCTCACGCACAAAGCGAGACACCGCAATCCCAACCCATTGTTTGATTCTATCGTGTTCAAGTATAGTGTGACGAAATCTGAGGAGCAAGCTTTCTATGACCGGAGCTCTATGTAATGGCAGATTGTTGTCAATAAAATTCAGACAACTCAAGGCCGAAGAGACACTGAATTCTAAGTCATCGTACTCAATTTTAGGCACCCACATCCAAAGAAACTTCCATTGTTTGGACAAAAGGCTTGTGGAGACAGCAACTTTGGTAGGAAGAAACAGTAATATCTTAAGCAGCAAGTCATCAGACAACTCACTGATTATCACCATATCTTTGCAAATTACAAACCCTAGATAAGATATTGTTAGCTAAACTCTGAAACCAAAAAATTAATAAAGATAGGTATACCAGAAGACGCTCAAAGGGATCTGTCTGAATCCGACCAAACAAATTAGTAACAAGAGAAAACAAAAGTCGCACAGAGGAAACTTACTGAGACGAAACCCTAAAAGATCAAGGTGGTGAGTCTTTTTCACTGGAGGCTCATTTTCAGCTGGGAAAACGGAACTAGACGATTACTCAGAGTGTCCCGGAGAAGGAGAAGATATAGGAATCGAGAGCTTGGTCCCTGTTAGGAGATCTCGAAGATAGTGAGATCGACTTGGAAGGAAAGTGAAGATTTATGTATATTTCCTTGATTGTTAAATAAGTAGATTTCCTATTATTGTAGATGTAAAGAACGTGTCTAACAAGTTAACGATCTTGTATTCTTGTATAAATAAGCCTATTGGCTAATGAATAAAGATGAGAGAAACTATTACAATATACAAAAGTTTCCTCCAAATTTACCAGTCTCCATCGAAGTTATAAGACAAAGCTTCATTGTCACCGTCGACGCTTAATCAGACGGTTTTGCTTCCTGAGCTTGGGCCTGAGTATCATGTGAAACTCTTTCTTATACTAATTGCTCGGTGATTTGATTTAAACTCACTCAACACGTGTCTCTCTCTAGCTATAAACGCACGTATCATCATAAATTAATAATTTCTTGTTAAAGAAGCAATCGTCTGGTAATGATTTGTTCGTCTTTTAACGTTCTGTTACTCTTGAATCAACGATTTCAATCCTCTCATTGCCTATTGGCTATTGCACTGCAGATCAATGGATGAAAGAGAGACAACAGAAAAAAGAATATCATCATAATACTGATAATACAGAAAGTGGACTAACACATATATTTAACTTTTTAAAGGAAAGTGGGAAAGAAAAAACTTTGATACTACATTCCTGGTAAAAGCTTTAAAATCAAATGTAGTTCGGATAAGTAAAAGCTTTTCTTGAAAGTGAAAAAAAAAACATCCGAGTTAAACAATGCACTTGTAATTTGTGATTTTGTAAACCAGAAGACAAGTAAAAAAAAGACTTTTGACTTACAACAACAAACATTACTTGGAAGTTCACTCAAACAACTCATTATGTCTTCAAACAACTAAACCGTTCCCAAAAACTCTAGCATCGTTTGGGAAAATCATGTTTCCATTCAATTTGGGAAAAACCTCTCCAATACTGCAAAGCCATTCAGAGTTCAATGTGCTTTGCAATTGATGATTAAGTTTCTTCAGAACCTGTACTTTGGGAGACGGATGTTAGACAATAGAGATGATTTGTCTTCTTTAGTAAGAGACTTGAGTAGCAAGGCACACACATAGAATTCATTAATAAGTAAAGGCTATGCAACTACAAAATAATAACAAGACAGTAGAGCTAAACCCACATGACAAGAAGGTGACAAGTTTTGAACGAACTCAAGTTTAGTTTACCTAATTTGTTCTTGGAGAGCAAAACAAACCCAACATTTCACAATCAAAATGTTGTTTAAAGTTTCAGTTAAATACCTAATTGTGTTTTACGATCAATGATTGATGTAGACTTCAAGCAAGAAGCGTGTTTGAAGAAGAAACTCAAGAAATCTCTCTCTTCTTGTGTCCCCATGAAACCTCTAAACTCAAAAATTTCCAGACTACTCAACAAACATTCAGGAGCAGAGCTTTGTTTATTCTTCCAGATAACCGGATCAAACTTTTCAAAAGTTGGATCTCCCTGCGATAAAAGAAAAAGAGAGAGAAAGATTGAGAGTCAAGATTACGCCATAAAGTTCCTTTCACGTGAAAATAGTAAATGAAGAAACTTACATCGACATAGACGTTGAGTACTCGCAGTTTAGGAGAAATTCCGAGCAACCAGAGAAGCAACGTGGACCAATTTTCGCTGCATATACATAGCTTCAAATGTTCAAGCTGGCTAAAGACAATACCAACAGGATACGCAAACTGCAAACACAAAACAACGTAAACAACAAAAAATGAAAACTTGTAGGCTTGTAGGTGACAGGTGGAAACAATGTTACCTCTCCTGCACAGCTGAACCATGGGTTTAATGAAAGACGTCTGACTGATGTGATCGGTTCGAGAATCGTCTCAATATCTTCCGTAACTTCAATATCAGCCTCTTCCAGCTTTGGCATAGGCTCAATCATATAGGAGGGAAACTCTCTGTAATCCACAATTTTGAGATACTTCAAACAAGGGGTCACTATCACATAGCCATCAGAAGAAGAACGTTCGCTATCAATCTCCAAGGACAACCTCTGCAAAGACGGGACGTTAACAACTAAGGCTCTCACTTTGCCATCCTCATCATCAAGTTCAATACACAAATCTTCAAGAACAGGGCAATGCGATAGAAGCAGACGAAGAGAGTCTTCATTTAAGATTGCAAAACCCTGAAGTTTCAAGGTCTTCAAGGAAGGGAGACAAACAACTTGAGGAACATCCACAAGAATGTTGTTGCCTTGAAGTTTCAACGTCATGAGGGAATTGCATGTATACAAACTACTCGGCAATGATAATACATCATCGACTTTGCGATTGAAACAAAAATAGCTTATACTTAGCTCACGCACCAAGCGAGAAACCGCAATCCCAACCCATTGTTTGATTTTCTCGGGTTGACTTAATCTAATATAACAAAATCTGAGGAGCAAGCTTTCTATGACCGGAGCTCTATGCAATGGCAGATTCTTGTCAATAAATTCCTCATACCTCAACCATGATGACTTTGGACCAGTGATTTCATAGTACTCATCGTACTCAAGTTTAGGCAACCACATCCAAAGAAACTCCCATCGTTTCGACAAAATGCTTGTGGAGACGGTAGATTTTGTAGGAAGAAACGATAATATCTTAACCAGCAAGTCATCAGGCAACTCGCTCATGCTCACAATATCGTTGCAAACGACAAATACTGTAGAAAGTGTTCTCTAAATTGTTAAAAGATAAACAAGAATGCAATATAATAAGACTCTCAAAAGGATCTGAATCCAACCAAACAAACACGCCACACACACCGAGGAACGAGACGAAACCCTAGAAAATCCGTTTTCAGTGATTGGTAATATGTCAATCCGGTTAAAAATTACCGATCCGGTTTTTGATTATAATGTCAATCCAGTTAACCGGACTGGATTATATTATCAAAGCAGTCCGGTTAACTATTTCAACCCCAAAAATATAAATACTGTACGTGAGCTCTATAGTCTCAATCTCTTACGAATCACACGACAAACAACTGCAACAGACAGAGACCTAATCGAAAAAAAGACAGACAGATAATATTAACATACGACCAAAAGAACGAAAGAAAAACAAGACGAATTACAAAAGAGTTCGTTAGCTAATTAGAGTTTTAGTCTGGTCCAAATACCACACAAATATCACATGTATACTTCCATGCCAAGAAACTTAGAAGATTGACACAAAGGACAAGAGCTAAGCTTCCTCTCACACTCCTTACACAAACACATATGCTTACATGGCAACAACAACATACACACCTCTCTCACTCCACAAAACCTGCACATCATCATCGTCATCGTCGTCTTGCCACCACCATTGTTGTTGTTATCACCGTTTCCGCCATTGAAGCAAGAAGCCGTGTCATCCACCTCGCTGTCTCCACATCCTTCGATGCTATCTCTCGGTGGTCGACCACCACCGTGAGCTCGCTCGAGGTTGTAGTTGAGAGCAGCGATCATGTTCTCGTTGTACTTGGCGCGTTGCTGCCACGCCTCGGCTTCCATCGCCAGCTGTTCCATTCGCACCTCGAGCTCCTTGTTCTTTCGGTTTATCATCTCTAGCTCCTCCTCTTTCTCCCGGAGCTTCTGGATAACTCTTTCCTCCATGAGTGACACTGTCTTGTGTTGACCCCTCTGGATCTTGTCAAGAATAGCATGCCGTAATTGGTCTCCCTATTGAAACAGATAGATAGAATCAAGAAACAACATATAAGTGAAATGAAACACCAAAAGAACCTACATAATATAGAAATTGATATGTCCTATTCAAAACAGATCAAAATAATAATATTGTTTCATGGAAAGTCACCTGAATCTTGAGAAACCGATCGATTTCTGCATCCTGTCTCTGTAACTCCCGATCAACATCGTCTCCGACGAGAGATAACAGAGCAGAGCCATCGGAGGAAGCGATACGGGCATTGTCAAGGGAGAGACCCAGTCCGGTTGATACAGACCGGTTTTGCCAAAAATCAATTGAAGATATCTGAGAATTGTTCTCCAGAAAATCCATTTCTTTTATTCTCTTTCGACCGTAGTTCCACTCCATGTCAGCAGCACCGCCACCATCAGAGCCGTCGATTTGCAAAACCGGTCCCGGCGCAAAACCAGCGACGTGGACTGGTAATTATATAAACAAAAAAACAAACCATTAATTTTTCAAAATCGATTTATAGAATCTAATTTCGAACCCTAAATCCCAATTATGACCCAAATTAAACATGGAAAGGGAGGGATAATATGAAATTACATGGGGGAAGATACGGAGGATGCTGAGATTGATCATGGAGATTCGCGGAGCTGTCGAATCCTAATTCTGGGGAAATCTGGGCGTCGATTCCGCAAAAGTCCCTGAAATGTGGAGGGAGCTCGAGAAATTAGGGTTTTATTGTTAGAAACTAGCAGAATTGGGGCTTTTTAAAATAACGAAACCTCGAATGAGAACAAGAGTAGAGATTAGTACCTGAAATTCTTCGAATCATGAAGGTGTGGATCTAAATGGTGAGGAAAAGCCATGGACGTTAATTGGAGATAGAAAGAGAAGAAGAGAAGGAAACGGAGAAGGAGACGGAATTTGCCTTCTGTAATTGGAAACTCGAAACACATAAGACTTGTATTTACCCATCAGCTCCCTCATAGTTTCTTATCATTTTGTTTTAGACCACATATTCTTGTTTAGTTCTTTTATTTTTCCTATAATTTTAAAAATGAGACAATCAGTCCAAAGTTTGATTAAGTACAGTATAATGGATTCTAAATACTAGGAATATAAACAAATATTACAACAATTGGAATGGATTATACGAGATGAGAAGAAAAGAAGACTGTCTGTGCAATGTAGCCATTGTAAATCATCGATTGGAGGTATTTGACTATTTGTAGTAGAAGCGTAATTGAGTTCACTAATGTGGGCATTGCAATGGTGTGGAGTATAGTGTGATGTTTAAAAGTGACTGTCAAAAAATGAAATTTGGGAACCACCTTGTAGACTAGGAATTGTTCTTTACAAACCAAATTTTCTTGCCTTGTAAGTTGTATTGTGTAAAACTGTAAAAATGTCATGCAAGTAAACGAGGTGCATTTTGGAACAAAGCTATTTATTTTGTTTTGGTTTTCGGCCCGAAAAGACTATGGGCCAAAGCCATAACTTTTTTTGTTAAACTGAATAATTGTAGATGTGTGGTTAAGGAGAAGACGTGCGTGTAAAATTTGCTCAACATGTGAAACTCGGTATTGTCATCATTTGCATTTATTAACCAAAAGGACCAAAACAAATAAATTAAAATATTCAAGAAAGAAAAAAGAAAAAAAAAACAAATAAATAAAATGTGATTGTTCAGTGCGATGATACACAAAATTATATAAAAGTATATATATTCTCCACAGACAAAATAAGCCACTCAAGTAAATTAAAGCCACCGACGATGCTTCCTTCTCTCTTTCGGGCACCCTCCACGACCTACCCCGACAACCCAAAACGCTGCCCGTTGAGCTGTAAATCACGTTACTCTATACGACACCGTATTCACTCCACTAAAAATGTTTTTTTTTTCTTCCTTCCTTCCTCAAACAGTAGTGACGGTGCAGTTCTTGGTAATAGCTATATGCTTATTGAGATTCTTGTGCTCGAAATTGATGTCACACTCGATCTTCTTGTAGAACTTAGGCTGCACTAACCTCCCCAACACGTAAGCTCGTGATCGAACAACGAAACTGAGCCTCATCGGCACCGGCGCAGGAGGTGCCGGCGGCAGAGGAATAACCACCGGAACTCCTTTCTTCTTCTTGGGTTTCGGAAGTGGAGCCGGAGGCGCCGGCGGGATCAAAGTCGAACCACTTCCGTATAACGGAATCTTCTCTCCGATCACATGCACCAACACCGTTCTTTGGCTCTTCCTTGACTGATAAAACTTCTTCAACTGCAATATCATAAAATATTAAAATCCGAAAATCAGAACCCAAATTGGTTTGGTTTAGGGAATTAAGGGTTTGTGATTCGGTTTAGGACTTACGGATCCGGAGCCGATTTTGATCTGAGAGAAGCTGAGATCGATCGGAGTTGAAGTGACGTGGACGCCGAAGAAAGTTCCGGTGTTTCGGTACAACATTCTCAGAGTCGCGTTCATGGTGATCATATCGGTTCCTACTCCACCGGCATCTTGACCGGCTTGGACCTTGAGTGTCTCGAATGTTATACTCTGCGAATTTTCGAATCGAATCACAAAAATGAAAAATCAATCATACATTTCAGATCTGAGATCGGATCTGAATAATTTGAACCGAGAAGTTTCTAATTTTAATTCTCGATCTGAACACGGTTAAGCAAAATCGAAGCTAACCTTGATTGTGATTTTCGGTTTCTGTGGTTTAGCAGCTCCGTAGAGGATAAGAGAGAAGAAGCCAAAGAGAACGAAGAATCCAACGATGAAGGCCAAGACGTAGCACCGACGAGGAACACCACCGTCTCTGTCACCGTCATCTAACAAACCTTCTTCCTCGATCACCGCGCACTCTTTCCACTGCTTCTCTCCGCCGTGACCTTTCCGCTTCGAGCCGTCGTTAGGGTTGACTTTCCGAGACCCGGGCTTCAGGGACCCGGAGAATCGGCTGGAGGAGGATTCTCGCGAGTGGTGGCCCATGGAGGATTGGGAATGCGGCGGAGATCCCATCGGACTTAGTACCGGAGTTGAGTGAAACGATGTCGCCGTTTTCTCTCCGTCGTGAGAGTCGCGAGATGGAGATTGGACGTAGTAGACTGGTCGGCGAGGAGATCTGGCTGGTGACGAAGCCGCGAGGCTCGTCACTTCGGAGTCGGTTTTGGCGTGCATCTTCTCCGGTTAGATTGGGAAGAAGAAGAGGAAGACGAAAGAGCAAAAAAGCTTCTTCTGGTGAGAACTGAAATGGAGGGAGAAGAGTTAAAGGAAAGTAAAGTAATGTAACGGTGACACAATGTGTGGATTTTATGGCTATACTTTCTACATTTACCCAAACGCGCTCGCGATTATACAATTATGGACTTTCAGTCTTACAACATTATTTCAAAAAACAAAAGCTTTTTTCATTGTTTTAATTATTATTTTGCTTCCTGTTAAGTTTTCCATTTTTTATAATGTGGTTAGCAAAAAAGATTAGTAGAAAGAGTGTGTAAAAGAAGTCTTATCTACTTTATTACCAGTAAAGACGTGAAATTAACAATTTCTGTTTCTGCTAAACAAGAACAAATTATATTTGATTAACAGCACTTATAAAATATACATATAAATTGTCGGTCATTGTTGAGATGGCAAATCATAGAGAGTATTCTGGATTTAATTATTTTGATTATTTATTGATTTATTCTTTGGAATCATTCTTGATGTAATATCGTGAAATGGAGTCTTTCAGTTTTAAATTGTTTATATCGCAAATGGAGTTCCGTCCGGTTCGTTTATAAAATTTGGATCGGTGCTAGTCTGTTTAATCATTCCAAGTAAATTCATGTACGCCAAATTAGAAAAACAAATTAGTTGTTGTGTAACATTCGTATGATAATGCAACTATGCAAGTACCTTGCCTGATGTCAATGAAAGGAATTATATTCCACATATGGCACCGTTGCATATATGACTTACCAGGTTATAATTATGGATTATTAACTAATTAGTGATCCCAATTTTTTCGTTCTATCGACAAACAAAAAGTCACAAACTATAAGATTTTCAGTTTGTCAAAGAAAAAAGAATCTGAGACACCGACAAACAAATCAGAAAAGTCAGGTACTTTTTAAAAAAATGTGAACTAACAGTAAACTTGGATATAACTAATTATACGTTCTGGGGTTAGTTATTAACAAACAAAATTAGGTTAATTAAGTGGAGAGTTTCATGGAAGAAGCAAAGAACAAAAAGGTTCTATTTCTATGACAATTGACAGTAGAAGGTAGAATACAGCAATCTCCAGTTGGCGGTCCACCACTACTTCTTTTGTCTTTTCCCTTTTTTCCTCTCTATTTTTCAAATTATATTATTTAGTATTTACCCATTGTCACGTTCATCATGTAAAGATCAAAATAAGACTTGAATAATTCATATCATTAGCTCACTACACACCGGAATACATAAGAGTACATGCAATTGTGGGTCGGTGGCCGGCTATTACCATCTTAAATCTTAACCAAATTTCAGTTTACAACTTGCAAGAACAAAAAAACTTGCCCATTGTGTTGTTCGTAAGAATTTTAGTTACATTACATACTACTATTTGTAAAAAAAACTTGCATACTACTATTGCCAATTTTATTGATGTGCTGATGTTACATATTTTTCAGAAACCATAAAAGAAATATGGTGGGAAAAGGATTTTAAAATTTAGAAAGAGTTTTTGCTAGTTTTGGAAAGAGTATGTAAAATTTAGAAAATCAATCAAATTTTTTTATTGGAATGGACTTTGAGAATCTAGTATTTTGAAAGTTTTGTTTTATGAGTTAATTTGTTTAAAATATATCTTCCAATAACAAAGATTTAATGAATTTATAGAATCGTTAAACTTGTAAACTTCTTGAATAACAATAGATTTTGTATGAATTTTAAAAGTCATAAAACCAATCCATTAACCAATAACAATGGATTTTGAAAATTTTAACAATGAGCACAAATTCTACTCTCAATAACCCCCCCTAACTATTGGCAAATGGCACATTGATTCATTTAATTTTAAATTTGACTAAAAATATGGTAACTGTAAACATTTGGTCAAAGTACAAAATTCAACCATATCATTAACTAACAACTTCAATAAATTTCCATATATCGATCCCCGATTCGGTCTTTCAAATACTGGTAGGTATGAATAACATATTTTAGGTTTGGTTCTAGACAAAATTTGACAAAAAAAATAAGAGAATTAAGAACCAAACAGTGGGAATCTACGAGGAGAAAAGAGAGAGAAAAAGAGAAAGAGAGGCGTGCCCTCCACGCCCTAATGGTTATTTTCTATTTTGAAATCTTTGTCTGTTGATGATTTTCTCTTCTCTCTCGTCTCTGAAGTATTTGTTCTCATCGTTCGTTTTCGTTTTCTGACAATCGTTACATTGTTGGTGATATGATCTTACAGAGAATCTAAAGATTAGGCTTCATTAATATATCTTCATTCAATTATCCTCCAGAAGATTCGTCTCGCATTGTATTGCATTTGTATGAAGGTACGATACGCTTAAACTCCATCATCCGAATTTGTTATTTCGATTTAAGCTAATGATCTAATCAAATTACGCCTATGAAATGTTGAATTCATCTTTGTGATTGTGAAATTATGGTGATAAAATTTGCAGTTGCGTGACAATGGTGGATAATGATAAAGTTTCAAATGATCTTAATTTACTTCCTGATCTCAACAACGATGCCTTCACGCCGTTCGCTAGTCTTGAATTCGATTCATCCATGATCGATCTTCTAAACTTGGAAGATGGAGGAGAGACACCAAACCTCTTACCAGAACATAATCCGTTTCTTGAATCTCTAATTGGACTTCAAGAACAAGAAAAAGAAGAAAATCAACATGCGGTTGTTGAAACAGAATCTCCAAAGGTGTACATTGCACCAAGAGTCATGATAAACCATCAAGACTCGTTTTCGCTAGACTCTCCAATCGACGATTCCATCGAAGACGCAAGGATCACTCTGCCTGATTCACCTAGAGACATCCAAGATCTTGGTCTCTCACGTCTTAGAGTTCCTGGCTCACCAAGAGCCTTCGTGCTTCCAAGAACATCAACAACGAGTCCGCGTTTTGGCTCACCAACAAGTCCTGCTCTGATCGATACCACTGCACCGTTCGAATCGGTCAAGGATGCAGTTTCCAAGTTTGGAGGGATCACAGATTGGAAAGCACATAACATCCAGAAAATAGAGGTACTTAAAAAGTTTTGGTCCAATGGTTCTTTAATCTTTTGGTTAGTTTTTTTTTGTGATATATAAGTCTTGCATTTATGATTGTCTCCAGAGAAAGAAGACGGTGGATCAAGAACTTGAGAAGATACAAGAGGACATGCCTGAGTACAAGAAGAAAGCTGTTGTAGCGGAAGAGGCGAATCAACAGGTGGTGATGGAGCTTGAGAGGACAAAGAGTGTCATCGAGGAGCTAAAACTCGAGCTAGAAAAGGCTGAAAAGGAAGAGCAACAAGCGAAACAAGACTCTGATCTCGCGAAGCTGCGTGTGGAGGAGATGGAGCAAGGCATAGCTGATGAGTCAAGCATTGCAGCTAAAACACAGCTCGAGGTGGCTAAAGAAAGGCATCTGTCGGCGATTTCCGAGCTAGGACATGTAAGAGAGGAGATAGAAATTGTTTCTAATGAGTATGAGTCTTTGTTGAAGGAAAAAGATTCGGCTGCGAAGAAAGCAGAGGACTCTGTTTCGGAAGCTAAAAATGTAGAGCAACATATGACAGGTTTGACGATAGAGGTGATTGCAACCAAGGAGCTACTGAGGTCAGCGCAAGTGGCTCATCTGGAAGCTGACGAGAAGAAACTTGAGGCAGCCATGGCTAGAGACCAGGACGTTTATAACCGAGAGAAGGAGCTGAAAATGGTGGAAGACGAGATCGAGAGGCTTAGACAAGACATGAATGCGGCTGATGACGTGAAGATCAAGCTTGAGACTGCTTCTGTGCTTCAGCAAGATTTGAGAGCCGAGATAGCTTCTTACAAAGACTCTAACGATTTGGGGAAGAGAAACAACAGTGACATACAAGCAGCTGTTGATTCGGCGAGGAAGGAGCTCGAAGAAGTTAGATCCAACATTGAGAAAGCTGTTTCCGAGGTGAAGACATTGAAGATCATTGTCGGATCATTGCAGTCTGAGCTTGAAAGAGAGAAGAAAGATCTCTCAGAGACTAAAAAGAGAGAAGCTATTTCGATTCAGAGAAACACAGAAGAGGCAAGAGACGAGAGAAGTAAAGAAATAGCCAAGAAGTTGCAAGAAGCTAGCAGAGAGGCAGAGGAGGCAAAGTCACTCGCCATAGCTTCTCGAGAGGAGCTGATAAAGGCGAAGGAAGAGTCGGATAAAGCGAAAACAGGTGTCTCTGAGATCGAACGTCAGTTAATGGAGGCGAAGAAGGAAATGGAAGCTGCAAAAGCTTCTGAGAAGTTAGCCCTAGCTGCTATAAAAGCCTTGCAAGAGACGCAATGTTGTAAAAACATTGAGGACATTAGTAGCTCACCAAGAAACGTAATCATTTCTGTGGAGGAATATTATGAGCTAAGCAAGCAAGCACATGAGGTAGAGGAGGCTGCGAACAGAAAGCTAGCAGAGATCGTCTCTCAGATCGAAGTGGCCAAGGAAGAGGAAGAGAGAGTGTTGGAGAAGCTAGAGGAAGTGAATAGAGAAACAGCTTCTCAAAAGGAAGAGTTGAAAGAAGCAATGGTGAAAGTGGAAAAGGCTAGAGACGGGAAGGTCGGTATGGATCACGAGCTGCGAAAATGGAGGTCGGAGAACGGGAATCGGAGCCCTGAGGCGGGACAAAAGGAGAATCAGCATGACTTGGGAAAGTCGAAATCTGCTTTACATTCAGTAAGATCGTTTGCATTTGGTGAACAAGGAAGCAGCAGCAATGCTGGAGAGAGTAGTAAAGTGACACCTGAAGCAAAGAAGAAGAAGAAGAGATTCTCTATGCTGCCTAAAGTCTTCATGTTCTTGTCAAGAAAGAAATCAAACAAGTGAATCAACTCCAGTTTCGTTACAGGTAGGTTTTGTTATCCGTTTTTTCAACATATTGGCTTTGTATTTTCGTTATGAAAAATGGACTTTTAAGGTTGTTGGTTAGATATGTTGTACTCTTAAATGAAATAAAAGATTAATGATACACTTGCCAAGTAATTAAGAAGCAGAGCTAAAGAGGGTTTGAATGATGGTTTTATGCCATGGATTTGAGAGATGCTCGACAAGGTTATCAATAGGACCAGTGTGAGTCACAGAGGCTTGAACAAAGAACCCTAGCATTGCCATCATCGCTAGACGACCTGTTATAGAAATGTCACACAGAGAGCTTTATGAGTATAATACAAACCAAAAGAAAGACACAATGTCTCACGGTTTCTCTTACCGTTCTTGATCTCCTTAAGTTTCCAGTCATGAGCATTTTTAATGTCCTTAGCTAGGCCTAGTGGATTCAATAGTGGTCCTCCAGGATATCTAAGCCAAAATCAACTTAGTAGTTTTCATTCTAAACACAGAGTGAAAAAGATTGGACCGTGGAAGACACGTTACCCTGGCTCGAGCCCTTCGAGAGCTGCTTCAAGTCCAAAGAAAGATCCTTCTTGAGATTGAGATCCTGGAGAGACGAAATCCATATACCTTTTGGTCTCAGCAAACCTGTGAAACAAGAGAGGATCATTCTAATTTCTGAGTTTTAACATTGGAGATTTAAAAAACAGAGATTATGAGTTTTATTTTGTTACCCCATAAGTAAAAACTGTACAACTATGAGAGTTTTTGTGCTAGCAAAATCGAATTTGACTGCTCCAGCTTCATACCAAACCGGTAAATTGCTAATTCCTGTGGTACGAAGCAGCTATATATGAAACCAACACAAAGCTCTTGATTAGCCATTTTTAATTTTTTTAAACATTTTGAGGAAAATGATGAAAAGATTTGAGTTATTTACATCGGTGAATAGTATTCCGGCAACACCGAGCATGGCGAAACGAGAGTGAACAAGCTCTGCTTGAACATACCATTTCAAGCTTTTCGGATCCTCTCCTAACCCGAGCGGGTCAAACCCGTAATCTCCAGCTAACCTTTTTTGCAAGAAACAAAAAGATTTGGTTTTTGAAGACCAAAACGCTTTTGTGTGTAAAGATGAAGACAAAAACGAAACTCACTTTCCGTCGAGGTAAGGAGGAGGTTCTAGGCCAGGAAGCCACGTGGCACGTTGTTCAACGGTAACCGTTGGATTGATGCTTCGTCCTGTTGTGGCTCCGACGGATGACATTCTTCGTCTTGTGATGACTGCTGAGGAGATGTCGTGGCGACGAAGAAGAAATCCTCCGGCGGTGATTCCTCCTCGTAAAACGACGGCCATTTTCTCTCTGTTTTTCGCTACGGCTCTTGTGACACTCTTGTTATCTACAAACCGAAGATGAAGAAGCTATCCACATAAAATAAAACAGTTAATTTATTAATCCATAAAAGAAAAATATTTGGAAGAGCGTGAATCGTTGGATTAAAGATTAGTTTGAATCTGCATCGTCCATTTTGTAGATGACGTTGTGCTCTGTTGAACCAAACGGTAAAAAGATAACAAAGTTTTGAAAATTGGAACGAGAGTTTTGAAAATTATCTGTGTATATTAGTTAAATTTACCCCCCTAAATTATATATATGACTATCTTTTACTAAGAAAAAAAAAATGATCACTTTGTTGAATATTTTTCCACTTTTGATTAGTTTACCAATAAACTCTTACTAAATCTATTCATAATTATGATATTGTTAATTATGGACCTGTTAGTAATTAATATAGTTATTGTAATTATGAACTTTTGTATATTGTGGTTTTACAATTTATTTAAAATGCATATAAAAAGATATTGTTGTTTACTAACTAATAATAACTAGGTTTCTTGTTATTTGAAAAAAAAAACTACACTTCTTGTTGTTGATCTGAAAAACTAGATTTCCTGTTATTAATTAGTACTGATTAAATATTTAAAAACTTAAAACGTTAAAGATAAGTGGAGTTATTGTACAAGTACAGAAATATAGATGTCAAAAATATAAGGTACCACATAAACAGTTCAAGATCTAGTACAATATTAACAAATTTTATGTTTCGAAGATATTGTAAGAGATCTAGTACATACATTTAGAAGAGTAAGGACTATGTTTGCAAATAAAATAGAATTGTAAATAATTTAAAAAAATTGAAGCTGATTTAACCAACACAGATGTAAATCTATAAAATATATCCATATAATTGATTTATTGGAAAAGATAAGCCTTTTATCATGAAATTATGTGCTATATTATATACACACAAAAACTCTAGACATTTGTCCACCTGATTTTTTTTGAAATAAATGATATATATGATTAAATGTTATCACTTTGTTAAATATTATTCCACTTATGATTAACCAATAAACTCTTACTAAATCTATTCTTAATTATGATATTTTTAATTATGCACTGGTTGGTAGTTTAAGTAATTATTGTAATATGAACTTTTGTATATTGTGGCTTTACAATTTATTAAAAATGCTTATAAAAATATCTTTTTTTTTATTAATTAATTTCTTGTTATTGATAAAAAAAAACTAAACTTCTTGTTGTTGACCTGAAAAACTAGATTTCTTGTTATTAGTATTGATATCAAAATTATTGTTAAAGATAAATGGAGTTATTGTAAAAGTACAGAAAAATAAATGTCAAAACTATAAGGTACCACATAAACAGTTATAGAGTGTTTATTACAATATTAACAGTGTTTCTGTTTAAATGATATTTTAAGAGATCTTGTACATACAGTTTAAAAGAATAAAAAGTAAGGACTAAAAAAACATTTTAATACTATTTTTCAAAAAAAAAAATGTAATGGCTTCAGTCTAGAATCTTGTAATTATATAAAAAGTAAATTTAGTTACGCATAATAAAAATAATATTAATTAACTTACTATAAAACTTTGTAAATTTAGAAAATATGAAAATATGATCCATAAATTAAATTTATTTTTAAAGATTTTTTACTGTAATTAATACAATTAAATAAATATATATAGAAGACAAAGAACATTAATTTGCTCGACCACTATATATAAACATATATGCTGAGTCCTAATCTCCAAACTCCTTAAATATTTCAATTGCTGAAGGCCTTCTTAGTTATATTTCTATAACAGTTAAAAGTTTAGTAAAATGAATTCAGATTTGATGATAGTGAAAAAATTATCAGATAGAGATGTTTCTAACCTTGGTCTTATGACTATACCAAAAAAGATGGGGGATAACATAATAAAGAAGATGGGAATTACGATGCCAAAAATGGTACTTAAGTGGAAGTTCTAGATAATAACAAGTCTTATTGGGTAAACTTTAATTTCACTTCCGTTTATAATTTTGGAGCTGGATGGAGAAACTTCAGAAATACAAGAGGTCTGAAAAAAGACGATTTGGTCCAATTCTATTGGAAAGACACCAAATTCATTTTCTCTATGATGTGAGTCTTCCTTTGTTTCTTTAAAAACATTATATCACATTAGCTATTCATTTCTTAATATCTAACCACTACTTACTTTTAGATTGAATAATGATATTTTAAATGTGTTTAACGTGTCTCATAACTAAAACAGTGTCATGTTAATCTTCATTGTGATACAAATAATGGATATGCTAATAGATATAACCATAATACAACATGTTTAAAAGTCTATATGTAAAATTGAATATAAAATACATAATAATATTTGTACATAACGTCTCATTGATAACAGTGAACCGGCCTTTGCGGAAAAGACAGACAAAACAGGAGAAAGTAGTTCAAACACAAATCCTACTGAAAAAAATGATAAGACAAAAGAAACCAATTCAAGCACAGCTCCTGTTGAAAAAAATGATAAGACAAAAGAAACCAGTTCAAGCACAGCTCCTCCTAAAAAGAAGGATAAGACAAGAGACAACAGTTCAAATAGATTTTCAGCTAAAAAAAAGAAGTAACTGATGCAAAATAGATGGCGTTGGACAAGAGAAATAAAATTTGAATGGTGAATGTAACATGTGTGATATAAATATAATAAGTTCCTAAGGATTTTCAAATAGTTTGGATGACTGAAATTTTATTCTATAAATAACAATGTAATTATTAATATATAGTATCCATATATTTAGTTTTTATTGAAAAGTTATGTGAAATATAGTTGAGAAACCCACGTGAAAGTCGAATCCCCAATAAATTTGGATGGTTCTAAAGAAAATCTGGAATATTTCCTTATTTTTGTGAATATCCATTCAGTCGATGAGTCTTGATTGGTCGTATGAGGTTGTCCTTGTCGAATTGGCTTAATCAGTCAACCATATACTTCATTTCTCACCTTGTTCTCAACTGACGCTAGACATGACAAGCTTCTGGATTTTGAGCACTAACTGATGGATTGCTCTAAAACCGTTTGGATATGAAAGATAACATTGTCCTCTATTTTGAGACCAACTTTGAGCAACATTCAACCATGAGAAGTCCTTAATCCGATGATAAACATTTGGTACATGGAAGTTGTCCAATTTTCAAAGTGTCCAAATTAATATCAATTTCGTCCAAATCATCCCTATATCCTGCAAAGTGTCTAAAACTCCAAAAGAATTGAAAACATAGATAATATATCATACGCTAACTAAACTTAAAAAAAAAATATCCTGAAAGGAATTTTTGGAAGCTCATTTAGCACAGATTGGAACGTTATAGTTGATCTCTTACGGGACTCAAACTATGACCGCCTCAAACTATTCATCATCAGGTACGCCTTCCAAGCCACAGTGTACAGCATCTGGATGGAGCAAAACCGTCGACGGCATGGCGAGGAGGAGATGTCGGCGCAGAGAATGACGGCAATGCTGGACAAAAATATTAGAAATCGGCTCAGCTCAATTAGGCTTCTAGGTGACTATAGTTATGATGGTAGCCTAATGTATTGGTTTGCAACAAGATTATAAGTTGTAAAACAATAGGATCTCATCTATTCAAAATTTGATGCACTTGATGTAATTGAATATAATTTTACATTCATTCGAAAAAAAAACTTAGAAAAAATATCCATAGAAGTTATTAAACTATATTTATTGTAGGATTATTACTGTTAAAAAACCTATGGAAAACAAGAAACATAATTTTGGTACTATATATATATATATATATCATTACAAGAAAAACAGTTTATAGCTACAAATTTAGTTGTTGATTGAGTTACAAATATGTGGCTGTTTAGGCGATAGACACAAACATACACTATTTTATAGCTATGAGCTCGTAGTTATGTCTTTCATGGCTGTAACTTGGGCAATTCTTTACTATGTATATGAAAATCCCATTTTCTCTAGCTAGCATCCCAAAAGTTTTTATTACCATGATGAACCATGAGACCATCACCTTTATATGCCATAAACCTGCATGAAACTTGAAATTAGCCCCTTGCCAGTTGCCACAAGTCACAATAGAATTCGGTATCATGTACTATCATGGAAACTGAAATTGTAGATTTCTCTAAAACGCAAAAAGTGAAAACCTAGATCACCGTCGTTTAATTTGATATACAATGAATCTTGAGGATGTTGTTCTGACAAAGAGAATCCTACAAATGTACGGATGTTTTCTCATCCCACTTGACGTTATTGAACCCTACGCTCAATCTAATAACGTAACAAGCAGAAAACATAAGAGACGATTCATTGTTTTTATTGTTTGAAAATGGACTTCTCCTATGCTTCTTCAAAACTTAACGAATTATGTACATCATTAAGAGCGACAATGTCGTTTTTTATGTATATATATAGAAGTGTGCTGCATGGGTGTTCATTCGATTTTTGGTCTTTTCCTATTGTTAAACATTATACGAATCCGTTTATCGCTTTTGCCTTTTATTTTTTGTCCGTAATTATCACTTTTGTTTTGCATGTAACTAGAAGAGTTTAATGCTTTTGATAAATATACTTCAACTTTCAGCTTCGACTTTTGTTATGTGCACTAATTAGTGTGTTTAATATGTAAACAATCTTAATATTCCAACAGTCTCATTATAGCATCGGCTGGTTCTGTAAAACACATAGTACAAGATTCAGTACGTATTAAAATAAATTAGAAAATAGTTGTTTAACTTGTTTTGTTATAAATAAATTAGAATATATAACGATGATTTGACGATTAAATATTTCTTTGCTAAGTTACGACGAATGTGTTGGTCGTCATAGATTCGTTGTAACAGGGAAGTGAGTTTACAACCAATTATTTTTGTCGTAATGTAAAATGCATGTTTTCTTGTAATGGTATCACAATATAGTTTGTGATTATATTAATCGAAAAAAGTCTAAAATAAAAATAAAAATAGATAAATGGATCTCTTCTAATGTTTGATCGGTGAGATACAGTAATACAGATCTCTTTTATTATCTTTGCCTCTGCGCATGGAACCCGGGAATATGCTGAGGCAGAGAAACGACGGCCCGTCTTTACTCATCTTGGAGGGCTCTGGGAGCGGTGATTGTGCCGTCGGTACCGGGTTGCTGGATAATCAGATTGATAGCCATAACCCCATCTATTAATTCAAAAAAAAAACATTTTATTTTTTTGAATTTAATGTAAAATTAATTCAATCAAGAAACCGTTTTTACAATGAATGCTAATGTAAAATTAATTCAATCAATCAACATTTTAGAGTTTCAATAAATTTTTAGCCAAAACCAGCGAAAGCTCATTCAGAAACGTTGTTTTTATATACACATCTTACACCTTTCTTTGCTAATGAAATCATGGCATATAATCAAGGAAGATCTAGCAGTTTTAGTTATGATCCTATATGACTATATGAGTGAGGTCATAAGGAAAGATCAAGCAAGTATAGCAGCGAGGATGACAAATTCTCACAAGACCTAAAATATAATTCCTGACATTCACTATAGATTGCAGAGCAAATGACTTGCTAAAGCATCGAGAAAAAAAAGTTAAGGTAACGTACTACCACGAAGGCGTGCTGTTTCCTCCTCGGTTTCTTGAAGACGAGCCCCCAGTTCCTTGTTCATCATGTCCATCTCCATGTTCTCCCTCTGCATGCAACAACAAAACAAAACTTAAACTTTAACAAATTTGTTATAACAAGGAGCTGTTTAATTAGACATGATATAAGTAGATGGTTGGTAACGTGATATCTCTTACCTCCAAATACCTCACTCGAACAGACGCTCTATAAGACTCGATCTTAAGTTCGCCTACTTGTTTTTTAAGGTCGTCTACTTGTTTTTCCAGGTCGGCCATGTACTTGACTTTCTTGTCCTTTGAACGTGCAGCTGATCGGCGGTTAGACAATATTCTGAAAAGAGGATTATCATCATCATCATCATCATCATATATGTCGATAAAAAGAGAGACAAAAAAATACATATGTAAATGGGTAAATTTAGTCACGCAAATCTAGCTAACCTTTTGACAATCTTAGAATTTTTTTGAGCTAACTCAACAAGTCTGTCATCGGCCACAATCTGTTCCAATTCAGATTCAGTTAACCTGTCGTTTGCATAACCCGGAACAGTTTCTTTGCGTCCTCTTCTCTTAACCCCGGAAGTAGGGTTGTTCCCACCGGAACCGCTGCTGATTGAAGCGTTGATCTCATCCGCAGTAAGATACCAGGGATAGTTCATGGTCGTATCCCAGTCAGATTCGTTTTCTCCAACCGTGTTCGGGGAAATCTCAGCCAACAGCGATTTCGCAGTCAACTCAGACATGATCACACTGTTGGTCCGTCTATGAGTCTTTCTCGGACGCTGACCACCGCCGGAGCCTCTCACCGAGTAATCCCTCCTGGGCGGAAGCGGAGGCAACCCCGCAATGAAGCTAGCCACTGGTGCTGGTGCTGGTACTGGAGAATCTCGGAAGGACGACAGAAATGGGCTCACCTGCGGCGCAAACAAATCCATGGTGGAGACAGGCGCCGGCTCAGGCACGGTTGGTGAGACACCTAGTCCGGAGAAGAAACTCTGCGTCTCCTTTGGTGGATAGGTCGTTGGGATCTCAGGACGCCGGGGAATGGGTGAAAAAAGGATCTGGCGAGACGGCGTCAAGCCGGCTCCGTAGTGAGTTTCGTCGCCGCCGTTGCCAGAAGGATTCGGGAATTGGGTGTTGAGAGCGATAACGAATTTGTGAGCCATGGATAGGGTTTGTGTATGGATCCGAAGAAGACCAACGTCTGCATCATCAGATCGGAGTAAGATTTGTCAGTATCACTCATTTTCTTACAAAACTATAAAATAAGATAAGATTGGTCGGAGAAACCAACAAAAACCCTAGCAATCATTAGAATCATAAAAGGTCATTCCTTTTTCAGTGGAGAATATCAGATTCCGTTGAAAAAGTGTCACTATCATCACTTTTTTAGAGAGAGAGAGAGAGAGAGAGAGAGAGAGAGAGAGAATCAAAACAATATTAAAAGTTCGAGAATAAATGCAAAAGAAAATACAGTAGGCAGTAAGATTACCTCAGCTAAAACTATGGAGGCAATCGAAGACGAAGCTCTTGATACTCTCTCTCTCTCTCTCAATTTTTATTTTTGCTTATCGCTTGCACTACTGTTGCTCTGCCTTTTATATGCGTTTTCCCTTATGTGTAATTGTAAGAACAGCCTAGCAGGATTGTCCTCATGCGTTGATGATAAGGTGAAACTTATCAACAACATTCATCCTCCCTAATTATCTTAATTAGTGACTTTTTTACTTCACCAACCACATTTTTTATATCCACAATTTTCAATTTAATTTAATTTTTTTTTTTGTTAAAAGGCCTTCATTAATACTTAAAAACATAGCTTACAAGCAAGATTACCAGAAGATGAAATAGAGAAGAAAAATAGAAAGAGAGGAAGGAAGAAAAGAGGAGGGATGGAAGCTCGATAAAAAGAGACTCTTTCTACAGACCAATTTCCCAGAGGCGTAGAAGAGGATCACCTTTGCACGAGCTCAAGCTTTTCAACGCAACTGCCCTGTTTTTTAGGACAGACAAGATGCGGTTTACAATAGCTATAGGTGGGGAAGTGTTACCTTCATGATACCGTCTATTTCTCTCTCTCCAAATCTCATAGATGCTGGCCTGCCAACCTTGAGCCATCGCAAGAGATTTGGTAGAAGAAGATGATCCTGATATCACCCAAAGTAAGGAGTCGGACCAGGATATAGGAACAGAAACACAACGGATCCTAACCATTACAGACTTCCAGATGAGAAGAGAGTAAGGGCATGAGAAGAATAAATGATCACGACTTTCTTGGGCATGACCACAAAGGAGACAAGATTCTTCCACATCTAGACCCCAAGAGAGAAGACGCGATAGAGTTGGATTCCTGTCAAGAATAAAAAGCCAAGCATTCGTAGAATGCTTTGGAATAGCTACATTGTTCCACACCAGCTTGTACCACGGAACTTTAGGTTTAGACTCTCTGATAATATTCCAAAGCACTTTACTGTTGAATTCTTTAGAGATGCACCCCTCGACAATCCAAACAGGATAATCTGACGAATTTGAAATAGCAACAGAGGAAATGAACGAGAAAACCTCTAGGTGATGGTCAGATCTTGCTGGCGGGAGAATCCAGTTTAGGTCTGATATACAGTCTTTAACTAAGGCATCCTGAGGAATACCAATGATAGCAGGAGCCTGCGGTCCCAAGTAAGAGATTAGAGGACCAAAAGGTGTCCATGGATCCCACCAAAAGAAAGTTTCCTCCCCAGAACCAATTAAGATGCGCAAGAAGGAGGAGGCTTTGTGACGTAGCTTTAGGATTTTCCGAAAAGTCCAAGAGAAGGACGGGTTCTCTTGGTTGAGAGACCAGAAACTTTGCCGAGATAAGTATCTATTACGCATCCACGCAACCCAAATTGAACCAGACTTAAAAAACAGCATCCACAAAAGTTTTAAACCACAAACTTCGTTCCAAGAACTGATTGATCGGATGCCGAGCCCTCCTTCAGCTTTTGGATAACATACCTCCGACCATGAAACCTTCGCACCCGTAGGACAGTCTAGTTTTCCGTGCCACAGAAACGAACTGCTTAACGAGTTTATTTGCCTTATCACCGTTTTGGGGAGAAAGAATGCCTGAGTCCAGAACACTATTAAGCCCGAAATAACTGAAGACAACAGAGTTAATCTTCCTGCAAAACTGAGAGGACGATGCATCCAGCTGCTCATCTTCATTCTGATTTTTGAGATCAGGGGATCACAGTCATTTACCGAGAGTTTTTTAGAGGAAAGCGGGAGACCTAAATACCGAATTGGTAAGGAGGCAGCCTCTAAAGAGAATCTGTTTCGCAAGTCATTCAAAACCTGAGTGGAGACCCCGGAACAGAACATTGACGTTTTAGTAATGTTCACCGCTAAACCTGACATCTTTTCAAACTGAGCGAGAATTTTGAGCACTCCGTCAACTGAGTCTGCTGAACCCTCCAAAAAGATAAGCAGATCATCTGCGAAAGCGAGATGAGTAAGCTGAACATTTTCACAGTCTGGGTGGAGTTTGAAGATACCTTCCTCAGCTGCTTTGTTCAACATAATGGAGAGAATGTTCATTGCCATAACAAACAGAATTGGGGAAAGAGGATCTCCTTGCCTGAGGCCCGTTTTCCCTTTAAAATATCCTGAGGTGATCCCATTTATACTCACTGAGAAAGATGGAGTGGAGATACATTTCTTGATCCAAGCATTGAACTCTGCAGGCAATTTATAAGCAGACAGACAAGTAAGAATAAAATCCCACCTCATGGAATCAAAGGCTTTCGCTATATCTACTTTCAACGTGATTCTGGGAGAAAGATTTTGGCGATGGTATCCCTTTATAACTTCAGCAGCTAAAAAGACATTCTCTAAAAGTAGCCGGTCTTTTATGAATGCCGTTTGATTTGGCAAGATCAATTTAGGTAGAATTCTCTTCAACCTATCTGAGAGCAGCCGGGAGATCAGCTTGTAGATAGTATTTAGGCAGGAGATGGGTCTGAAATCCTTCAACTCATCAGCTCCCCTCCTTTTTGGAATCAGAATCAAAGAGGTAGAATTTAGTGCTTTGGGCATGAACGGGGACAAGAAGAAATTCTGAACAGAGACCGTAATCTCCTCACCTAACACTTCCCAACCTCGTTTAAAAAACTCCACTGGAAAACCATCTGGACCAGGTGTCCTATTCAGCGGCATTTTAAACAGTGATGATTTGATATCCTCTACAGAGAAAGAGCTTTTCATCATTTGCTGCTGAAACACAGAATAATGCTGGGCGATAAGACTATCCAGCGTTGCCTGTAGCTGTGGACTGAATTCTCCTTTTATAGAGTTGTACAATCCAGCGTAATAAGACTCAGCAATCGTGTGGACCTCCTGAAGAGATGATGTGCGAGTCCCATCAGACTTGATAAGGTATTTGATAGCGTTTGAAGTATTTCTCCCTTTTGTGACCAAATGGAAAAACCGGGTAATATCAAGTTTTAAATTAGAAATAAAAAACAATTAGTAGCATTTGCAGGATTATACATAATTTATATTTTTATTTGTTGCTTTCGTTTTTTTTTAATACATATTTTAAACATTTTTTCGTTCTAGCTTTATTACTTTAGGGTATTTTTAAGAGAGATTTGTTAGTATGGGTGAGAAAACTTTAAACAATTTTTATTGTAAAAAGCAGTGGTAAAATGAATCCCTGTACCAAATCTTTTCATTTTAGATTTTTATAGAAATCAAATGTTGTTAAGGGTAATATTTTCGAAAAACTAGTAATTTATCTACTGTGGCACACTAAAAAGGATACTCCTATTTTGTCTTGGACTTATACACTAAGTTACTTATTAATAATTGCACCTATACAAAAGATTCATGTTAACCTTTGTAAAAATGCTGGAGGAAAGGTGCATTAAATTATGCAAGACAGAAAGCTATTCAATGTGCTTAGATACGAATTCAACTATTAGTGTAAGTAATAATTTTCAGTTACACTACTAGAGGAAAAATGAGATATACTTCTAAAAAAACAAAATTCATTTCCTTATAAACTAGATTTTTTATTACTTAAGAGTGTGGGTTTTCTAATCATTCAACACCATAATCATCCAAATATGTTTCATTAGCAGTTACCTGTATAAAACCTTCTCTTGTTTGTTGTTGTTTTTGATTAACGGCTAATTACAACCTGTCTTTTATATAAGAAATAATTACAGCCTGTCTTTTTATAAAAGAAATAATTACAACCTGGTTTTTTATAAAAAGAAATAATTACAGCCTGTATTTTATTTTATTTTACATCAGTTACAACCTGTCTAAGTTACCCAGTAGATTTTCTTTCTATAAAATTCTGATATGAAATCTTTTAAAAAAAAAACTATTTGGTTTTTTAATCTTTATTTAAAAAAAAATATATAAAATTGATTTGCCAAGAGCTATTAATCAAAAGTTCAAAAAATGTTTAGGCAAAAGATGGTGAGGCCCATTAGGCCCAAATAGAATCCATTTGCAGACTTTCTCTTCCATCCGCCCATTCTCTGGTCGCAAGCTTTCCACGGTACGCCTGCGAATGGATAATGTAACCGTTTAGCTCTCTCTCTCTCTCTCTCTCTGCTTCCATAAATCTTCACGGAATGAGCTTAGCTTCCGTTTCCTCGTCGCCGTCGGTGGCTTCGCCGTGCTTCCGCTGCCGAGCTTACATCGTCTCCTTCTCTTCCTCACCTCTCTGTTTATATTTCCCGCGCGGTCGCGGAGACTCAACGTCGCGCAGGTCTCGAGTTCGCTCCTTACGAACCGAATCGGACGGGGCTAGGATCGGTAACACGGACTCCTACGGCTCGGAATTGCTTCGTCGGCCGCGAATTTCGTCGGAGGAAGAGGAAAGCTCCGAAGAAGAGGAGGTGGGGGAGAGCGGCGAAGGCGATGAATTTGTGGATTGGGAAGATAAAATCCTCGAGGTTACTGTTCCTCTTGTTGGCTTCGTTAGGATGATTCTTCACTCCGGAAAGTACGTCTTGCTATTTTTCGAATTTCTCTTATCTCACTGTTACGATCAAAATCAGGATACTGTATAGCTACTGTAAGCATTTTAGGAAGCAATCGATTGCAGAATTTCGTACTAGAATTTGGAATTTAACAATTGCTGGTGCTCTTGTTGTCTAATTGAGTGTTGATTCTGAAATGAGAGCTCGAGATTCTCTCTATAACTTGGAAATGGTTCTAGCTCCTTTGAGCTTGCATGAGTCATTCACAATGTAGAAGCATTTCTTGATTTGATTAATGGATTCTTGTCTTTTATCATGATTGGTGCAACTATGGATTAGGTGTTAAATGCCAAAGAAATGTGAATGTTGTTGTTGTGTTGCTGTTGCTTATATATTCATCTGTTTGATAAAGAGTCTTTTTGATTCATTTGGTTGCTCTCTCTGCTTGGCATTTTTCAAAAATGCAGATATGCAAACCGAGATAGGCTAAGCCCGGAGCACGAGCGAACAATCGTTGAGATGCTGCTTCCTTATCACCCTGAAGCTGAGAAGAAGATCGGATGTGGAATAGACTATATCATGGTATGTATTATGCTTTCTTGATTTGGAAATATCCTCTCTGAAAAATTGATTTGGCATTGCTTTCCTTTTGATGACAAAGTTTGTAGTTTCATTTTCACATCTTTATCTGCACTTTTCAATCTTTTTCTTGATTTACATAACAAAGATAGAGATGAATTGGGAAGAAGAGATATGCTTCCTTGTAGTCTCTATTCGAAATGCACATCAGACTTGTAATAATCTTGATTGTTTTGGTTTTGACGGTTGTAGGTTGGGCATCATCCAGAATTCGAGAGCTCTCGGTGTATGTTTATAGTTCGAAAAGATGGAGAAGTAGTAGACTTTTCGTATTGGAAATGCATAAAAGGTTTGATAAAAAAGAAGTATCCTCTGTACGCAGACAGTTTCATCCTCAGACATTTTCGCAAACGTAGGCAAAACAGATGAAGGTAAAAAAAAAGCTTGTGTAGATTTCTCAAACTCAACGCTACTTGGATCCTCGTCTCCTAAACAAGGTTTTGAAGTTAGAACTCAGGCAAAGAAGATCCATTTCACTTTTGTTTTTTTCTTTTGAGTTGGAATTATGGAATGGAACGTTCTTGAAGATGTGGTTTTTGAAGGAGATGAGGAATTTGACCATCAGAATTTAAATATTTTCACTGTTTACAATCTTTAGCATTTTGATATGATATGAAACTTTTGCCTTGTATGTGTAGAGGTAGAGAAACTGTACACACTTGTGTGCATGGTTTAAGTGTCATAAGTCAAATCCATTACAATTTTTTTCGTCTTTCCTTCTTAAACATTTTATCAATTTTGTTATCAAAACAGTTTGTTATTTTAAAATACCCAAAATCTAAAACAAAGAAAAGAAAGAATCTAGCGATTACACACGACGACAAACACTCTCACGATCAAATAATTCACGAAGACAAGAAAGAGTTCTTGTAGCGACGTATGATTGGAGTCTATCATACTTTAAACTATCTCAAAAGCTCCCTTATTAGTAAGATGACATCTCAAAGTGCCATAAGCAAACACTAGTGAATTGAATATCCCTCCTAAAGTGACAAGATCCAAACAATATATCACTCGATATTCTTGTTTGTGATCGGTCCACTTACTTCTTTAGAACCTCTTGACAAAAAGTAGTTGTAAGGAAACCACGTGTCGTTCTTTAACTGTCTATAACCAACGATAACAAGGAACGGACCAACCTAGATTAGACACATATGAAGCAATATAGCAGCCGTTAAATGTCGTAGTAACGTGGACGGATGTGATTTCATTTCACATCAGACTTTGTTTGTGGGAAGATGTCAGAAACATTTGAGTCTTTTTACTTCTTCTCATTGGTCCACGTCTCAGATTTCAAGCTGGGTCCACTTACCATTATCAAACCACCCACCCACCCTATATTTTTAGTTGTTAAAAAAATAAACACAAGGACAATAATACTCTCAATTCACTAATTAAGTAAGAATGATAGTATTTTCTTTTTCTCTTGGAGTTTCATTGACTCTAGTAGTATAGTTTAATATTTAATAAGTTCGGTTAAGTTCCTGGTGAAGAAAGTAATCTGCTAAATATTAATGATACTCATACTGGATCGATGAATCTAGATGCAAAAGGAAAACATCATGAAGTCAGCAAAATATAAACAATGCGTAAAAACTGAAAACTATAAAGTGATAGTGACGCCAAAATAAATAAATATTGCTAAATTTAGTATTTATTCGAATGGTTAGGAAACAGAGAGACACTTGGCTCAGCAGACAAAAGAACTTAATCACCCGAACGAACCAGCAGACATTTTTGGACAAAGACGAAAGCTCACGGATTAAGCCACACGGTTAAAAGGTAACTACATGCTTAATTTTTTCTCTGAGTCTGAATATTGCTAAAGCTTGACGCTTGCTCGTCTTCTTTAATTGTTTTACATTAATGTCCACACTAATTTTGGATAAATTACTAATTTAACTAATATTTTCTCAAAAACCCATTTGAATCTGATCTTATCCGTTTAAATCAGTATATTGCTTTTTACGGATCTTGAATTGAATTGTCCTGGATCTTCTTTGTGTGTTTCTGATCTGATACATACAGTGAATTTTCTGGGAATTTGCATGGTTTTGATGACAAAGGTTTAAAGTTTAAAAACTAATCTTTCACTAATTCGTATTCATGGCCATTTCCAGATCCATAAGAAACTAGTGGAAACAGAGTCTGCTAAAAAGTAACATGAATTTCAAGAACAACAATTTGGGGACTGAGCCACCGCCCGGAGATGGTGGAGGAGGAGGAGGAGCGTTGACCAGACCGGCGTTGACTCGACAAGGATCGATATACTCGTTGACATTCGACGAGTTTCAGAACAGTTTGGGTAAAGATTTTGGGTCAATGAACATGGACGAGCTGTTAAAGAACATATGGAGTGCTGAAGAAACACAAGCCATGGCTATGGCTGCTTCAACAAGTGGTGTGATTCCACTTCCTGGAGGCCAAGAGGGTTTGCAGTTACAGAGACAAGGCTCTTTGACTCTGCCTCGAACGCTAAGCACGAAAACGGTCGATCAAGTGTGGAAAGATCTCTCTAAAGATGGAAACAATGGAGGAGGAGGAGGAACAAACTTGTCTCAGTCTCAGTCACAGTCTCAGAGCCAGAGGCAGAGAGAGCAGACGTTAGGTGAAGTAACTCTAGAGGAGTTCTTGGTACGTGCTGGCGTTGTAAGAGAGGAAGCTCCGGTTGCTGCAAACGACAAAGGCGGATACTTTGGAAACGATGCTAACAAGGGTTTCTCTGTTCAGGCTTCACCACAAGTTGTTCCCGGTTTAATAGGGAATCTTGGTGAAGAGACTGTGAATCTTGGTTCTAGTTTGCCTCTGAATGTAAATGGAGCAAGATCAACATACCAGCAACCGCAAGCGCAACAGCCACAGCCGATCATGCCTAAGCAGCCCGGTTTTGGTTATGGAACACAGATTGGGGTAAGAGGTGGGCTTATGGGACTTGGAGATCAGTCTCTAACGAACAATATGGGGCTGGTGCAAGGTGGTGGAGCTATAGGGGTGGTTGGTGCTGTGTCTCCTGTTACGCCGTTGTCATCAGATGGGATAAAGAAGAACAACGGTGATTCTTCGTCGTTATCTCCGTCTCCTTACATGTTTAATGGTGGTGTGAGAGGTAGGAGGAGTGGTGGCAATGTGGAGAGAGTTGTTGAGAGAAGGCAAAGGAGAATGATCAAGAACCGTGAATCAGCTGCAAGATCACGCGCTAGGAAACAGGTAAAATGTTTAATCTTATAATCTTTGATTGTAAGCCAAAAGAAAAGTTAATTCGTTAGCTTATCTTGAAAGTGTCTTGGTTGAAATAGTGTAGATATGGAAAGAAGAACTTGCTTAAGTAGTTGTGTTTCTTGTGGTTGAATTTAAGAGTCTTGGAAATGAATATGAACCTTGTGGTTTTGGTGTATATACGTGTTGGAATCCGCAGATGTTCATGGAAGACCAGACCATATACAGGAATGTAATTTTGCTAGTTGTCCTGAGGTGGATCAGAGGTTGTTTCAAGAAGTTGTAGTGACTTGATCAAGAAGATATACGGTTCTGCTGTATCTCATAAGCTTCTCAGTAGTGCTTGTTTTGGTGTGTAGGCTTATACGGTGGAGCTTGAAGCTGAAGTTGCAAAGTTAAAGGAAGAGAATGACGAGTTGCAACGAAAACAGGTAATCAAAAAACGTATCTTAGAGTATCGAATTTGCTCATATCTTACCTTCATTTATTCTAGTTTCTCACTGTATTTCTTGTTTGGGTGTTTTTTTTACAGGCAAAAATTATGGAAATGCAAAAGAATCAGGTAAAAATATATCTTGTTCCAAATTAACCACTGAAGTCATAGCTTTGTTTGACTCTCTAAACTTATGTCTCTGGGCTATAAAACAGGAGATGGAGATGAGGAATCTTGAAGGAGGAGCAAAGAAAAGGCTGAGGAGGACAGAGTCAGGACCTTGGTGAATCATATACTTTAGTTTCTGTAGATAAAACATCCCACTTAGGTGTTTATTTTGAAGACTAAAGAGAGAAGAGCTTTTCATGGTTTATGTTGTAAGCTCTCTCTCTATCCATGTATGTGTTCTCTTATACGTTATACATACACAAAGATCATCAGAGTCTCTTTACTTTAGCAATAACAAGATGCTTTATCTTGTATCATTTTGTTGGTTTCTGATTCTTGTTCTTTCTCTGCTTGTCGCAAATTAAAACCCCAAAATGCAGTTCTTGATCTTTGGAGATTCTAATTTCAACTTGACATAGCAATGCATTAGTTTTATGTATTTGTTTGTTTCTCTGGAGATGCTAAATCAATATTTATGCAAAGATGACATGACAAGAAGTAAACTTAAAATGATGATACCCAGGCCCAAGCCCACCATGGATTTATCCTATTTCCATTTTCGGAGCTGAAATTGAGCCTCCACTGAAAAAGACTCATCACATGGATTTTCTAGGGTTTCGTCTTGTTCCTCCGTATAACTTTTGGTTTTACTTCGTTAATAATTAATTTGTTCCTTTTTTCTTTTTATGTTTTAGCGTCGGGCAAAATGGAAGAAGGGAAAAGTCAAGTTTAGGTCGACTGTAACAGTATCTTATCTAGGGTTTGTAATTTGCAACGATATGGTGAGAATCAGTGAGTTGTCTGATGACTTGCTGCTTAAAATTTTATCGTTTCTTCCAACAGAAGTTGCTGTCTCCACAAGCATCTTGTCGAAACAATGGCAATTTCTTTGGATGTGGTTGCCTAAACTTGAGTACCAATACTTTCATATCACTGATCTATTGACTTCACGGTATGAGGAATTTATCGACAAGAATATGCCGTTGCATAGAGCTCCGGTCATAGAAAGCTTGCGCCTCGTATTTTTTTTATATTAGATCATGTAACCGTAAACCTGAGAAAATCAAAATATGGGTTGGGATTGCGGTTTCTCGCTTTGTGCGTGAGCTGAGTATTGTCTATTTTTGTTTAGATCCCAAACCAAGTGATGTATTATCATTGCCAATAAGTTTATATACCTGCAACTCACTTATGACGTTGAAACTTCATGGCAACATTCTTGTGGATGTTCCTCCAACTGTTTGTCTCCCTTCCTTGAAGACCTTGCAACTTCGATATGTGACTTATTTGAATGAAGATTCTCTTCGACTGCTTCTATCGCATTGCCTTGTTCTGGAAGATCTGCTTATTGCACGACGTGATAAGCATGACAATTTGAGAGCGGTAGTTGTTAACTTCCCGTCTTTGCAGAGGTTATCCTTGCAGATTGTTAGCGTATGTTCTTCTGATGATGGCTATGTGATAGTGACCCCTTGTTTGAGGTATTTCAAAATTGTGGACCACAGAGATTTCCACTCCTATTTGATGGAGCCTATGCCAAAGCTGGAAGAGGCAGATATTCATGTTTTGGGTAATATCGGGAGTATTCTTGAATCGATCACATCCGTCAGACGTCTTTCATTGGGATGCAATGGTCCAAAAGAGGTAACGTGTTTACATCTGTCAACCTCAAGTTTTCACTATATTGGAGTTTCATGAGATTTTTTTTCGTTTTCTTTTTGTTATTTACAATGTCGTGTGTGCAGTTTGTGCATCGTGCTGGTATTGTCTTCAACCAGCTTGAACATTTGAATCTATCTATATACACACATAATTGGTCGGATTTCCTTGTTTGGATGCTCGGACATTCTCCTAAACTTCGAGCCCTCAATCTATCTGTTGGTGTAAGTTTCTTCCTTTACTATTTTTAGCTTAAAGCATTCTATGATGTAATCTTGACTCTCTATCTTTCTTTCTTGTTTTTTTTTTTGTTTTTTGTTTTTTTTTTTGTTAATCGCAGAGGTTTCCACAGTTTGCTGTGTATCAACCGGTGAAGTGGAGCTCTGTTCCTGAATGTTTGTTGAGGAGTCTCGAAACTTTTGAGTTTAAAGATTACACGGGAACACAAGAACAGAGAGATTTCTTGAGTTTCTTCTTCAAACACGCTTCTTGCTTGAGGTCTGCATCAATCATTCGTCATGTTCCTGATTTGTCGCATTCTTTCTGAATTTTGGGTTTGTTTTGGTTATATGTTGTACTTGCAGAACCTTCGTTAGATATTAATTATACTAGGACTAAGCCCGCGCGATGCGCGGGTTGTGACTATTACAAAGTTTTATTACTTATATTTTAATTGTCATTTGAATTTTAAAAATATTTTGTCTCTTATATTTTTTCAAATATCTTAACGCAGTAGAAATATAAATATATATTGCTCCTTGCCTAAAACTTTTAACCTATACCTAAAAATTTGAACCATACCGATCCAAAATACTCGTACCCAATTGATTTTAGGTATATCGTAAATCATCCATTAGGTAAATATTTGATACTCGTGGGAATTAGCCAATTAGGTAATAGCTGAACGAAATCAAATACCCAAATTATCCAAATTATGGATTATTGTTGACATTATAAATATATTTTTTAATAAGATTTCTAATATAATTTTTCAAATGATAGTTTCTGGTCAATTTCAGTCGGATCTCATATTACTTGAGACATCCTGATTGAATGAAAAATAAGAATATAAAATTTGAAATATGAGCTATGTATGATTATTGTATAAGATTATAAACCGTCCTAATGTAACATCATATAGTTAATACATTTTTACTTATGGCGTCATCTTCGTATACTACAATGGCATCTCCATATATATTATACTAGATTAAGGCCCGCGTATACGCGGGTATATTTTAAGATTTTATAATAAAAGCATGGAAAATATTAAACAAAATTTGATCATTTTTAAACGTAAACAAAATAATATTGAAAACCCGATAAAAATATTTAAATAAAATAAGATTGGTAATACTTTTACATTTTTATTGTAATTGATTTTTCTTTTGAATTTATGATATGACAAAATGAATTAATTTGTTTTACTATTATTTTTATCCAATACAGAAAGACTTACACATGTCTAAATCTGATCAACTGATTAATTAATCAAACTTTTATTATTCCATTCAAGAGATTTTAATTGATGAAATCTTTATTTCAATTTTTTTTACCTAACAAAAATTGAAAATCAAACTATTTAAAATTAGAATATCAATTATAATTTTTTTAATATTAGTTAATTGCTTGATAATTATTTTGTTAGTTTTCTATTTATATTTTTTCTTTCTCAATTTTGTTTTTGCCTCAGACCATTATAAATACTATATATTGGTATTTTTCCTTTTCGAAATGGATTTTTTTTCCTTTTCTTAATAGATGTAACAAAAGAATTTAAATTATTTGTTTCCTGTTTTTTTATTACTTTTAATGGATGTATTATTTTTTTCATTTTAATTATTTGTTATCTGTTTTTCTAATTTTTAGTTAGTCTTATACATATTAATTTTATTATTTTTATTCCATGACACATGTTACGATCTTCATACTTCCGAAATTTTTTTTTTCTAAAACACATGTCGCAATTTTGTCAGTTATAAAATCCTATGTATCGCAAAACTTTCAAAAACATGATTTTTAAATTGGAGAAATAGAATCAAAGGGATTTGATGAATTTTCTTTGATGAATTTATGATTGAGAAACTTGACTCTCTTTTATAGGGGTTCAAGTAACCTATTACATGCAGTTATAGGAAATTTAGTTTACATAACATATTCATGTACAAATAGGATTTTATTTATTACATTATTTTGATTTTATTATTTGTTTGGATAATATTAATTTGATGAATGGAAACCTTTCTCTATTAGGATATGACAAATATATTTTTATTTCTTTTAACTGTAATGGATTAATTTTTTTTAAATTCCTTTATCTAAATTTTTTTATTATTATTATTTTTTTTTTCTCTAAGACATGTGTCACGATCTTAACGGACGTAACATTAAAAGTGACACATGTCGCGATCTTATAAATTATAAAAATCCTATGTGTCGCAACCACGTCGTGCGCATCCAACTTTATATAATAAAAAATTGATGAATGGGAAACCTTTTTCTGTTTGGATTTGGCAAATATTATTTTTTTTTTTGATATAATAGATTAAATTAAATTTCGTTTTTTTTAATTAACATTTTTCTGGAATTTTTTTTTAAGTTCTCTTTTTTCCTAAGACACGTGTCACGATCTTAACGGACATAAACTTAAAAGTGACACATGTCGCGATCCTGAATTTTATAAAAATCCTACGTGTCGCAACCACGTCGTGCGCATCCAGCTTTATATAATAAGATATATATATATATAGACAATGTGTTTCTAATTTATCTTACACTTATCTCTTTCCAAACCAGCCAAGAACAAAAGTACAGAAGAAACCAAAAAACTCTCTCATGTCTTTGCCACGTAGATATGGACGTCGAACATCACAAGTCCAGCTACATCGGTAGACCAACAGTGGATATTCCACCAATAACAACAAATTCTGGAATTTAAGAGAAGAACACCTGTCCACTTAAAAAAAGGTCAACAAAATTTGTTTTACGTAATTTGCATTGAAGTCAAGAACGTCTCATCTTCCTCGCAGCTCTACCATCCTTCTTCCCTCTTCGTTCCGTCTCCCCAAATCAAGAAAATTTGCAAACTTGCTTCCGTCACTCTGATACAATTTGCAAAATTTTGAGTGACGTTGTCGAAGCTGTCGTCTTCTTCCTGCTTAACAACAGACCCATATTTCACCATGATTTTGATTCATCAAATAAACGTCTTCACCTTTCATCAACATCACTAAAACACAAGAACCCATCAAAGCTAGCACCAAGTAGATAAAAAAATTAACTATATAACCCGTGAGAGTGACCCGTTCAGTTCTTTAAACAAATAAATATTTTTCTATTTATTCAAAGATTTGAAAACATGATACGAATTGTTTTTATAGATGTATATTTATAGTAGTGATTGAAACTTTCTATTAATGTTATAAACGATGTGGGACAAAAATCTATACTCCTTCATTTTTTTTATTTTGTCCCACATCGAAACATACATACAATAGAAGCTAACTTTTTCTTTATAAATAGGAAATGTGACTTCCTTTCATTTGCACAATGTTGGACTAAATTCTAATGTCCATTATTTCTGGGAATAGAATTCTATGCCCAAAACAAAATTAATTTTTTTCTTCTATACTTGGTTTTGGAGTCGAAACAAGTACTTGAAGCTTTGCAAGTAATCCAAATTTTGCCCAGTTCGAAATTTTATTACCCGTGCAAGGCGGGTCGGGTCGTTGGTCGTGCAAAAATCCTGGGTACCCGAGTCATGCCCAACCCTAAAGATGAAGAGTTGAAAACATTTGTGATTTTTTTTAAATAAAGAGATGTCACGTGTCACTTTCCTGGAGAGTGATATCCTCTCATTATATATAGGATGTGTGCCTTGCCATGCAAGTCTCTTGCCGAATCATGCTGTTCTTGCATAACCTTTAATTATTAATATGTGTGTGCCTTGTCAATCAAGTCTCTTACTAAATAAAACAGCCAATTCTGTTGTTGAACAGACGTCAGTCTCCTAATCAACTCTCTTTTTGACTACCAACTCTGTTTTCAGCTTACTTGTGTTCTGATTTACAAAGTCAGAAATTGTAATTGCAGTATTTTACTCTGATGTTCTGTCACTTTCAACAAAAGCTTTTACGATTCTCTTTTAAACTAGCTAAACAGAGATCTCTAAAAGTCAGAGAATGTCATGAATAGTGTATGATATTTTAGCTTTATTTTAAACCCAAAAAATGTATGTTCAACGTAACTTATCGGTTTTCTTGACTGAAAATATGTTGAACCGATGAAGATCTCTCTTTATTTTGAAGACTAAAGAGGGAAGAGCTTTTCATGGTTTATGTTGTAAGCTCTCTCTCTCTCTCCATGTATGTGTTCTCTTATACGTTATACATACACAAGATCATCAGAGTCTCTTTACTTTAGTAATAACAATATGCTTTATCTTGTGTCATTTTGTTGCTTTCTGATTCTTGTTCTTTCTCTGCTTGTCCCAAATTACAACCTCAAAATGCAGTTCTTGATCTTTGGAGATTCTTATTTCAACTTGACATAACAATGAAGTAGATGCTTAATATAATTAAGCAAATTTAGACATGCTGAATAATTAAGCAAAGATGACATGACAAGAAGTAAACTTAAAATGATGATGATACCCAGGCCCAAGCCCATCATGGATTTATACTATTTCTATTTTCCGAATTAAAATTGAGCGTCCACTGAAAACATCACCTGGATTTTCTAGGGTTTCGTCTCGTTCCTTGTACTGTATAACTTTTGGTTTTACTTGTTAATAATTTGTTCTGTTGGAGCGTATAGTATTCCTTTTTAAAATTTGTTTCAGAGTCGGCAAAAAAGAAGAAGGGAGAAGTCAAGTTTAGGTCGACTGTAACAGAACAGTATCTAATCTAGGGTTTATAATTTGCAACGATATGGTGAGAATCAGTGCGTTGTCTGATGACTTGCTGCTTAAGATTTTATCGTTTCTTCCTACAAAAGTTGCAATCTCCACAAGCATCTTGTCAAAACAATGGCAGTTTCTTTGGATGTGGTTGCCTAAACTTGAGTACGATGACTATGAGATCATTTGTCCATTGTCTTCATGGTTGAGGTATGATGAATTTATTGACAAGAATCTGCCATTGCATAGAGCTCCGGTCATAGAAAGCTTGGTCCTAAGATTTTGTCATGGTTGTTTAAGTCAACCCAAGAAAATCAAAAGATGGGTTGGGATTGCGGTGTCTCGCTTTGTGCGTGAGCTAAGTATCGGCTATTTTTGTTCCAATCGCAAACCACATGATGTATTATCATTGCCGAGTAGTTTGTATACGTGCAATTCGCTCATGACACTGAAACTTGAAGGCGAGACCATTCTCGTGGATGTTCCTCGGATTGTTTGTCTCCCTTCCTTGAAAACCTTGAAACTTCAACGTGTGACATACTCAAACGAAGATTCTCTTGGGCTGCTTCTGTCGCATTGCCCTGTTCTTGAGGATCTGCTTATTCAACGACATGATGAGGGTGACAATGTGAGAGCGTTAGTTGTTAACGTCCCCTCTTTGCAGAGGTTATCCTTGCGGATAGGTATTGAGTGTTCTTCTTCTGATGAGTATGTAATAGTGACCCCTTGTTTGAAGTATTTCAAAATTGAGGATTACAGAGGCTTTCCCTCCTATTTGATTGAGCCTATGCCAATTCTAGAAGAGGCATATATAGAGGTTTTGCGAACTATGGAGAAGATTCTCGAATCAGTCACATCTGTCAGACGTCTTTCATTGGAATCCGTCAGTCGTTTTTCATTGGGTCCAAAAGAGGTAACGTGTTTCCATCTGTCAACCTCAAGTTTTCACTATATTGATCATGTTTCTTGAGATTTTGTTTTTGTTATTTACAATGTCGTCTGTGCAGTTTGTGTATGGTGCTGGTACTGTCTTCAGCCAGCTTGAACATTTGGAGCTATCTATATACAGAGAAAATTTTTCTTGTTTGGTTGCTCGGAAATTCTCCTAAACTTCGAGTCCTCGATCTATATGTTGGTGTAAGTTTCTTCATTTACTATTTTTAGCTTAAAGCCCTGTATCATGTAATCTTGACTCTCTATCTTTCTCCCTTCCCTTTTTTGTTTGGTCTCTCTCAGTGGTACTTAACATGTAAGGAGTATGAACCGGTTGACTTGAAGAACAAAGAGAGCACTGTTCCTGAATGTTTGTTGAGGAGTCTCGAAACTTTTGAGTTTTCAAGTTACATGCAAACACAAGAGGAGATAGATTTCTTGAGTTTCTTCTTCAAACACGCCTCTTGCTTGAAGTCCACTCCGATCACTGATTATGTTCCATGATTTTTGGCATTCGATTCTGATTTTTTTTTGGGGTTGTCCAAGAAAAAATGAGGTGATTTAATTGAACGTGGAACATGATTTCGAACGAAACTTGTTAGTACTTTCTTATCATAAGGTTTTTGCTCTACGGTCTGGTTATTATGTTGCTCTTGCATAACCTTTAATTATTAATATGTGTGTGCCTTGTTACTCAAGTTTCTTACTAGATAAGACAACCAATTCTGTTGTCGAACAGACGTCAGTATCCTTATCAACTCTCTTCTTGACTACCAACACTGTTTTCAGCTTACTTGTGTTCTGGTTTACAAAATCAGAAATTGGAATTGCAGTACTTAACTCTGATATTCTGTCACTTTCAACAAAAGCTTTTACGATTATCTTTTATACTAGGGAAACAGAGATCTTTGAAACTCAAATAATGTATGTTCAACTGATCGGATTTCATGACTAAAATTATGTCGAAGCTCCATTTGTGGTTGGTTCTTGCAATGTTTTTAGGTCACAGTGGACTTCGAAGCTCCTGCGATGGTCTTTGGAAAGTGTAATTCTTGAAAGGAATCAAGCAGCAGATATGTTATCTAAAGAAGGCCTATGATTCTAATTCGTTGTATTCATATTTTACGTGTCCCACCTAGTTGGCTTGTTCATACTTTGTATTATCCTTGATTCTTTTCACTGTTTAACAAATGAGATGTTTTATCACCGTGCAATTAGTGACATGAACGAGTTTAACCATGCCCAAGCCCAGGCCCATCAGGGAGTTATAAAAACTGTTTTAAAGTGTAAACATTTGCTAATGGAAACATAACCGTGTGATTAGGTCTCGACGGTGACAACGAAGCTTTCTTTGTCCGTAACTTCGATTGAAGCTTTACTTAAATCTACATTTTGTTTTCTTCGATTACTTAGGTAAGAGAATTAGTTTCTCAGTTGCCTTATAATTCCGTTTAAAAAGCTGATATTAATTGGGCCTCCTCTGAAAAAATACTCATCACCTGGATTGTTTAGGGTTTCATCTTGTTCCTAAGTGTGACTTTTATTTTCTCTTGTTACTAATTCGTCTGGTTGGATTGAATTGAGACAGATCCTTTTAAGTGTCTTGTACTCTATATATTTTTTTTTCCAGAGTTTAGGTCGACGGTAACAGTATCAAGCTAGGGTTTGTAATTTGCAACGATATGGTGGGAATCAGTGCGTTGTCTGATGACTTGCTGCTTAAGATATTATATTTTCTTCCAACAAAAGTTGCAGTCTCCACAAGCCTTTTGTCGAAACAATGGGAGTTTCTTTGGATGTGGTTGCCTAAACTTGAGTACGATGAGTACTATGATATCACTGGTCCATTGTCTTCATCATGGTTGAGGTATGCGGAATTTATTGACAAGAATCTGCCATTGCATAGAGCTCCGGTCATAGAAATCCTGATCCTCAGTTTTTCTTATGGTAGTTTAAGTCGACCCGACAGAATCAAAATATGGGCTGGGATTGCGGTTTCTCGCTTTGTGCGTGAGCTAAGTATTGTCTATTTGTGTGGCAAACCAAGTGATGTATTATCATTGCCTAGAAGTTTGTATACCAGCAATTCACTCATGACTTTGAAACTTGAAGGCAACAACATTCTTGTGAATGTTCCTCGAATTGTTTGTCTCCCTTCCTTGAAGACCTTGGAACTTCATCGTGTGGCATTCTTAGATGAAGATTCTCTTCGTCTCCTTCTATCGCATTGCCCTGTTCTTGAAGATTTGTGTATTGTATTTGTCCGTGATAGAGACCAAGACAATTTGATAGCGATAGTTGTTACGTCCCGTCTTTGCAGCGTTTATCCTTGCATATAGGATTTGGATGTTGTTCTGGTGAGTTTGTGATAGTTGCCCCTTCTTTGAAGTATTTCAAAATTGTGTCAGACAGTTTTTTTAAGGACTCATATTTGATTGAGCCTATGTCAAAGCTGGAAGAGGCAGATATTGATGTTTCTGGAAATATCGGGAATATTCTTGAATCGATTACATCCGTCAGACGTCTTTCGTTACACTTATCCTTGAGCAGTGGAAAAGAGGTAACCTGTTTCCATAGGTCAAGTTCCATTACATCTCTAAATTTGGCGTTTCTTGAGATTGATTTTTGTTATATACGTTTTCGTGCGTGCAGTTAGTGTATCGTCCCGGAATTGTCTTCAGCCAGCTTGAACATGTGAACCTATCTATAAAGACCAACAATTGGTCGAAATTACTTGTTTGGTTGCTCGGAAATTCTCCTAAACTGCGGGCCCTCAATCTATATCTTGGTGTAAGTTTCTTCATTTACTAATTTAGCTAAAAGCACTGTATCATCATGTAATCTTGACTCTCTATCTTTTGTCTCTTATTATTTCTTGTTAATCGCAGATATTTTCAATTTTCGAAGTGTATGAACCGGTCACGTGGAGCTCTGTTCCTGAATGTTTGTTGAGAAGTCTCGAAACATTGGAGTTTTCAGGTTACGGGGGATCACAAGAAGAGATAGATTTCTTGAGTTTCTTCTTTAGACACGCTTCTTGTTTGAAGTCTTATTCGATCACCAATTATGTTCCATGATTTTTCTCGCATTTGATTATGAATTTTGGGTTTGTTTTGTAGGCCAAGAACAAATTAGGTGATTTGACTCATGAATGTGGAACTTGATCTCGAACGAAACTTGTTATATGTTGTTCTTGCATAACCTTTAATTATTAAAACATATGTGTGCCTTGATAGTCAAGTCTCTTACTAATGAAGACTACCAACGATAGTGATTTTAAAACTTTGTTTCATTTTGGATAGGCCGATTTGGAATAGCAAGAAAAATGAGTATTGCAAAATATTTATGTTTATAGGTAAAAGTAAAATGAGTATTGCAAAATATTTATGTTTATAGGTAAAAGTATATGAGAATTCATTAGACTTAACAAAATTTATTAGATTTTAGTATACTAATTTTAGAGGAAGTTCTAATAAATAATTTAATTATAACTTTTTTTGTCACTGTCAGCAATATAATTTTATCATTACATAACACTAGATTCTTGTTTTGGTTCAGATTCTATGATTTAATATACTGGATTCCAAATGTATATTGCTTCCATTCATCTTAGTAGATGAATATATATGTTAATCATATGTACATTACCACTAATTGTATATCCTCATTGTATTCTCAAAGATGATTAAAACAACCGCTCTTGCTACGTTCATGGCCATCCTCGTTCTAGGTTCTTTGTACACAATATTTTCCACGTCTCTTCTCTGTTATTCATGGAAATTTGTTCATCACCTATTTTATTTTAAAACCGAAGACCATTGATATATTATATATTTCTATTAGGGATGGTGACTAAAGAGACGCAAGGAGTATTATATTGTCATGACTACATAGACGGAGCAGAACTCTGTGAACCTGAATCGTGTGCGTATGTGTGTACTTGGAAGCGCAAAGGGAAAGGCACGTGTTCGCGGCCACCAACCAAGACATGTAATTGCGTGTATAATATTGGTGGGGAGAGTTGTGAAACTTACTAGTTGATTTGTTTTCTCTGATTTTTTATAAACTATCATCATCATCATCATCATCATCATCATCAAACGCAACAATAATTATAATGTATTGAATAAACTAAAATCAAATTCATATGTGTTTGTACGTTTTCTTGATTTGAAAAATGATCAGTTTTCTCCAAAATCAAAGTGGCAAAAAGGTTTGTTTTTCCATAGGGGCTTTAATTTTGTAGGGCCCAAAACTAAAGGCCCAAAATTCAGAGTAAAGTAAACAAAACGTATCAACAATCTTCTTCCAAAAGAGAATACTTTGAACACAAAACTTACATAACGATGATAACATGTTTCGTCGGGTTTCATCAAAACTAAAACAAAGTGCCATGTTTTGATTGAATCGCACAGCACAGGCGAGACTCTCTTCTCTCGCTCGTCATCTGTCGTGTTATTCGCGCTTGTCTCGTCTAAATTCTGTCGTTTTTCGGTTTGACACGACTCATGCCTGCCACATGTTCGACGAAATTCCGGTATCAGCTTTCTTGTCTCACAACTTATGATGTTGTGATGGGATCCATCTGAAATGTGAGATGGTTGAAGATTTCCTCCTAATGGACGTGTGAATGCGTTTCTTCAGCTAAAATGGGTAAGTGATTCGCTCTTTCTGTTTCATTATGCTTTGTAGTTTTGCTTCATTCTCCTCTAATTTCAGTTCCATACCAACTTGAGAAATTTCTCATCCAAAAGATTAATCATACTAAATTAGTGTCCTTTGTGGTGTTTAGAATCCCTTTTTATGTCTTCTTTATTCGTTTTCTCTGGAAAGTTCAAAACTTTTGATTTTGGAGTGGTAATTTCATTATGAAACTAGAAACTTTACAGTTTTAGTCTGATTTCACTTATGATGCTTGAAATCTAAGAAGAAATGCGTTGTTTGTTTTTCTTCTATTGGTCTACCTCCCACACATTGTTGAAAGGCTGAAAGTAGTTGGCTTTTGACAAATTAGACAAAACAAGACCTTTGCACATTTTTGTGTGCAGTTGTTCTGAGCTGCTATTCTGATCATATGTTTGATGTTTCCCAACTAAAAAATTTCAAAGGGGGCATTCCGAGAATCGAACTCGGGACCTCTCGCACCCAAAGCGAGAATCATACCACTAGACCAAATGCCCTGTTGTTTATATATATCACACTATGCGTAACTGTTCTTGATTCTTGGATACTCATTTTAGGCTGTGTTCTTTTCACTTCCTGTTGATGTGTCATGGTTCAAGTCTAATATATCTGAAAGAAAATGTGTGAGACCCTCTAGTATACTTGCACGACTACCCTCTAGTATATAATTTTCGGTATTCACTTCTGATTTCCTTTGGTTCAGACAGGACATTATCTCTAATCTACTCGTTTAAGAAAACTGCTTGCTAATCAATTCTTGACCGTGATCTGTGAGAAATCAGGCACTGAGGGACATGTATAACTTGATGCAGAGCACATTCTTGCAATTGATGGATCTAGAGTCATTTTAGGATTGATTTGGTTGAGGAGATTTGTCTTTTGGTTTTGGGAACCTAAGATAGTGGATTTGATGATAAGGATACACTTTGCATCTTGTTCTTTCAGTTACTTTGATCATGTAGTCAATCTTGGAAGTCTTATTCCTGAAAATTTTGTTGAGTGTTATTGAGCTGGCTTTGTATCTATTAGTCTACCTTCCACACATTGTTGAAAGGCTGGATGTAGTAGAGGATTGTAACAAATTAGACACCAAGGTCTTTGCACATTTCCTTTTCTTTGCATTATGCACTTAATGGTTTGCGGTTGTTGATCTATGAAATCTAAGATTGACTTAAGAATTCAAGATAAATCTTCTATGCAATTTTAAGCTGGCAGCTAGAACATATTAAAAAGTCAATGGGGGCATTCCGAGAATCGAACTCGGGACCTCTCGCACCCAAAGCGAGAATCATACCACTAGACCAAATGCCCTGTTGTTGATGTGTGATTCTTTAAGAAAAATGCATGCTACTCAATTCTTGACCGTGATCTGTGAGGAACTTGGTTTTGAGGGACATATATAACTTAGTACAGAGCACATTTTTTCGAAAGCCCCATGTGCAATCGCAGGACTAGAGTCATTTTAGGATTGATTTGGTTTGGGAGATTTGTCTTTTGGTTCTAGGAACCTAAGCTAGTGGATCTGATGATAAGGATACACTTTGCATCTTGTTCTATCAGTTTCTTTGATCATGTAGTCAATCTTGAAAGTCTTATTTCATTCTTATGTCTG